GGAGGGAGGGAATAAAAAGAGGGGAGGGAGGGATAAGATGAGGGGAGGGAGGGATAAGAAGAGGGGAGGGAGGGATAAGAAGAGGGGAGGGAGGGAATAAAAAGAGGGGAGGGGGGAATAAGATGAGGGGAGGGAGGGGAATAAGATGAGGGGAGGGGAGGGGAGGGGAGGGATAAGAATAAGAAGAAGGGGCAGCTCTATAGGACAGGGGCCAAGACAGGGAGCTCTTTCACACTACGCGCGCACACACACACAATGCATCCCTATACATACACAGAAACACAACATGCTTCCCTTACACACAGAGAAACACACAATGCATCCATTACACACACACACACAATGCAACCCTTACACACAAAGACAATGCATCCTTTGCACACATACACAGAAACAGACAATGCAAACCCGTACACACGCATGCAAACACACACACTTCTTTTCTTACATACACACAGAAACACAATGCATCTCATGCACACACATACAGACACACACCTTGCATCCCTTATGCATACAAACACAGATTCACACAATGCATCCCTTACACACAACCAGAAACACATAATACATCCTTATACACAAATACACACTGCTTCCACTACACACAAACACACTGCATCACCTGCACAAACTGGTAACCCTAAACACTACATACCATAAGCACACATATTAGATCCTCTACAATAACACATAACACATCCCCTACACACTCCACTCCCTGTGAGCGAACTCATGGGTGGGTGGAACTTATGAGTGGGCCTTATGGGCATACTCACCGTCAGGCCCTGGGGCCCAGACCTTGAGCTGTGTAAGGGGCCCAAAAAAAATTGAGCTGCTTCCAATTCTCCCAGAACATTGAATTTTGTGACCACAGTTGCAAACAGCCTCCAGAGATCCTGTTCTACACCAGACCAGTGGAGCCAAACTGCAGCCCATCATCATCCTCATCTGCTTGTAAGTAGGCAATCTAGTATATTATTAGTGACACTAATCTATAATTTATCTCACATTAAAGGGACACTATAGCTTAATGAAGTGGTTCTGGTGTCTATAGCTGGTCCCTGCAGGCTTTTTAATGTAAACACACACTGTGTGCAGCACTGGCGTTAGTTCATATGGCAGATCATATGGGTGGGGCATTGTGATGTGACATGTGGGGGCAGCAAATTTTTATTTTGTCTAGGGCGGCAAAAATCCTTGCACCGGCTCTGATCCTGGGCAGGTGCACCAGTCTACTTGACTGGTTTTGCCCCCCAGGCCTAAGGCTGCCAGCCCTCCCATGGCCGCTGGGGAGGTCTTTTGGCGGCCGCTGGCGGACTTGTCCTGGCGGCCGCTGGCGGACTTGTCCTGGCGGCCGCTGAGGGAGCTGCGCTGGCTCTGCTCCCCAGCACGCAGCTGAATGAGACCGGCGCCGGAATATGACGTCATATTCCGGCACCAGTCTCATTCAGCAGCGCGCGAGGGCGGGAGGGCACTAACACAGGAAGCACCTCTAGTGACCGTCTGAGTGACTGTCACTAGCAATGTCACTTTGAAGCAATGTAAACACTGCCTTTTCTCTGAAAAGTCAGTGTTTACGTTGAAAAGCCTGTAGCGACATGCTATAGACACCAGTACCACCACATTAAGCTGTGTGTGTGCGTCTGCTAGTGAGTGAGCTTGCTTGCATGCGTGTGCTTGCTAGTGAGTGAGCTTGTGTTTTTATGTCAATGAGCTGATGTATATCAGTAAGATTGTTTGTCTATGAGGCTGTGTATCAATGAGCTTGTGTGTGTCATTGAGATGTCAGTGAGATTGTCTGTGTCTGCATTTGAGTATGCTTACTGTATAATTAAACGTTTTACTCTGAAAGGACCAATATTTATATTAGAAAAAGCAATATATATATATATATATATATATATATATATATATATATATATATATATATATATATATATATATATATATATATATATATATATATATATCTCAGTCATCTGTCCTGGCAAGACATAGCCTTACATATTACACGCGACAATATATGGCGCAGTGACTTATGTGGCTGGCACAAATTTTTTTTCCAGGGCTGCTTTGTATCCCCAGTCCGGCCCTGCAGGATAGGCAACGCCCAGGCTTAATATGTGTTGTCTCTTTCCAGGAAGCAGGTTTAAGACACCTTTACCTTTAAATGGACACTAAATTGCCCAAAATACCTCAATAAAAAAAAATAAAAAAAAATTGGGTGTATCTCATCATAAACCCTCCCCCTTTCTAACTTCGCCCAGACATTCTGTGGCTGTCCAATAAAAAAAAAGTCTTTGCAAGGTAGGTGTCCTGAACAATTGATGCCTCTTGAGTTTAGCTTCCCTGAGCTACATAACCAGGAAATAGCAGGACCAGTTGTCTGGTTAGCAATGTAAGCTGATAAAAGGGTCAATTTATATTGAAATTTGCAGGTTTTGTAAAATGTAAAAAAAAAAAAAACTGAAGTGCCTTAGGGGTCTGGAGTGTCCCTTTAAGAAAGTAGCTCATCTTGCACCCTTATGCTTTTTACTGGATCTCATGCAACCAAGGAACATCACAGAAACAATCATTAAATGACAGTTCACATTCTTTAATAATCAATCAATAGCACCTACTTCATACATTGAAAGGTTACTTTCGTTACTGTATACCTATATGTAGTTGTAATGGGAATTTCAAGAAAGGCTATGAAGGAGATGCTACCCTCTCTGGTATCAGCTTCTAGCATAGATAGGAAAAGCTTCTCATATACCAAGCAATAATAAATTAAAATTAGCACATTGTTATTCCATTAATTTAGGCGACTCGCAAATATTAATCAATGTACATTTCATCACCAACAACTATTGCAAAATTAAACCATAAAGTTTTAATAAAACACTGTATTTGAATAGAGTTATGAACTCCTTACTTTACATGCTTCACTATGCTTGCTGACAACATACGCTTTTCTTATCCGGGACTGTAATTAATGCAGACTTACACTAGCAGTAAAGTGTTTCTTACAGCACATACAAGACTTCATATGGCCTAGAGTAACCCTTTAATAATAATAATAATAAAAAAAAAATAATGACCAATTTAAAGGGACATTATAGTCACCATAACAACTTTAGCTTACTGAAGCAGTAATGGTATATAGAACATGTCCCTGCAGTGTCGCTGCCCAGTTTTCTGCCATTTAGAAGCTTAATTGCTTTGTTTATGCAGTCCCAGTCACACTTCCTGTAAAGTGAAAGCTTTATTGCAAATTTTGTTTAAATTTAGAATTTCTTATCTCCTGCACTGTTAATAGCTTTCTAGACCCTGCAGGAGCCTACTGTATGTGATTACAGTTCACTTTGCAGAGAAGGAGATAAAATTAAGAACAAGTAAGTTGACATCTGATTGAACATTTAACCATTGTTTTCATGCAGGCTGCATGAGTCACAGACAGTGGAGGTGTGTCTAGAGGTGTATAAACAAAAACAAGTGATTTAACTCCTAAACGGCAGAGAATTGAGAAGCGAGACTGCAGGGGCATTATATATACACAAAAATGGCTTCATTATGCTAAAGTTTTTTTGACATTAAAATTAAATCCCTTTAAGGTCACATTACACAAACGTTCCAATGCTGGACACATTACATACCTTAACTTTACAATGTTGGGGTTGATGATGTTCATGAAAAGGAGTAGAGTTTTCTTTGGAGGTACTTTCAATTCCATCGATAATACTGGACCCATAGGTTTGTGTTGTGTAACCGCTGTCCACCTGTTCAAACAGTGCAAGTTTTAGAAAACCACATAGAAAGCAGAAAAACAAATAGACAAGACTACAGTTGGACAGATTTGCCCTTAATTCAATCATTTCAAACCCCAGATTCCCAAAACTTTGTAAACGTTTCAGTGGTGCTCGCCATTTTGAAACAAACTAGAAAGTTAATTTGTATGTCTTTACTTTACATAAAAGAATACAGTTTAGAATAGCTTTCTTTTCTGAAACTTTGGTTAACCACAGATTTAATTACCAAGTACAACTGAGCTTAACCTTCAAAACGCTCCACCAGCAACCCAATAGCTATTTAACAATAACTACCATCTTCTGGTGTAGGACTCTAAAACAGGATGGAAGTCATAGTCCCAGAGACTACAGTAAAAGTAGATTTTATAAACTCAAAATAAAGAAACAAAACTATCATGAATCACATTGTGCACACGCACACACACAATACCTGGATGCTGCTGCTCTCACTTGGAATGACACTACTTTCAGCTAGAGGTGACATGCACATATGGGAACTTTCACCACTAAAGGTTATTCCATTTGTAAAGCTTGTCATAGGTGTATTTTCTGTAACTCCAACGTCCTTGTCCCACATGGGATCTTCATTTTCCACAGGATCAACCATTTCTACAGTGTCATTGTCTTTCAGCTCTTCACATGTTTGTGGACAACTTTGCAGTTCAGGGAGAACAGGGGGCATACTGTCCTGTACTAGTTGGGCATCAAATGGATAGTTATCCAAGGTTTGAAAATGTAAATCCACATCCCTTTCTGGTGACAAAATGCTGGAAGGTGGAGAGTTTTCTTTGTCTTCCTCTTGATTGTCAAGGGTAAATGGAATCTGAAACAGGGAAGTTCGGTATTGAGAATTTCCTCTGCATGGTCTTGACCGGATTTGGAAAGGGTTTTTGATTGGAGAACATCCTTCAATGTAAGGGCTCCTGGCACAAGAATTAACCATGGATTTCGAAGCAGAAAGTGTTTCTGGTGAAGGAAAAGAAAGTCTTTTCTCCTCTGCAGAAGACAAAAACATCTCAATTAGAAGAAATAAAAATAAAAGTAAAACAGAAACAAACCAAACTCAAAGAAACACACTAATCAACGCACACCATCGCCTGGGTTAGTATTAAACTGTTTATAGGGACACTGTAGGCACCCAGACCATTTCATCTTATTGAAGTGGTCTTAGTGCAGTGTCCCTGCCCCTCGTAGATCGTCAATGTAAAACATTGCAGTTTTAGAGAAACTGCATTGTTTACATTGCAGTGCTAAGACTTCCTCTAATGGCTTTCTACCAGAGAGCCATTAGATGTTCTTCCTGGAGTGAAACGAGTTGGACATTCTCACGGTCTGCATGAGGACATCCTGCATTAGAGAAATTTCCATAGGAAAGCATTGAGGCAATGCTTTCCTATAGGGAAGGCCTAATGCATGTTGTGATTGCTCATTAGGTTCCCCCATTGTCTGACATTGGAAGAAACAGTGCGCGATTCAGCGCTAGAATCTGGTAAGAGAATGAAGGGTTATTTAACCTTTTGCAATGCTGTGGGGAACGCGAGGCAGAGAAAACTGCTAGTGTTATGAATACATCTTTGGTTTCATATCAGGGCTTCATTGAGAAGAGGAATCACCCCATCCCAAATAAAGCCAGTAGTATATAGCGGTCAGGTATATATAGCTTTAAAGGGCACTTGTCATGTCCAAAATGCCTTATGCTCATTAGATTTGAGCATACAATTTTATCAATATTTTGCTGGCAATTTTGCAAAAAAAATGTATAATACCTATTTTAAAAAAAAAATAATTTTTTTCTCTCTCTCACACAACTGTCAGCAAATGTCACGGAATGCCGAGACTTTGACTGACAAGGGAGAGTAGAAAATACCTCCCCCACAGGAGATCATTCTGCTCTTCTCCCAGAGCAACCACAGCACATGCACTGCAGTTGCTATAGAAACTGCCCAGTTGGAATTTCCAGCGTGCCGACATCACTGACGAGATTTGACATGCTTTCAGATGCGTCCCAAACAGGGCAAATCAAAGAAAAACAGAGCGGAGGAAGGCCAGCATTTGGTGTTACACAGAGAAATACCCATGAAGTAGCACTGGAACAGAGGAAAAGTGAGTAACTTTATATTGAATACACCATATATCATCATGATATATGGTGAATTCAATGTATGTGGAAGCACGTTAAAGGACCACTATAGCTCAATGAAGTGGTCTGTGTGCCAAGTCCCCCTAGTTTTAACCCTGCAGCCAAAAACATAGCAGTTAAAAGGAAACTGCTATGTCTACACTGCAGAGTTAACCCAGCTAGTGGCGGTCTCCCTGACAGAAACTAGATGCAGATTCTGCGATCTAAACGGAGTAAATCGCACTTATTTGACGCTGGACGTCCTCACGAAGTCCAGTGTCAAAAAAGATCCCCATAGGAAAACATTGAGTAATGCTTTCCTGTGGACGGGTTTAAATGCACGTGGTCCTGTGGCAGCGCATCTGCATTCGGCTCCACTCGGAAGCGGACGTCAATGGAGGAGGAGAGGTCGCTAGTGCCGAAGGAGCCTGGTGCTGGATTAAAGCAAGCAAAAAAAATATGGTAAACCATTTATTCGCCGCGGAATGAGGCCCTAGTCACCGTGTTCCTTTAAGTCATGTTTTTCCATTACAGGTACACTTTAAACATTTTACAGAGCAAGAAATCAAATAACTGTACAATTATGCATTAAGACAACGAAAATATGGATCATACCTGCCGTCTGAACAGCTATAGGAGAAAATGATGGCGACATAACTCTAGATGGAGTTTGTTCAAAGAAGGTTGGGCTGGTGTTACTCCCCAAACTATATGCTCTTTTACCACCATGGATTGGACTTGATGAGAACTGACCCTTTAATTGGATAAAATTAGTGGGGAAAAAAATGAATTGATTAAAAAAGTTAGAAACTACATGAACATGGTTATCTGAAAATGACATGGCCAAGTTTCTTATGTGCAATGTATGGTGCTGGCCAACTATTTCACATTTAGCTGGTTAAAACCGGTATCCTTTAACATAGATCATTTTGCTAAACCACACGGACAGTCTATGGAAAAGGATCCATATTTGATTTCAGTTGTGTTCATTAATTAATCTTACCGAACTTGGTGTCTGTGTGGGACTTCTGCAACGGACAGGAGACAAGTCTAACGAGCACAAAACACCAAGTGAAGCTGCTGGAACATCACATGATGTCTGGGGAGACGGTGGATATGAACTATCTGATAAACTCCCTTGGCCATCTAAAAACAGCTTTCTCCTTAGAGATGCAGAGCTTAAATTTTCCTGGGATTGATCTGCATTTTCATCAACTCTAAAATATTCACCTTGAAAGAAAAAGAAAATCCATTAATATATCCACTAAAGCTACACAATTCAAAATGAAATGTGTTTACAGAAACCCATTCATGGTACACTTACCCAACACATTCTCCAAATTAAAATCAATGGGTAAGGACAATTGCGTTTGGCAACCAACTATGAAAGGGAAGAAACATGCAGGTATTACTTATAATCAATCAACTATTTAGCTAATAAGCGGAACCTTGAGCTTTAAAAGCTCATAATATCAAATAACTAGCATAGATAAGTGTGGGTGCAATAAATGTATAGTATATAAATATTTCTAATGTAAATTTATAGTGGGGTAATGCAGCACTGATTGGGAGAGGTCTTACCAATCACCAAATACAATTTAGACAAGAAATTGGGAATTTGAAATGTAAACATTGTAAAATAAATAAAATGCAAAAAAACAATTTTTCCCCCGAGACAGCTGAGTTAGTAATGGGTAATTAATTTAAGTCTAATTTAGCCTGACTACACATTGGTTACATATTTTGAAGTCATCCTTTGGTTTTCCATATTGTGACAATGGTTTTAGTATGTGTTATAAACCAAGCAAATTAAACCTTTTATTATGTAAGTTTAAAGTTCCAGATAAAAAAAATTAGAGTAAACAAAAGAAAAATGAAAACCAAAGACAAATATTTCAATCAAATCACCTGTGATTCTTCCTGACTGAATGGCTTGTACTCGCCCTATAGGGGATTCATTCATAAGATCAACACCTAAAGGAACAGAAATGATATACCATAATTAATAAAATTCTACAAATAAAACAGTATTTCTTCATACACTAAAGTAAGTCACTAACACACAATTACAATACATGGAAAAAATACATCTATTGCATATAAATAGTTGTGCGAGACTAAAGCAATAGCCCAATCTACTTGCCCTGACAAATAATTTTTATCAAAAATATTGGGACTCCTGGACATTGACAGGGCTAATTGAATTTTCACAAATCAAATCTGAATGGAAAAGCAGAGGCAAAAGTAGCCAATTGTGAAAAATTCTGTAACTCTGCTATAGTCACAATACGGCAATTTATTGCCTCACTTTTGCCATTTAAATTGATTTTGCAAACATTCTAAGTTTTTTTAATTACCCTGAGTGTTTTGCCCTCTCCTCTCCCATAGCATCTCCCTTTTTTCAGTGCCTGCTGACTGTGTGTGCAGACTGTGCGCATGCACTGTCTGTATGCAATTGTGATGCACTTCCTGACACAAGTATACATACATACACAGACCCACGTCCATTAATAGACACAAACTACTCCTTCACTGACACCTACACACAGCACAGTCCCATTAAATATTGAAATTACTAGCAGCTGCCTGCATGTCATGTCTCTCCTCCATGCCCAGAATTTCTGCCACGGGAATAAGATATCAAACTGTATCCCAGCGGCCATCAGCATTGTGCATCGCAATGAGCAACTAGCTGCCACCGTACTTTGCATCTTTGTGGCTGCAGCCATCCACAGACAACTTTTAATGTGGGCCTGCCACCAATCCAACCAAGGATGCCCTGCAGCTTGCCCATGGGAAAACTAAGAATTTAAAAAAAACACACACACACACACCTTCCTGCCCAGCACTGCATGTACTGGGCATCAGGTGATATACAATTCACACCCATGAATTAACACCTAAACAGGAAACACTCCATCAACTTCAGACAGAACACTCATATATCCAGGAGCAGCAGAATACCAGCACTCGTCATCAATGTATCAGGACAGACATTTTCAACTGAATATTCACTTTTTATCATGGCATGGCAAAGACTGGGTGTCCAATCCAACCAGTACCTGTCCTTCTGTTGTCTTTACCAAGATTTATATGGTGCTGTTATTTTGTTACATAATATTCAACAGCATAGCTCACTACATAGTACCCAAGCATGCTCGGACACTTGAATATAAATTATACAAATTAACTTACATGGTGTGTGCCGGGACAGCCAGACACAATATAAATTCTAATATTTAAAATTAAAATAAAATATAGCGTACAACGCATAGTTAACTTTACATAAGTATTGGATGCGATGGTCCCTCTAAGAGATTTTAATACACAAAAGCTTGTGTTTATAACCAATATCTCAATTATTATAAACATTAGCTTATGATTGTCCAACAGTCGTTAGTAACATGCTTACATTTGGTTGAATGAAACTGAGCAGCTTGCTTCCCTTCATGCTGAGTCCAAGGTGAAGGAACAATTGTTCTCTTAGTGAAAAACTGAAAAAAACAAATCCACATCACATGTATTAGGAGGTATTCCTCAATGCTTAGATGGAATGTTTACTTAGGATAATAGAATTGATTTACCAGTACATGCAAATTTGTCTCTCAAGTTGACCATCTATGCATTTGGAGAAAACTGCCCTACATATCTTAAAGCCGTAGTGATATTTTATGACCATGATACTACTATATGTTCACTTTTTTGTTGTTGTAATTCTTTATTTTTGACATGCAGGTGAATACAACAGTGCCTGTATTGCCACAGTAGCATCAGCAGACTCAATTTTTATGGTCATAGCAAAACAGAATTATGGCATGATGGATTTGCACAAAGTTAATACGTAACCTTTTAACGGTTCGAGATCTAGGCATTTGCTTATTAAATGTCTGGTTAAGGTGGTACATTTCAAAACAAGGCTTAGCATTGTTTAGAGTGGTGACCGTAAGTTTCTAGGTCTGTCCCTAAGGGTGAGGCAGCAAGTTAGGGTGCTACTAGTGCAGCTGTGGGTAGGGTATCATTGGGCATGCCAATGTGACATGTTCACTTTTTTAATAGTAAAAATAAGTCTACATTTTCTAGCATCCCTTACATTTATTTACTAAAGGAATATCAGGAATTAAAAGTGAATTTCAAACTTTAGTCCAAAATAGCTAAACTGGAACCAAAGCAGGCTTTAATAGTTTTTTTAAATTGAGCTATTGTGGGCTTAAATGTGAAATGCTCTTCTCACTTTAATAAATAATCCTGAGTGTGCTTAATTTAGAATTTCTTGTCTCCTGCTATATTGTCTGCTAGAACGTACAACAGCCTCCTGCTAAAGTTTAATTAACAGAGGAGGTAAGAACTTGTAAAGTAAAGCTGGTGAAAATTAACCTTTAATCATGGAGGCAGTGAGAGTCACACCCAAGGGACATATGGTTAGGGCTGCATAAACACACTGATTTAAAGCAGCTCTGTCATGGCCTGATCCATTTTTTTAATGTTCTTCCAACTCTTCTTGTACTTAGTGTCCATCAATATGTTTGTTTTGTTTTCCTCTGGTGCCCAGTTTCCACCTTTTGTGTCCTTGATTGCGGCGCTAGACATTTTACCCACTTTTGACATTTTCAGTTTGCCCTCATTGCCTCCTTTGTCTTATGTATTTTACGAGAATATAAAAAATGAATAAAAGACAAGATGGCAGAGGAGAACTCAATTTAAGAAAGGCAAGTTTACTGTAACAGAGCCACTTTTATGCCTAAATGGCAGAGGACTGAGGAGTGAAACTGCATGGGCATGACATACACACCAAACATCCACATATGCAAAATAATGTTTACCTCTTCAATAGCTTTTTGCCTCCTTTCTTCTATGTCTTTATCAGTCCTAAAGAACATAAATATTGCATTTTATAAATTATGCATTAACTTTAAATGGCACAACATCCATTCCAAGCTATATGTAAGAGAAAATAATTAAAATATCTACTTTATTAGTTTATAACTAGAAGTCATTCAGGAAAATCAAATTTTCGGTCGACAACAGGGACCTTGGTAATGAAACATTCATACATATACCTTTTTTTATTTTAATCTACACAGTAACCAAAATTCAAATACTAAAACATAATGTTAAAAAAAAATAAATAAATAAAAAAATTAACCTACACATTCTTCATATCATTAAAAGGAACACTTTAGAGCATATTTTAGTGCCCTTACCAATTATCCACAATTGCTGGGATTTTGAATTACCCAAAGGCTTTTGATGGATTAGTTTAGCAACACATATACATTGGTCATCATACCAGAAAAAAAAATGCCCAAAAACAGTAATACTTACATTTGTCAGAGTGAAGAGACAGCATTTAAGCATCTGTAGTGCTTTTAGAGCTTAATGTGTACATTTTTAAAAGAACACTGCACTACCTAAACCCCCCCCCCCTCCCAAAAAAAAACAACCAAACACTGTTTAGAAGATATAACCCAAATGAAAACGTGCATGCCTTTAATTATTCTTTTTTTTTCATTTGGGATATATGTAAAAACAACTTGCAAAAGCAAAAAATAATCCCCTTCCTCCCTAGTCCAGTACATACTCATCACACATAAAGCAATTCAACAACCTAAAGTGCTTCACAGGTCTGGAGTGTCGCCTTAACATGGATTAGCCTACATCAAATCATTAATCTATTTTTACTATTTAGTATTTGATCAATGTGGAAAGACCCTTTGGAAGCATTTATAAAGTATTAAATGTAGCTTACTTTGCATGGTTAAAAAAGAGAGCCTGACGATGAATATCCTCTGGGTCAATCTCAACAGGGTTTATTGCAGCAAGCTGATCGATAGACCATTTAAACTGGCGTGGAGTCTAGGAAACAGTAAATATTAAAACAGATATGCAATTATTTTATAAGTAGTGCTGAACACAAAAAATACTGTAGATAAATAAAAGGTCTAAGCCAGTGATGACGAACCTTTTTGAGCGCCCAAACCGCAATACATGCCAACTTTTTTTTCCCTCAAAGTGCCAACATGGCAATTAAACCTGAATACTGAGGTTTAAGTTTAGAAAAAAAACTACTCGTACAGTTGTCCGAACTAATTAACAACTTTTGTTTTAAAAGAAGAACACAACAGAGAGTTCAATGATACAAATTGTAAATTATGATATAAATAGATAAAATTACGCTTATATTTATTAATATCTCCAACAAATGCAAAATGGGGGGTAGGTGTGCTGTGCTGGGGGGAGGTAGGGGTGCTGTGTAGGAGGGTAGGGGTGCTGTGTAGGGGGGTAGGGGGAAAGATACATTTGAAAAAAAATAAAAAATAAATTATATTAATTCTGTATCCCCCCTACTTTCCTCTTACCTTTGGTGAAGGAGGGGGGGGGGGAACACAGCCATCCCTGGTGGTAAGTATTGTAGGAAGCAGCTCTCCTATCCTCCCGCGTGATGCTGTGTGGAGCGTTGCCATGGTAATGCTCGACAACGCTCCACACAGCTTGCTCGCAGGAGGATAGGAGAGCGGCTTCCTAGAGCCCTCCCCCTGCCTCCCGACCCGGAAGCAGAGTAGGCGCCTGCCGTTTTGGGCAGGCAGGTGCCTACTTTGCATACAGCCAGCGGACCCCACTCCCGGCGACCTAGGGCCACGTGCCCACAGAGAGGGCCTGGCATGCCACCTGTGGCACGCGTGCCATAGGTTCACCATCACTGGTCTAAGCAAACTATAATGAGAGTACACTGAACAGAGAAAGATTTCTAGAGGAAGTCTCGGGTTAAAACAGTTTATAGAAATATGAAAACAACTATTCTTCAAAAAATACTTACAGCTGAAGACTTTGTAGGTTTGAACACTGTTGGACTGGAAACAAATGGTTCGTGCAAGCTGCAATAATCACTTGGGCTCTCAAACGGATTCAAGATTGCTGTACGGCCTGGAGTTTCTGGTGTCAAGTGAGTACGGACATCACCCATGACAAATGCAAACTCCTTGATGTTTATTTCAGAAAATGGCAAAATCTGTTAAAAAGAAAATAAATCTTTAAGTTTTTTTTTTTATAGAATCCATTCCAATATTTCCATATTCCTTTTCAGCCTCATGCGGATCCCACAGATAAGCCAAACTGACACGTAAGAGAAATACGTTACTAATTTTCCCCAACCATTCTTAAGTAAATGGCTGCACTTCTCTTTTTTAAGAGTTCAGGAAATGAAACATGTCCAGTCCTGCTGCCTTTTTCATAGAAAAGAAGGAATTGCACTCATTATTGTAACTGCTTAGACAGAAACTTGACAGTGCATCTGATGTTTTTTAGATGGTATTTTCTTTCAGGAAATAATAAGCCTGTAAGAGCTGTAAATCTACAACAGCAAGAAGAAGATATAAAAGGCAAGTAGAAAGTATAAATATGTAATAAAGAAAGAAGAGGCACTCCTTTAAAAGTATATTTTATGTACATGCACCAGATAAGACACAGACTTAATAAGATTCCTCATCGTGATAATATTCATTGGTTAATGTTAATAGGCAATGTTTATACTAAATTTAGTTGTGCATTCCTAAAATAGTGGAGCCCATATTTATGCACGCATTTGCCATTTTCTATTCCAGTGTTTGCAGACTACTGACTAGAGCAGCATTTCCCAACTGGTTTTCCGTGAGAACAAAATTGGGGTTCCGCATTTAGCAGCGCGGCCAGGCCCCTGTTGTATAGGATGCAGAGAGGAAATGACAGCCTATCACAGAGAGTGTGCCGGCTAGAGGGAGAGAGGCAGCAGCGAGGAGTGAACAGCACACCAGCCTCAGCAAGCAGCACACCACAGCCGAAGAGAGCATTCTACTCAGGTAGGGTGGGAGCTTCCCAGAAAAGCTCTTATGCACAAGGCTGGAAAGATGTAAGGTGCGTCATGATTCCAGCGACAGCCAGTTTAGCTCTTTTAACATGTCACAATGGTGGCTAAAGTAACTACATTCTAGTACAAACCAGCAGAAGGAATTATATAACGTATTAAAGGACCACTCTAGGCACCCAGACCACTTCAGCTTAATGAAGTGGTCTGGGTGCCAGGTCCAGCTAGGGTTAACCCATTTTTTCATAAACATAGCAGTTTCAGAGAAACTGCTATGTTTATGAATGGGTTAAGCCTTCCCCTATTTCCTTTAGCGGCTGTCTCATTGACAGCCGCTAGAGGCGCTTGCGTGCTTTTCACTGTGAAAATCACAGTGAGAGCACGCCAGCGTCCATAGGAAAGCATTATGAATGCTTTCCTATGTGACCGTCTGAATGCGCGCGCAGCTCTTGCCGCGCGTGCGCATTCAGCCGACGGGGAGGAGAAGAGGAGGATCAGAAGAGGAGAGCTCTCCGCCCAGCGCTGGAAAAAGGTAAGTTTTTACCCCTTTCCCCCTTCCAGAGCCTGGCGGGAGGGGGACCCTGAGGGTGGGGGCACCCTCAGGGCACTATAGTGCCAGGAAAACAAGTATGTTTTCCTGGCACTATAGTGGTCCTTTAAGTTTATTAAGGTGGGTTTGCGGTGCAGGTGCATACACTACATTACCGTAATCAATGACCAGCATTAGCTGCACTGTTTCCTTACTGTAGGGCTTAGGCAGAATTTGTTTCTGTACAGGGCACCTAGTTTTGGTTAAGATTTGAAGAGATTTTTTCAATGTGAAGGCAAAAGGATAGATTGGGGTCTAGCAACATACCTATATATTTCACCCCTTAAGGACACATGACATGTGTGACATGTCATGATCCCCTTTTATTCCAGAAGTTTGGTCCTTAAGGGGTTAAATGATTTCAGTAATACTGGTATTCAAAGGTGTGATGGAAGCCATTATCCAACAGCAGACATACCAAGAACACATCAGACAATGTCAGTAACTGGGGATATTTGCACCTCTCAATTTAGTCCAGTTGGAAATGAATTTAACTATTACTAATGCACATCCCAAAAAAAAAAAATAATGAATATTTCAAAAAGTGCTGTCATACTCATTCAGGTTGTGCAGAGCAAAACAGAAGACCTTAGCAAATAGTTTAAATAGAGGTTAATAGGACATGCACAGTGCTCCCATTAAAAACTATGGTAAGGCCAGGATTAGCTGAAATATTTAATTTACTTCCTTGAAGTTCAAGTAAATGAAACTTTGTAATAAACCATGTAAATGGAGAAAAACAAAAAACTTATTTTTAGTTCATTTAGATACATTATTAAACACGCAAATGTAAACGGTTGCCTTTTAGTTATAAAAGTTATATACTGTGCAACATTTTACACCACTTTACTTATGAAGACAAGGCCTTTACATCACTCGGTTTGTTAGCAGTATATGTTGCAATAGCATGGCAAAACAGTGCTTTTTTTGTGACTTTTATTGCATTTATGACATTTACAATTTAGTTTAACATTTGCAACGACCAAAACCTGAAATTAAATAGATAGGAATTATTTAATGTTGAGAGGGGAGAAATACCAGGAAATGTATAGAACTATTTAACATATATAAATTTTATTGATTTTCAAGCCTGTCCTTATTTGTAGCGTATTAAACCTATAAATGTCCTCTCAGTGCCCTGTAGTGGAGGTGCCCCAGAAGGCAGGGTTCCTGCACTGCTGGTTGTGGTTACCATACCTCACCTGTTATCTAGGCGTTAGGAGTTCTGGCAGAGGCTAAAGGTTCTGTCTTCCGAACCATGGGATACAAACACAGCGTTCCAGAACGTCCGTTACAGATCCCGCCCCCACACAGTCTCTTCCTCCCTCTGGATGACCCGCTGCACTAGAATACACACAGTAACACCGCGCTCTGCCACTACTCACCAACCAACACGCATGCGCGCGCAGACCAGCCAATCAGCGCACTGCAAAAAAAGGGCGGAGTCTGACTATTCCTGACTCTGCCCAATAGAGGTAAAGCCGCCGCTCAATTCGAAAGTAAACTCCGCCCCCTCAGCAGGAGCCGTCACCTTGGATACCAGACGCCGTGGCTACTCCGCTGGCTCAGCAAAGCTTTCTTCCAGCAACTGCCGACCTACCGGCGCAGGACAGTGACGTCATCGCGACACGCTTCCTGGACGTTAGGAGGATGGCAGGCGCTCCCGGGAGTATGAGTGCCGTGCGGGAGACCATGGACGGTGAGTTACCCGCGATGGCTGAGCGTCATGCGCTTTGTACTTAACCTCAGCTACAGTTATAACGGTCTCAGCCATCGGTCTCCCAGATTATTATTATAACGTGCCCCAGCTCTCTGGTTATTATTATTATTATAACGTGCCCCAGCTCTCTGGTTGTTAGAATAATAATAACAACAACGTTTCCCAGCTCCCTGATTATTATTATTAACTCCTTCAGGACCGGACTGTTTTTGCGATGTTTGTACTTAAAGACCAGAGCTATTTTAACACTTTCTGGTGTTTGTGTTTAGCTGTAATTTTCCGCTCTCTCATTTACTGTTCCGATCCAAATTATGTATTGTTTTTTTTCAGGACAAAAAGGGCTTTCTTTACATACTATTATTTTTATCATGTCATATAATTTAATTTAAAACTAATAATAAAATATGGTGAAAATTTAAAAACAAAAACAAGTTTTTTGACTTCTACTTAAAAAATCTTTTACTGATCTACAAAATCGAATGAAACAAACTGCTAAATAGATTCAAAATTTTGTCCTGAGTTTAAAAACACCCAATGTTTACGTGTTTTTTTTGCTTTTATTTGCAAGTTATAGGGCAGTGATGGCGAACCTATGGCACACGTGCCACAGGTGGCACGCCAGGCCCTCTCTGTGGGCATGCGGCCCTAGGTCGTCGGGAGTGGGGGGGCCGCTGGTTGTATGCAAAGTAGGCACCTGCCTGCCCGAAATGGCAGGCACCTACTCTGCTTCCGGGGTCGGGAGGTAGGGGGAGGGCTCTAGGAAGCAGCTCTCCTATCCTCCTGCGAGCAAGCTGTGTGGAGCGTTGTCGAGCGTTACCATGGCAACGCTCCACACAGCATCACACGGGAGGATAGGAGAGCTGCTTCCTACAATACTTACCACCACCGGACCACCAGGGATGGCTGTGTCCCCCCTCCTTCACCAAAGGTTAGAGGAAAGTAGGGGGGATACAGAATTAATATAACTTTTTTTTTCTTTACCCCTACCCCCCTACACAGCACCCCTACACCCCCAACACAGCACAGCACCCCTATCCCCCATTTTGCATTTGTTGGAGATATTAATAAATATAAGCGTAATTTTATCTATTTATATCATAATTTACAATTTGTATCATTGAACTCTCTGTTGTGTTCTTCTTTTAAAACAAAAGTTGTTAATTAGTTCGGACAACTGTACGAGTAGTTTTTTTTCTAAACTTAAACCTCAGTATTCAGGTTTAATTGCCATGTTGGCACTTTGAGGGAAAAAAAAGTTGGCATGTATTGCGGTTTGGGCACTCGGGCTCAAAAAGGTTCGCCATCACTGTTATAGGGCTATAAGTACAAGTAGGAAATTGCTGTTTCAAAATGTACATTTTTCAAATGTATCAATAGTGACATTGTAACACTGTTATGTCATAAATCTCCAAAAAAAACACTCCACATGTATATATTTTTCTTAAACTAGATAACCCAGGGTATTCATTTAAGAATATTTTGATACTTTCTATACAGCCATTTTACCACAAACCTTTGCCAAACTTTGCATAGATAGTTTGTTTTTTCACATACATTGCAATTCAGGCATAAATTCACAGATTCTGTTAGGTGTCACTGCCAAACAACACCCCAATATGTGTTCAGTAACATCTCTCGAGTACAGTGATACCCCCCATGTATAGGTGTGCCGGGTTGTTTGGGGGCTAAAAGGCCACGTTTGGCAGGTGCGCTTATCAGTTTCCCAACTTGGAATTTTGACATGTAATCAACCTGTGCCCATGTCCTATTTGAGCCAATGTATTTTACCCCCATCAAACCATATATTTTTGAAAAGTAGACACCCTAGGGTATTTCACATGGTGGTATTTTAACACTTTTCATGCACTGAATTCTACCACCAGGCTTTGTCAAACATTGAGGTAGTAAATTTTTTTTCAGTTTTTTTCACACACATTGTACTTTAGGCATGAATTAACAGATTCTGTTATGTGTCACTGCCAAACAACACCCCAATATCTGTTCAGCAACATGTCCCGAGTACAGAGATACCCCCCATGTATTGGGTTGTTTGGGGGCCAGAAGGCAACAATCAGAACTTGTACATGACAGTTTTTCAACTTGATATATAGGTATGCTTGGCCTATCTTCAGTTTGACATATTTTTGCACCCCCAGTTAATGTTACCATCATGAAAGTATATATTCTTATAAAGTAGACATCAAAGGTTATAGAAGATGGGGTGTTTTGACTTCTTTCCCCCAACCATTTTGCCCCCCCCAAAAAACAGAGAAAGTGTAGTGGTAATTTTTAAATTCTGTTTTTTTTATGCACAGGTCAGCTGGTTATGTGTTACTGCCAGAAAACTTGTTAGACCAAATGTGCAGGTAGCAAATGTACATTTAGCGCCAATCTTTAAAATGACTCCTGCAAATAGAATCTAACTGGAGATTTGGGGGAAGGAAACTGACTAACAAAAAATGGCTGCTTTCCAAAGAAACAAAAAAATAAAATAAAAATTCAGGAACACTTCTTACAACTGTTCTGTGTGGTACAGCTTGAAACATGTTCCTACACACAGTCCTGGTTTCGAAGGGCAATCAGGACAGTGAAAAGGGGTGTCTGTCCTTTTCCCGTTTTTAAAACAGACCCGGCAATGTTTCTGGCTAGCAGTTGGCGGTAACTTAAAAATAAAATGCCTGGACTCAGCTTGCACCGTTGTTGGAACTTGTCCATCTCCATAAATTGTTAAAGAAATTATTTTCAACTGAAATTGGAGAAAGGTGGTTTTCCCTGGATTATTTTTTTTAAAAAAAGCAAAAATGAGTTGTGGGTTGCTATTTGCATCAGATAGATAGCCACCTTTTTATACCATGCTTTGGTTTTTCGTAAAATAAGATATGGCTGCATCAGCTGATCAGCCAAATCAACACCCCCCATGTCCTTATTATACGCCCTGTTGCAAACTGGTTTGGACTCTACTCTGCCCCGGACAGAGACGTCTGACATGCGTTCGTCATGGATGGTGGTTAACTTGTTGACATCCTTCCTGTCCCTAAATTTTAGTGCAAGCACTTCAGCTTTGCAAAGTGCTTACATTCGCCTTTTTTTTTTATTTTGCCTTTATGAGAGATCGTGGAGTCTTTGGAATTTTTTCTGGCAGTGCCGCAGGCCAGTGTCTGTAAACCATAAAGTGTTTTAAACAGACGGACCTACTATAAAAATTATCCACATAAAGGTATTATTATTAAACAAGGGGTTTAGTAGGTCCCATACAAGTTTCCCACTTGTCCCCAGGGAGTCAGGACAGCCAGGAGGGTCCATGTAGCAGAGAGGTAGTATAATCCAAAGTATCTCCGCTGGGGACCGAATAACCGAATGCCGCGCGAAACACACATTATATTCAAGTTACATCCAAAGTACCGATTGACATTAGGGGAACAAACTACCAAACGCCTGGGGCTCCCAAACGGCCTGGAAGTCCAGCGGTATTCGTGCCGTCGAGTAGCCGATTTTAGTTCCAGGCGCTCGACGACCAAATACCGCTGGGCTAACAAAGGATCCAAGATGGCCGACCGCCGCGTGGTTGGTATCCGAACGACGGCCACCTAAGAAAGCACTTAACTACCGATTGCAACAATGTTGCAATCCGTTAATGGGCGCCATACGACCTCCTGTGTGTGGTCGCCAATTCGGTACTTTATTCGTTTCACGAACAGTGTTGAAATTCACTGTTCGTGAAACTCCTGTATGAATGCTAGTGGTTTTCATGCCGCCAGCATACGAATGCTCTTGTTCGCCTGAAATGCAGATACATGAATACACTTGGTTCTAACAACCTTAAAGCTATAGAAACACATTTATACAACTACAGTCTTAAGTGGCTAGTTTTGCCACAGTCCAGTTGTCCATCTTTCGCCTTATATACACGAAAGGCAAACGTGTATCCACTTTCGCTCTCGCACAGTTTGTACAGTTTTATGCCATACCTAGAGCGCTTTGAGGGGATGTATTGTCTGAACCCTAATCTCCCTTTGTATTTCATTAGCGATTCATCTATGGATAAATTTTGTTGGGGAGTATAAACATATGAAAATTTGTCCTGAAAATGGTCTAGCAGTGGGCGTATTTTATGAAGCCTATTGTATTGGGGGTGATCTCTAGGGTGACAGAGAGTATTGTCACTGAAATGTAAAAATCTCAGCAGTAACTCGTATCTGGCTCTAGGCATGGTTTGGGAGAATACTGGACTAGACATTATTGGGTTGGTGCTCCAGTATGAGCGAATCGATGGCTTCTTTATAATCCCCATGAGCATTGTAGGAGCCCAGAATTTTTTAAGTTCTGGGATATCTGTGGGATGCCAGTCATGCTCCCTGACTGTATAGCTACCTGGATTGGTATCAATAAATTGGATAGGATGGGGGCGTGTCCAACTTCCGGCAAGATCGGTCGCATGGAGTAGGAGCTCCACACCGCCCGGGCCAGATTAATCATACTAAATAAGAAAATCGTACCAGATCTACCCTAATCCGACAGAGGGTGAAAGCCCAGCGGGTCCTCATGTCCCCCTCGAAACAGACGAAGTTAACGGACGCGGTCCGTCACCACAAAAGGGAAAGGCTGAAACAGGCCCAAGATGGCGCCGCCAGCAGAGCTCAGTCTCCAGACTCTGATCCCTGCAACGAGACACCCTCACAACCAACATCGGATGATACCCAATTTTCAAAAGAATACCTCAAGCAAATGCTCATGGACCTTAGGTCCACAATCAAAGAGGACTTTACGACTGCCATGGTGGGCATTCACCAAGAACTGGAGGAGTTGGGTGACCGGACCGATCAGGTCGAGCGCAAGACAGACAACCTCTGCTCAGCTCATAATCTGCTGGCAGACAAACTGAAAAAACTGGAGGAGGATAATACCAAACTTTGGCACAAGATGGCCGATATGGAGGACCGCTCCCGCCGGAATAATGTGAGGTTCCGGGGGGTAGCTGAGTCCATTACGACAGACCAGATCCCAGCCTATATAACCACTCTAAGTGCCACTCTGGCCCCTGACCTCTCCGGCATCACGTGGGAACTGGACAGAGCCCACCGGGTCCCTAAACCACCTAGATTTGGGGCGGAAGTACCGCGCGACATCATTGTGCGCTTTCACTACTATAAGGCCAAAGAAGCACTTCTTAAGGCAGCCAGAGCCCAATCTCCGCTACCCGACCCCTACAGTGCCGTCTCGATTTTTGCTGACCTTTCGGCCCTCACTATGGCGAGGCGTAAGGAATTCTCCTCCATCACCAAAACCTTACGCAACCACGCGCAGGCTTATCGATGGGGGTTTCCCATGAAACTATTGATTTGGAGGAACAACAAGCTCCACGTTATTGATGACCCAATAGGAGGCCTAGCCACATTGAAACAATGGGGCCTCTGGGGCCCTGCGGAAGCCACCCAAGCACAAGCGGATAATACACCCACCCCGAAGAAGACCCGGCCCGACTGGCAGATGGGCGGCGCGAGGCGCTGAGGATTGCTCCGCCGAGGATAGCATCTCCCTGGCTCTACTTACCTGCAAGCTCCAAGGCGACGTAGGAAGACATATCAACTGACTTTATTTTTATATACTAGCGCTGGACATTAGCCTTTCACCCATGGACAGCTTCCGGATGACCGGAGCCTCATGCAAGGCATTTATGTCAGTGCATTGCTGGTGATCGCTGCTTTCAGTTACCACGAGTGGTATTGTATAAACGTATTTTCTTCTTTTATTTATCTCCAAACGAGGAAGGGACGGGGGGGGGTAGAGAGAGTATGCCAAGAAAAAGAGGAAAAAAAAAAAAATGTTATGCCTACGTAGGTATATGTATTTATACTTACACATACAAATGTAAGAAAGGATATCGTATACCTCACTGCCACATAATGTAATCAACTAGTAAGAAGGCTGACATCCCTACGCTTACCCATATTGCTAAATACTCCTCCTTAGGGCTGAAGGCCTCCCAAGAACCTACCCACCTCATTTGCTTATCATCTTACCCTACAAGTAGGGCCCCCACTAACCCCTCTCCTCATAGGACGACACGAAATTATTTAGATGACAGGTTGCCTCCGTGGGCCAGGAACGCAGCCCTGGGATATAACTGCCTCACTGTTCAACTATAAGTGAGAAAAAAAAAAAAAAAAAAATATTGATGTACATAGTTTGACATAGTAACCCCGGGTGCGACACCACAAATCCGCTGCCCCTGTCTCCTTATACCGCCTTATCGATCTATGCAGGGAGCAGGTGAGATTGCTGTCTAAATACATATTCCCCCAAGCTTTCTACCCTTTCCAGACCTGCTTACCTTGAGATTCTGGCCCGGGTGCGGCCCTGCTCCGCACGACCCTCCAAGGGAATTCGAGGATCTTGGAAATCCAAGGCTTCCCTCTGAATCCCATGTTTTTCTCTCATCTACGAGAGACATTGTATATACCTATGTTTGTTCATTTTGGTTCCCATGTTATTCCCCTTCCCATTTTTCCGGCAGCTGCAAGGATATATATATGTGTAAAACATAATCAGACACCAGAGGTTATCGATGACAGATGTTATGCACTAACTAATAAGCTCCGCTTTATGTTCCTTTAAGATGATGTACCATTTTAAATCCTTATATATGAACGTTAATGGCTTGAATAGCCCATTTAAAAGAAGCTCTGTGATTAGAACCATCCACAAATCTCAGGCTGCTATAGTTTGCCTCCAGGAAACACACATGTGTAAAAGGAATCCCCCCAAACTAAACTCATCTAGATACCAACAGGTATTCCATGCCCTTGCTCCAAATAAAACGAAAGGGGTGGCTATATTGTTCCACATTGACTGGGTTTTCCATCTCGATAACATTTATGCAGACGAGCTAGGCAGGCTTCTCATAGTAGTGGGCTCACTGAATGGAATGCAACTCACGATCGCATCCATATATGCACCTAACAATTCCCAAACTTCCTTCATTAAAAGAGCGCTAGCTAAAATTTCTAACCTCCATGTAGGACACACTATAATATGCAGTGACCTGAACTGCACGCTAGACCCCGAATTGGACATTAAGTGCATCGATGGCAAGCATCCCCTGCAACACGCTAGTACTATGAGCACTACCCTCAGTACATTGCTCCATACATACGATTTTTATGATTCTTGGCGCACCCTCTACCTGACAGAGACAAACTACACCTATTTTTCACGAGTACACCACACATACTCCCGTATAGATATGTGCTGGGTAGATAAGACTACGGTACCCAATCTAACCGAGGTGCAAATAGGTGACCGGACATAGTCTGATCACGCGCCGGTAATCACTACGTTCAGGGCTTTGTACCCCTCACGTGGGCGCAGCACTTGGCGCCTGAATGAATCCCTCATAGATAACGAGGACACTGCCACAAAAATTCGGGCCAGTATAGTATCGTTCTTCGAAACCCACCAATCTGACCCCACCCGCATAGACACTAAATGGTTAGCCCTCAAAGCCGTATTACGAGGCCTTTTAATCCAGGCGGGCGCAATAAATAAAAAGACCACCCTTACTGAATCAGATACTCTACTCTCCCAACTTAAAACACTAGACCAAGCCAATAAACTTAAACCAACTAAAACTGTATCCCGCAAAATTGAAAAGGTGAGGGAAAGACTACTTGAACTGTCCCTGATGGGCATGGAGCGACAGCTCCGCAAACTGAAGCTCGCCCACTATATGCAAGGGAACAAGGCGGGCAAATTGCTCGCAAATCGATTTAAAATCCTGATACATTCAATCCAAACTCCCATACATGACATCAACCACTGGATCAAAACTATTCAACCCGCAAGATATCGTGAACGAATTGGCAATTTTCTATAAGGGTCTTTACAATCTTACACAGGACAAAACACTACATCAGCCAACCGAATCGGAAATAACCACTTTTCTGACAGAGGCTACATTGCCTCGCTTGACTGCACAACAAAGTGCAATCCTGTCGGCCAAATTCACGGAAGAAGACGTACGAAATGCAATACACAAATTACCTAAACATAAAGCTCCAGGCCCAGACGGTTTCTCTAACCACTTTTACTCCACATTTGAAACACAGCTCACGCCACACCTCACAGCCCTTTTTAACTCCTTTAAAGACTCAGGAACTATGCCAGATGAGATGTTGCTTGCCCATATCGTTACACTCCCCAAACCGGGCAAACCTCCCACTGAATGCGCCAATTTGAGGCCTATATCCCTGCTGAACGCAGACACAAAACTCTTTGCCAAATTACTAGCCAATCGCCTTCAACCCTTCCTGCAAGATCTGGTCTCTCCAGAGCAGGCAGGGTTTGTCCCGAACAGACAACCGGGGGACAATACACGACACTTTCTGAACCTAATCTCCTGGGCCCAAAAATCTAACCAAAGCGGCATATTGTTAGCCCTAGACGCGGAGAAAGCGTTCGACCGCCTAAATTGGACTTATATGAGGGCTGTCCTGTCCGCAGTAGGCATCCCATTAGACTTTCTGACAGGGATCATGGCCCTATACGCTAATCCAGCTGCCAGAATTTTTAACTCCGGGTTTCTCTCTCAACCCTTTCAAATTTCAAATGGATCTAGACAGGGTTGCCCCCTTTCCCCATTAATCTTTATAATATGTATGGAACCTCTGGTTAGACATATAAAAAACGACAAAACGATTGAAGGCCTAGGTACCCCCATAGGGAACCAAAAAATAGCCCTATTCGCAGATGATGTTCTCCTATTTTTAACACGCCCGGAGAAATCGCTACCGAACTTGATAACCCTTTTGGGGAATTATGGTAAGGTTTCGTTCTATAAAAACAACGCCAAAAAGACACAAGCGTTGGCGATCGGGCTGTCACATGCATCCCTCTCCCCCCTGAAATCACTGTATCCCTTTGAATGGCGGAACTCCTCCATCTCATATTTAGGCATAAAGTTGCCTTCAAGGCATTCAGCAATAGTGCAGGAAAACCACTTACCACTTATTCACAGACTAGAACAACAACTTAAGACATGGGAGGAGAAAGAGATCTCCTGGTTAGGACGCATCCATACTGTAAAAATGATGATTCTCCCGCATATCTTATACTTATTCCGCACCCTCCCCATTACAATCCCTAATCCTATTTTAAAGAACTTTCAGGCCATGATAAACGCTCCTATTTGGAAACGGAAACCCCCCAGAATAGCGCAAAAATCACTCTGGCGCCCGTTTACAAAAGGGGGTCTTGGTGTTCCCAATATTAACCTTTACTACAAGGCGTCATTGCTGGCCCAAGGCCTCACGATCCTTCAACGCCCTTCTCCCCCGGTATGGTTGGCGCTGGAAAACGCCTGCACACCCAACGGCTCAATTCCTTTGTCTCTATGGGCAGGGTCAAAACTCACCAAAACCAAATCCTTGTTACCCACTACGGTCTCGCTCCTCCATAACTGGAAGCGAACCACATCATTATTCCTCCGAAACAACGACCTGCTCCTTGCAGCCCCACTTCAGGTCCTGGCTGTGCGAACGTCAGACATCCATTTAGACAATTGGCTTAAACAGGGGATCTCCCATGTCCGCTCATTAATGACCCCAGATGGCATCAAGCCTTTCCCAGACTTAATCCGGGAATTCCATATCTCTCCACGAGAACTATTCTCCTACCTCAGATTAAAAAATATTATCCAGGAATGCAGGATTAGCATGGGGGAACCCGACCACTTGACGCCGTTTATCCTTAAATGCATGGGCAAACTACCGAAAACCAAAGCTTTATCCTTATGCTACAACACATTATTGCTCCATAATAAGCCATCTAAATCATCGTACATGTCCAAATGGGAATCAGATCTAGGAACGCATATCCCAATAGAAATGTGGCATAACGCCCAAAGATTAACCAAACAGGCTTCCCATAGCCTTAACCAATCGGAAACATACTGCAAGCTAACGATTCGCTGGTATCTAGTCCCCACTAAATTGGCCCACATCTATCCGGGATCAGACGATCGATGTTGGAGATGCCACAACTGCGAGGGGTCCCTCCTCCATATATTTTGGTCATGCACACATATCACCGCGCTATGGCAGGAAATACATGCACTTCTATATAAAATTCTGGGTGTAACAGTACCTTTGACGCCAGAATGCTTCCTTTTACATATCTTCCCAGATACCCTCCCTGAAGAAACGGCTGTATTCACGATTCACTGCTTAATGGCCACCAAAACTGCCATCGCGCACAGATGGAAGTCCCCTTTGTCACCAACGCTGTCAGAAATTTTAGGCAGGCTAGACTCAACTCACACATACGAACGCATGGCTAGCCGGCTGACCAGCAGCCAAACTAAATACAGATCACGTTGGCAGGTCTGGGTAGACTATAGGAAGGGCGAGCCTCCTCCTCAGGGCCCATAATCGGTCCCCAATCCCCCCCGGGCTTTCCCAAACCAACTCTCTGTGCTAAGTGTTCTACTGTAATATGTCTGATACCAGGTTGTCTTCATGTATATCCACCATTGTTCTGTCACATATCGCTCTAACTGATAATTGTCATTTCCATTTGACCTAATATCAAGGTTTGTTTAATGACATTGTACTGTATGTGATGATCTATGCAAGCTGCCTTCCCCCCCCCCTTTCTCCTTTTCTCTTCTGTACCCCTCATTTGATTTGTATTCTGTGTTATTTGAATGCTGACAAACACACTTAAATAAAACACATTGGAAAAAAAAAAAAAATTGGATAGCATACAAGTTAGTCTGGGAAGCAATCTCCTCCCAGATGGTATCCCCTAAAAATAGTTCTAGATACTGCATTGGGGAGAAGTCATCCACATTAACATTAATGCCTGCGTTGGCACTAAAAGGGGGGACGTTGGGCTCGGCTAACTGTGGAGGTACCCAGTCCGCCTCCATATTCGGCGTAGCAGAGGAAGCACAGCTGACGCAGTGTCAGTGGTGTCAGAATCTAACGCCAAGAAGGCATATGCCTCCTGCAAGTTATACATACGCTGCATGTTTTACACACGACTAAAACAAATTACAAATTTATTAAAACAGACTAAACTAACTCCTGTCACAAAAATCTAATGGAGATTTGGGGGAAGGAAACTGACAGACCAAGAGACAGATTTTTAAAACAAATTTAACCCTTTTAAGTGCAAAAAAAATAATACAGACAGTACAAATGCACTACTGTAACAGATCTGGCAGGGAAGGGGTTAAAAGGTAATTTAAAAAAAAAAAATACTGATATTTTCTGATGGTCACTGAACACTGCTGCAACAAACTATCACGATCTCTGCCTCTCTCGCCTCACAAAACGCTACAGAGGAGAGAGGGGCAGAATCACTGTCAAAGTGAGTGTTTGTAACACCCACTTTGACAGCAGCCAATTGTGAGCGATCGCAGATCGCTCACACACTACAATTGGCTGTTACTATCTGCCTGGGATGTCTGGCAGATAGTTACAGTGTTATACCGACGGGAGCGATCTTTGATCGCTTCCTGTAGCCTGTTTTTTGCTATGACGGTTCAGGACCGTCAGCGGTCCAAACACACATTTTACCGCTGACAGTCCTGAACTGTCAGCGGTCCTGAAGGGGTTAATAATATTATTATTATTATTATTATTATTATTATTATTATAACGTGCCCCAGCTCCCTGATTATTATTAATTTGCAAGTGCAACAAAACGCTGCGCCTGTTAGTATTTCCTAATAGAGATGAATTGAATCAATGCATCTCTATGGGGAACATTCATTGCCTCCATGTAGAGTGTGGAGGTGCTGCACACTGTGCAGCACTGGACTAGGAATTCACCTCTAGTAGCCATCTGAGCGACTCTCACTAGAGATGTTACAAGGGAACAACGTGAACACTGCATTTTCTCTGAAAAGGCATTGTTTACAATGAAAAGTCTACAGGGACAGTATATAGACACCAGAACTACTAAGTTAAGCTGTCTTGGTTCTGATGACAGTGGTATCCCTTTAAGAATTGTATTATTGTCACTGAACATAACTTAGTTTAAAAAAAAAAAACTGGCTCCTAACTTTTTTAGCTGGCTCCTAGATTCCAAGCAAATTTGTCAAGTCCTGATGTAATACAAATCAAAGCTTTAAAAAGAATTACCTTATTACAATTATAAAATGCAGCGTGTATTTTTCTTCCAGTCCTTCTAGAAATTTCAAGACTATTGAACACTGGGCTGGATATGGAAACACTGTCAATCTGTGTAAGGTTGTGTGAACAAGGAATTAATCCAGAGGCCTTGTCTTCAGTAATAAAAGAGCTACGGAGGGCAACAGAAGCTCTGAAGGTAATTATTATTGCAATTTATGGTGACAGTCCCACTTTAAAAGTTACATGCATATCTTAAAATAAAAAAAAGAGAGACTGTACTATAGGGTCTGGGCTAGAATTTATACCACACAGACCAGGCTCGCCAAGCAATTTGTATATGGTATACAAATAAACTATAATTCCTTCAAACACCTCAATAGCAACGTATGACCATTACATAACCTAAGTATTAAAGGGACCCATTAATCATCAAGACCCTCATTGAAGTTTGTCTGAGTGCCATGCCCCCCCCCTTAACCCCTTAAGGACACATGTCAGAAATATTCTGTCATGATTCCCTTTTATTCCAGAAGTTGTGTTCTTAAGTGAAAACATTGCCGTTCTGCATGGTTAAAATGCCTGTGGGAAAGCATTGGATTGACATCAAGCTTGATGATCTCAGTCAAGGAGGTGGAGCTGGCCACAGAAAGAGCACCATGGCAAGGAGGTAATGTTGTGCTCTCTGTAGCTAGCCAAGATTCCCCTATATCACCATTCTGTCTGCTTCATTAATTCCTATATGAGTCCTGTGTGTTGAGGGGCCTGGCATATAATGCAAGTCCCTATATGTGCATCTGTACTCTCATAGGGTTGCCACTGGAATTATTTATGGGTCTCCTTACAAAGATCCTTTGGTCACAGCTGGCCCACCACAAATGAAAAAAGATGATAGTGGGGCAAATGTGGAGATCTTCTGATCTCCCCAATAGGTTGCACATGATCAGGTCTTCCCTGCACGCATGCCATAGATTGCAGATCTTCTTGTGGGCCAAATCTGAATTGAAAATCTGAGTCAGTTTTGATAATTTTTCTCAACTGGGTTATTGTGGCCTAACAAATGGATTTTTTACAATCTTTATTTAACACTTTGAAAAGATGACACATAGTAGAAAATTAAAAGTTGGTAACTTAACATAAGGAGAATATCATATGACTGTACAAAAGTCAATAGGAAACATTACGGCTGATACAGCATTCCTAGTGTGATTTTATACCAAATAATTGAAACAATCGAAGGACAGTCACCACTCAAACACAGTAAAATAACAAGGAAGGGAACCCTCCAAAAGAAAAGAGGGGAATGGCGAAAAAACGAAATAGGGGGAGGGAATTTAAGGGGGGAGGGGGAGAAATCTGCCTTTAAGTATTTAAAAGAGAATAATGTTAAGCTAGTCAGACCCAGTTAAAATATGATTTTTTTTTTTTTTTTTTTATCGAATAGAACCTCTGTTACAGTTTTATATATGAATTACATTTTTTTTTTTTTTTATATTAATGAGCAATTTTTACAAATTTTTTTACATTTGTGTCAAACGTCCAATTCTTTAAAGTATCACTAATATTCTTGCTTGCTTTCTAGGCTCCTGACAATGTGGCAAGTTAGGGTGAGGATGGTGCAACCAAAGCAGTCAAAAGGGATATCTTTTTAAATCAAGCTTGGAAAGATGATGATGGTCCAGTTACCTAACAACTCTGCACAACATTCATCTATCCAAAAACTACATGTCATGCATTATGAACTGTGGACATTTGTTTACTTTTTGTAGATATTTATATTTGTTGGGCCCTTGAATCATTTCAATACACTTAATTTGATAGCAAGTTGCATGTCATTTCACTATTATTTATTGTACATGGGGAGATCTTTCTACTCTGACATGTTTTGATCAAAATTTGCCATCATTGAAATCAATTGCAAAGTGGATGACAACAGCACTTGTTTTGGTTTTACACATTTTTTTTTTTTAAATGGAAGTGTATGCAACAGATCAGATCATTAATCATCATCAGGTTTACTGCAGTAATAATTGATATCTGTTGGAATGTAAAACACTGTTTTACGGTGGTCTGTATAGTGTGCTAATAAATAATGTCACCTTGTGTTTGGCCAGTCATTAGAATGCTTTATTGCATCTGACCTCTATCAGACATGTCTGTGTCAAGTATGCTTTGTGTTTTAAAGAGACACTATAGTCACCTGAACAGCTTTAGCTTATTGAAGCAGTTTTGGTGTATAGAACATGCCCCTGCAGCCTCACTGCTCAATCCTCTGCCATTTAGGAGTTAAATCCCTTTGTTTATGAACCCTAGTCACACCTCCCTGCATGTGACTTGCACAGCCTTCCATAAACACTTCCTGTAAAGAGAGCCCTATTTAGGCTTTCTTTATTGCAAGTTATGTTTAATTAAGATTTTCTTATCCCCTGCTATGTTAATAGCTTGCTAAACCCTACAAGAGCCTTCTGTATGTGATTAAAGTTCGATTTAGAGATTGAGATACATTTATTTACGGTAAATTACATCTGTTTGAAAGTGAAACCAGTTTTTTTTTCATGCAGGTTCTGTCACTCATAGCCAGGGGAGGTGTGGCTAGGGCTGCATAAACAGAAACAAAGTGATTTAACTCCTAAATGGCAGTGAATTGAGCAGTGAAATTGCAGGGGAATGATCTATACACTAAAACTGTTTTATTTAGCTAAAGTAATTTAGGTGACTATACTGTTCCTTTAATCTGTATGTATCCTGCATAATTGAATAAAATAGTGCACTCTGATTTCCAGTACCTGATTCTACATGGTATGTTGTGTAAACACAGAATTATCTTGTTCTTTCTTCTTAAAATACCCAAATGCCAATTTTATAGAAACTTTGTAATACATTAATAAGAACATGTATCTTATGTTTTGTATTGATATTCAGTAGCACAATGATCAATATTCTTTTTATACGTTAACCTTATTCACATATTTATTGTTTGAAAACAGCCATGATTATGTACATCTTTATACAACCCCCCCATATTCTACAACAGCTTAAAGGGACACTATAGTCACCAGAACAACTACAGCTTAATGCAGTGTTTAGATTGCCCCGAGGGACACATCCAAGTGACCACTCAGATGGCCACTGGAGGGGCTTCCTGGCTCAGGGCTGTACAGTAAGCAGCCCTGCTGTTCAGCGTCCCCACACTCTACATGGAGATGCTGAATTTTCCTCATAGAGATGCATTGATTCAATGCATCTCCTACGAGGAGGTGCTGATTGGCCAAAACGCCGTCTGGCCACGTCCCCTTGCGTATTTTAGCCAATCCAATGCTTTCCCATGGGAAAATATTGGATTGGCTAAAAAGCTGCAATTTTGATGATGTCACTAAGGGGGCAGGGCCAGCACTGGCAGACCCATGGAGAGCTGAAAATAAGGTGAGTTTTAACCCAGTCTGAGGAGGCTAGGGGGGGCAAGCCACCTGAATGGTGGGTTTTCACTATAGGGTCAGGAATACATGTTTGTGTTCCTGACCCTATAGTGATCCTTTAAGCTTTTCTTCATATGGACTCAACACAGTTCTGGAGACATACTTTAAAGGTCTTGGCAATGCTTATTTGATATCATATTTACACACCTCCTATAGATTTTCTGGGTATATAATCATGCTGCATGTTTCTAATTTTCTCTTATGTCAAATGAGCTCTATTGGATTTTGATCTGAGCACTATACAAGTCATTTGAGTTGGATCGCCTGCCCGCTTCTGTCTTCTTCTTTTCCAGTGATTACTGGAATGTGACAGTGTAATCTGCTTCTACTGTAACACATGTGCTTCAAGGGCCAATGTTTCTATGTGATGATAAACATATCTATTTCATGAGCTACAGTTGCAAGAAAAAGTATGTGAACCCTGTGGAATGATATGGATTTCTGCACAAATTGGTCATAAAATGTGATCTGATCATCTAAGTCACAACAATATACAATGACAGTCTGCTTAAACTAATAAACACACAAAGAATGAAATGTTGCCATGTTTTTATTGAACACACAATGTAAACATTCACAGTGCAGGTGGAAAAAGTATGTGAATCTGTAGACTGTCATCTCCAAGAGCTAATTGGAGTGAGATGTCAGCCAACTGGAGTCCAATCAATGAGATGAGATTGGTGTTGGTTACAGCTGCCCTGCCCTATAAAAAACACACACCAGTTCTGGGTTTGCTTTTCACAAGAAGCATTTCCTGATGTGAATAATGCCTCGCACAAAAGAGCTCTCAGAAGACCTATGATTAAGAATTGTTGACTTGCATAAAGCTGGAAAGGGTTATAAAAGTATCTCCAAAAGCCTTGCTGTTCATCAGTCCACTGTAAGACAAATTGTCTATAAATGGAGAAAATTCAGCACTTCTGCTACTCTCCCTAGGAGTAGCCGTTCTGTAAAGATGACTGCAAGAGCACAGTGCAGACTGCTCAATGAAGTGAAGAAGAATCCTAGAGTGTCAGCTAAAGACTTACAAAAGTCACTTGCAAATAACAAGAATTAATTTCATGGGAGGATACCACAGAGGAAGCCACTGCTGTCCAAACAAAACATTGCTGCACGTTTACAGTTTGCACAAGAGCACCTGGATGTTCCACAGCAGTACTGGCAAAATATTCTGTGGACAGATGAAACCAAAGTTGAGTTGTTTGGAAGAAACACACAACACTATGTGTGGCGAAAAAAAGGCACAGCACACCAACATCAAAACCTCATCCCAACTGTGAAGTATGGTGGTGGGGGCATCATGGTTTGGGGCTGCTTTGCTGCGTCAGGGCCTGGACGGATTGCTATCATCGAAGGAAAAATGAATTCCCAAGTTTATCAAGACATTTTGCAGGAGAACTTAAGGCCATCTGTCTACCAGCTGAAGCTCCGCAGAAGATGGGTGTTGCAACAGGACAATGATCCAAAGCACTGAAGTAAATCAACAGAGTGGCTTAAACAGAAGAAAATACGCCTTCTGAAGTGGCCCAGTCAGAGTCCTGACCTCAACCCGATTGAGATGCTGTGGCATGACCTCAAGAAAGAGATTCACACCAGACATCCCAAGAATATTTCTGAACTGAAACAGTTCTGTAAAGAGGAATGGTCAAGAATTACTCCTGACCGTTGTGCACGTCTGATATGCAACTACAGGAAACGTTTGGTTGAAGTTATTGCTGCCAAAGGAGGTTCAACCAGTTATTAAATACAAGGGTTCACATACTTTTTCTACCTGCACTGTGAATGTTTACATGGTGTGTTCAATAAAAACATGGCAACATTTAATTTTTTGTGTGTTATTAGTTTAACCCCTTAAGGACACATGACGTGTGACATGGCGTGATTCCAGAAGTTTGGTCCTTAAGGGGTTAAGCAGACTGTGATTGTCTATTGCTGTGACTTAGATGATGATCAGGTCACATTTTATGACCAATTTGTGCAGAAATCCATATCATTCCACAGGGTTCACATACTTTTTCTTGAAACTGTATATGGATAAGGTTATGTGTTCAAGTACTATTAGGCACTAGCAATGTAGCACCTTTTGGTTTTTATCTCCCTTCCTTCCCCTCCTATCAATGCAAAATTATATCATCAAGCCTCATGTTCCTTTCGCTTTGCTACAGTAGGTAATATGTTGGCGCTATATAAATTATAAAAATACTAGCCAATTGTGAAATATATTTTTTGAATGAGCTCTATTCTGTTCTACAGATTTACAATCATTGGGTGGAGCATTGATAAGTACAGCTGCTCACTGCATTAGTTTGACTCCATAATGTTGTGGTTTGAGGAGAGATAAGTAGTGCTGAGGGAGCCTTGGCGCTGTAAAACAGTTAGTAAAAACCTTTGTTACTACTATTTTCATGGGGCGCACGGGGCAATTGGGGGATTACTAAATAACTATGTATTCCTGACCCTCTAGTGTTAAAATCACCATCTAGTCCCCCCTTGCCTCCTTAAATATAGTTAAATCTTACTTGTATTCAAGTCTGCAGCTGCTGCCTCTGCCCCTGTCTGTTGACATAATCAGGCATGGTGGTCTGAGCCAATCACAATGCTTCCCCATAGGATTGGCTGAGACTGTCAAGGAGGCAGATCGGGGCAGAGCCAGCACAAGTCAAACACAGCCCTGGCCAATCAGCATCTCCTCATAGAGATGAATTGAATCAATGCATCTCTATTTGTAAAGTTCAGTGTCTGTATGCAGAGGGTGGACACTAGGGCTGCACACTAGGCAAGACTGCCCCAGGAAGCACCTCAAGTAGCCATCTGAGGAGGGCCAGTAGAGTTATCACTAGGCTGTAATTTAAACACTACATTTTCTCTGAAAAGACTGTGTATACTGCAAAAATCCTGAAAGGAATAATTCTACTCATCAGAACAAATACAATAAGCTGTAGTTGTTCTGGTGATTATAGTGTCTCTTCAAAATATTAAACATTTCGAGGGTTACCCCAACCAAAAACCAGTGTTTTAGGAAAGCCTGGTCCACCCCTCCTCCACTTAATAAATAAATAGCAAAAGCTCCCCTTACTTTCCAGCACCAATGCCAAGTTCTCCCTAAGCCCAATCTTCTTCCTATTTAATCACACACCGGAGGGAAGCTAGAGCAGGCCTAGTGGTGCAATACCTCCATTATCTGTTTGATGCTGTCAGATGCCAATTTTACTCGGAATTGAAATTTGCCAACCCAAAACAATTATGCTGATGCTCAGTGATGCTGTTGGAGTGGACTTTACAAGGTAAATATCCATATGTGCAGGGTTTTACTATGAAACTCTTCACATACAGACTCCAGGGCAGCATTACCACAATAAACAACTGATGTGTTTTTAAAAATGTTTTAATATGTTTCACTATGTATCAGACATTTTTGTTTAATACATTTTCTTGTTCTCTAGTAATTTTACACAAATTCATGCTCCATCCAATGCCTTCATTGATTGTTACACATGGTGAAACTATGGTCCACTAGATGGCAGACTAGCACTAATAATATTTCCAATTATGCCATAGTAAGCACTAAACCGCAAATTGTGATATATATGTATGTAAATATACTATGCAAATTTAATTAAGCTTCAGTGACCCTTTATGGAATTATTTACAGAAGAAACAAAAACTGATTATTGGAGTTAAGAGACAATAAAAACCAGCACATGGGTCAATATTTGTTATTATAAGATTGTCTTTAAACTTGGCACTTCACTTATTAATAGTTCCAAGAGGAGTTTTACTTTTTTCTCCCCTGAAGCAGTGCTCAAAATAATTTACCAGCTATATCAACATATTATAACTTTCTAACTTTCTTTACCGCAGAACAGATTAATCAATTAATTTCCTAACCTTTTTTTAAAATAAGATCTTATGTCTAGTATTAGAAATATCAGCTGTACATTACTGTACTCCGCAGGAGTCCCCCTTCCCTATTTAATATATTATGTCAAATATGCATTAAATATGCAAAAATTAATTAAACAAAAAAATAAATAAACATCACAGTCGACATTCGTGTATTTTTATTATCATGTTCAATAGTTGTAACTCTTTGATACCCCAGGCTATTTACATGTAAAACAAAAAAATTATTTTCTTTAAAAAAAAAGAAAATCACTTTTGAAATTCTAGCATTTCGTATAATTTTTCATCTAGAAATTGGTTACACCATCAAAAATCTGCATTGTGTTTAATGGTAGCTGAACATTACCATCCAAACCCCTAAAAGAAGAGGTGTATGAAGCATACACTTCTGCACTTGACAGCAAATAAATAAGATGAATGAAACTGCTTCCTTAGATGACAGTAGCAGCTCCATTGCAATGGCAAGAAACCATTTACAGTTTTGTATGAAGTAGCTGTTAACAGGCATCCAGCAACATGCATGCATACAGCTTGCAGGTCAGTTTCCTCTACAGTAAGTAGTTAGGACAACATTTCAAGTGAGCTAAACGAATGTTACTGTTCCTTAGGATGGCCAGGCTGAACACAGTGCCTATAGAAAGGTTAAACAAACCTTTAAACAGTTAGATTCAAGAGTAAGCTGAAGTCAAGGGTAAGAGAAGAACAAAAAAAGGAAGCAAAAGTCTAGGTCAACAGAAGTCAAGGAAACCAAGTACAAGCCGAGTCACAACTGAAAATCAGCAGAACAAAATAAATGCATTTTCAGGTAAATAAAGGCCACAATAGGGCATTGAAGAATCCCAGCTGTGGTGAAGAAAGCTTATAGGCTGACATACTTGCAATGTCAGAATGTGCAGTCAAGATGTTGCACTAATGCTCTGGTATGTATATTTTGGGAATAAAAGGACGTGGAAAGGTGTGTTGTCACATCTTTACACCACAATGACCTGGACATGTTGGGTTAATGTCCACTGATGTGTGTACTCATTCTAAAGTACTCAATCTCCTGTTACCTTTGTAGATCTAGATCCAGTGTCTGCTTTGAAGGTAGAAGACACCTACAATATTAGCAGAAGCACTTTTTGACTCAGGAGAGGCTGCCCAGAGGCACTATCAGAGGATAGAGACAAACTAACTGATGAAGCCGCAGCAATTCAATCATATTGGAAAATGTTGGTGTATGGCCAGAAAGCAGGCTATATCCTTTGGTGCCTGGCAGCAACATTGAGACCTTTATGAATTCATAAATCACACACACATGCTTCAAACTGTGGGCATAAAGGGTTATTCACTTAAGTGAGAATTGTCAGGATTTCAAAGTGAACTTTAAAATATAAGGCCAAAGTAGCCAAACTAAAAGCAGAGATGACTTGGGGAATGTATCATGTTCAGCTATTTTGACCTAAAATGTGAAATTAAATTTGAATTTCAGTCAGCTGTCAGTTCAGTGAGTAATACTGTAGGCCACCATTAACAGACATCAGCAGTATTAAAGGATGTGTAAGGCTGGTCCACATCACTTCAATAGCAACATTCTCCATATGACTTCTTCATCGTGACAATGGAAGGACAATTCAGATATGGTGGTGACCACAGCCTTCATATTATGTACCATAATAAAGTTATTTCACACCAGTTAAAATGTTATTGTTCTACTTTATGCCAAAAATTCTGTTAACTGTTATTTGATGTAACCATTTGTAGGTCCCATCTCTGCATATTCTGCACTGCAATCCGATACTATGTCAACATCACTATTTGTATTTGTACTGCAATTTTCAGTCTCACCTAAAATACTCAAAAACTTTAAATAAAGAATTTTTAAAAGGGTGTGTGCTATAACTAGAGTTCATCCTTCCCTTCGTCCTTTTCTGTATCCAAAGTCTAGTCTGGTTACATTTTAAGATGGTGGGGAGGCGGACTACTTCCCTGTAATTTGAATCCATCCCTTAACCTTGTAACCACCATTTTCTGACCTAAGGCATCTGTCAACCATTAATCGTAGTCCCTATACAAAATTCAGAGAAGCATACTATACAGAGTTACCTATACAATACTCAGAGCTAGGTATAGTATAAAGATATTCATACAATACAGCTAATACCTATACAATACACAGAACTGAGTAGCTTACAGAGATACCCAGACAATACACAGGAACCTATAGAAAAAAACACTGAGAAGAAAAAGGCGGTAACAAAATGCAAAGAACTGAGCTTAATACAGAGCTACCCATACAAAACTTAGAGCGGGCAACAACAAAAAAATAACTATAAAATACACAAAAGATGGATAGACAACAGAGACACCCATACAACAGGCAGAACTGACTAAAATACAGACAGGGTTATTCACTAAATTCCAAATGGCCCTATACTGAACAGGGCAAAAACATCCAGTGCTGTACAGGGCCCTTCGGAATGCAAATTTCAGACATTTCTAAATATTTATCAATATCCAGATTTTGCAAGTCCTGGATGAACCTGAATTTGGTCTAGACATCAGTCAAACCAAATGCTGAAGTGTTAAAACTGGTAACAGGACAGCCTCTCTCTGTGCTCACAGCCATTGTTAGAGGGTGGAGGCTCGTTTTAAAATGTAGCTGGTGGGGGCTCTAATTATAATACAGGTAGTACTAGTTTAAACCCACACCTCACCAATGGGTGGCAGATGAGTGCTACTAATAATAATACTGGGAAGACCTAGAGTCCATCCCCCAGCCTCCACCCATGAGTGGCAATAAAGGGGTATTAATTAAATATACAATTGGGGTTGGCCTATCATTATCCACCGTACAGTTTAGTGACTAGGGATCCCCAAGTTTAGAACAACTGCCCTTTAAAATAAAGTAACTCTACCTGCCCCACCTTAACCTAACAATAGTGAAGGGGGAAGCCAATAAAACTAATAATAAAAAAATCATACTTACCATCAGAAATCTTTTTTTTAATTCAGCCTCAAAAAGGCCAAATTGAAAATAAAACCCCCCCACTGAAAACAATAATAAAAACAACAACATAACAACAAATATTTCCATCTTCACCCTGTGATGGCTCCACATTTTATAAAGGATCTCTAATGCTTTGAATTCTCTTTATTCTGGCCTCGGAATAATCTTATGACAAGTCTCGAAGGAAGTGATACATGCCTGTGAGAGAGCTCTGACTAGTTGGATTACATTTTCTAATGGAAAAGGCTTTTCCCGCCTTAATGGTCATCTGAGGGGATCTTTCGCAGGGTGAAGATTGCACTATTTTTTGTTGCGTCAAGTATTTTATTTTTTTAAATATTTTTTTGTTTGTTGTGTTCTTATGGATTTTTAATTTGGCCATTTTGGAAAGCCTCCACCCACCGATCACTGGCCTTGGAAGGGGGTGGACAGCGATCTGTCCACTCCTCATTATTTAATTTAAGGTCCCCATCATGGGTAGGACCCAAGTTAGTGACTTTCTAGTGACTGCTTGCTCTGCCAGCAGACAAATAGTACTTCAAATAATCAATCACTTACAAAAAGCAAATCAACTATAATTTGCAAAAGTGCATCCTGCCAGAAGCATTCAGTCCCAATTTTTTTTTTCAAAACCAGGGCTTTATAAATATGAAAAATCTATTTGATTTAATTGATTAATTGCTGTCATTGGCAATATTGATGAATTTCTTATGCAAACTGCTGCATGCTGCCATCATTCTGGTATCATTTTGGGTGCAGATCTCTACGAACTCATATCATTTTATCATGCTGGGAGGCTTTGTGCCATTTGCCACCCATGTCTACTTGCATCCTTCATGTCACATTGACCTTGTACCGTTTGACATTGCAGGACTGACACAAACCAATCAATCCAAATCCTCCTCTGTCCATTCTGTACCCTGTCGTGGTTTCCCTAGTACTTTTCCAAGAGTACATTTTGATACTCTATTGATTCCAGGTATTTTGACTTTGGTTTGTTCCTGACTATTCTCTATTCTGTAATCTTTTATCCTGGCTAATTCATGTTACCTTCTATTGTCCTCGATCTCGGCTAATTGCTGACTTTTCTCTAGCCTGTTATACAGGTCTTTATTACTTTACTGTTAGGGTTAAGCCAGGCCAACCCTAACGACCGGTATTACACTTCTGTTCATTTCTTTTTCCTATCTTACCTAGGCATGACCTAGGTTATGCGTGTTGGACCTGGTGTTACCATGAAAATTGCTATATTTTACTGCTCTAATCCAGAAAATATATGATTATGAAATCTAAGCAAATTAAATATCTTACACAGAGCTTGTATTGTAGTAGTGCATCCCACTATCACATATACCCAATTTTCCTTAAATTTTTGTTTGTTTTTGTGTATATTAGAATTTACTGCCTGTAAAAAATTATGAATGTTGCTATTGAAGTCTCTGTTAACTGCATGAACTGTGGTGTTCTTCAGAACTGCACCTCAACATAGGGTCATACTTCAATACATTTCAAAAATGCTGTGTTTTCACTAAGGACATTAAAATGTTTCAAATATTGTAATACAACCAAAAGAAAATTAATTAGTTAATTAAAAAGCGTTATGCACGAGCAAAGCACTTTTACTTTCCTTAGAGAATTTAAAGCTTGTGCGTAATCAGATTGTGGTCATTTTTAATCATCAGAAGATTTGATTTTTACTGTTAATAAAGAAAATTCGAGCTTCAGCCAATATTCCAGGCCAAGTTGGATAGAGATGTTAAAAATATAGAAGATTATAGCAAGATGCAACTAACACAAATTTGATTATGGTTTGAGAGGAAATCACATTATCTTGTAGAAAAACAAACAGAAGATAAGAGAACACTGAGAGTGGGCAAAAAAAAATTTGGATGGTAGCTTGACTTTCAGTTAGTCTACACTTAGATCTCAAAACAAGTTTATGCTCAGTCACAACTGCCATTACGAGAAATGATATGCCATTTTCAGATCCCACTCATAAGGGCAGTCTAGATTCAGCTTAGCATCCTCATGAACTCAGTGATTTCATATTATTGAAAGACTAGAAGTGTATTTTTATGTTGATAAAGCATACACCTTCTATAGACTGCAAGCTCATTTGAGCAGGGCCCTCATCAACCTATTGTTCCTGTAAATATTTGTAATTTTCTCATTTATTGTTACGTCTCCCCCTTTGATAATATTGTAAAGCACTACGGAATATGCTGGCGGTGTATAAATACCAGTAATAATAATACTACTTCCCAACAACTGGGAAGTGGGGAATCTGGACGGGTGTGGCACGGAGGGTGGTGTCACCAGTGACACAATTCACTAGTAAAGCCCATAATGGATGGGCCTGCCCAGAAAGAGGCAGGCCAGCCAACTGATAGGCAGCCTGTCCAGCCCAAGCCTTCAGGATGATGCAGCCATGCAGGGAGTGCCGCTGAAGTGCAGCTGAAGTGCTTCCTGTTTGGTCCTAGTGCCTGTTTCACAGCGCATGCTCATCTAATGATGTGCTCAAATTGTACTGCCGTAGACAGTTCCCTAGTGTCTTCAAAGCAGGATACTGGAGAATGAAGAGGAAACCACAACAGAGCAATGATAATGAGGTTAAAACTTTTTTTAAACACTGATGTGGACACTAGTTGGTCCCAGTCACCCCTGTGACCTCAAAATGGGCAAGAATGAGGTCTCAGGGATGACACGGCACTGCCAAAATAGGAAATTATGCTAGGCTTCATAGAGATATAAGTCAAGATGTGCCATGAGCGTGCAGCGTCCATCTCTCTCTATCATGAAGAGCATACATGTCTAGATCAGCACATTCAGGGAATTCGGACTGCCCGAATGCAAGTGCCAATCAGGAAAGCAGAAGTTAACCTGGAGGCGGTATTTCCCGGACTACATGCACAGTGTGCTCAGACAAGTTGCATCCGCATGTCGATCAGGTAAGTACCGTGACAGCGCTACAACAGTCGTGTTTATTAAAGAGGAACTGTTAGCTCTCTGTGACAGCTCAATTATCACTCATTCAAGTAAACACTGTTGAAGATATTGAGATGTGCAGCAGAGTAAGTAAAAATCACACATATTATTATAATCACCTATTTACTTATCTACTCAATGTATTTTTGTCAACATTCTCTTGTGATGAAGTGTGTTCACATACATGCTGGGAACTCTTTCAAAGATGCTGTGCACCACATGATTACAGAATTTATTGTACTAATTTCAGCAGCTGTAATTATACCCACGCATAGTCATAATATTTATATTTTATTGACATTTTGGGAAACTTCATAAAACCATAAAATAATGCCATAATTCTTACCAATATATTCTAGCAGAGTATTTGATGATTTTATACCCCCATAATTGTGAACAAATTTAAAACAACTTTAAATTCACAAAATTCTATTTTTTCTTTGGGTAATTCTGTACATCAACATATATGTACATACCGTATCTCACAAAAGTGAGTACACCCATCACATGTTTGTAATTTAATGTCTAAACCGTGGGCAACAAAAGTGAGTACACCCCCTAAGTGGAAATGTCCAAATTTCTAGACATTAATGGCTGTGTGTTGAGTTATTTTGAGCGGACAGCAAATTTACACTGTTATACAGGCTATACACTTACTACTTAACATTGCAGTAGAGTTGCCATTTCTTCAGTGTTGTCACATGAAAAGATGTAATAACATTTTTACAAAAATGTGAGGGGTGTGCTCACTTTTGGGAGATACTGTATATTTGTTTCATCCATGTACCTGCTGTGCAAGCATTGCTTCAAATAAAAATTATTCATATATTAGGGCTAAAAAAACAGCATTTTAAAACACTATTTTATCTAGATGCTCATCTGTTGTGCGTTGGTATTTGTTTCTCCATTATATTTGTTTGTTGGGATTCATATAACTGATATCTGGAAACGGTGATCACATTTCGTAAAACTTGTCACTTTAAATAAAGAATTAAAAAAAAAACACTTTTATTTATATAGTGTTTTTTTTAAACATATACATGTACACATTAATATTAGTTATTATATAGAGGGTTAAATACATATTTGTTGTTGGTTGGACAAAGTGTGCTACTACTACCTATTAATGATTTCAGGGTTGTTCTATTCTAAACAGCTTCATTTTTATAATTCACTGGTTCCATTTATTAAAATACTTTTCTTTTCACTTCAAAGATGTCGGTAATTATTCTCTGCTTCGGAAGATTCCAACTTTGATGTAAAAAACATATGCATAACAAGAAATAAAAAATAAATCAAGATTTTCTTTTCAGTTTGGACATAGATTGACTACTTAATGGATGTGATAAGATGCACTTTCTTGTGGCCTATCTTGGCTGTCACATCACATTTTGCCCTGCTGGAAGGCTGGCTATTGTGACAGTCACTGTTGCAATGGGAGCAGCATATCTGCACCTTATTTTCAACCCTGGTTGTCAAAGGGAAAACATGAACATTAAAATTTAATCCAGTATGGAACTAATGAATCAAACATTACTTTGATCTGTTAGCTGAATTTCCAAGTTCCTTGCCAACATTCAAGTAAGTAATGGATTGAAATAGCAGGTGGTGTTGGATGAATTTAAAGAATTTAGATCATAAGAATAACATTATCTGAAGCATTGTTTGCAAACATCAGTCTACTGACAGGGAATTCAACAAATGCATTACAGTATGCAGTATAGTATGTAACATAAAAACTATTTAAATAAGTGGATTTATTTTTAAAGTGGTAATCGACCCTTTGGTACTCTGCATTTTAATTTAATTTAACACTGAACTAGTCTAAATAATATAACTAGTACAGCTTGGTATAGTGGTTATGCTGCTTGGAGTCTCTGGGTACCAACCCTATTATGTTAAACCATTAAGGAATGGGTTGTCAAAAAAATGATACTAGAGTTCTTTGACGTAGTGGTTGGCTTAAACATTGTATGATCATATAGGTTGCTTAAATCCCCAAAGTTATTTGTTAACATAGGTGATTTTAAGTAGCCTTGTAATCCTTTATTTCACTTACCTCTTTCCAGCGCTAAAGTCCCTTGGCTATGGATAGATCTTCCATGTATCCATTCCAATGTGGAACCTAACGTGCATCCGCTGCGGGTACTGTGTGCGAATTAGAGTTTATGGGGAATTTAATCATAATACAGATTAAGGAGCAGCGCACACATAAAAATAAATTTTTCATTTTATAAGGCTACTTAAAATCACCTATCTCAACAAACAAATATGGGGATTCAGTTCCACCATATTGTGTTAAGCCCACCATTACTTCACAGTACCCCAATATCGGTGGGTCCTACACTAATTCAAATGTGGGAGACAAATTAAATAGTGCTAGTGTTAAATAAACTAAACTGAATTAGCATTGTAAATATATATAATGCAAAATTAATGTGATAAACCAAATTCACAAAATGCAGTGTCAAAACTAAACAATTAAAGTGATAGACCTTTGATGTATATACTCACAATGCAAATCATATTTCTGCTCTATGAAAATTATAATAAAAGTGACCTTACTATCCAAAATCTCCTTAAATATATACCTTTCTGTGGTCACCTCCAAAAAAGCCTCTGAAGCTGGGGGCTGGGCAGGGTGCTCAACCCAAAAGGAATCAGGTTTGGGTTTCAAACTTACATAGTAAAGATAAAAGGGAATTGGGGGCTCACCCAAAACATGCATATTGCAGGAATGGCGCTGCCGTAGTGACCAAAATGCACACATAATACAGATTAAGGAACAGCTTACACATTAAAGTACATTTTTTCATTTTATAAAGCTTCTTAATATCACATTATGTATATTCACAATGCTCTTACCATAGATTATTAAAATTAACTTTAGCTTATTAAGCACTAGCATGTTGGTATTAGTGTAAGACTCACCAATTTTAGGTTACTATGAAGTAGTGGTGGGCTTAACACAATATGGCCATATGGTGGAATTGAATCCACATATTTGTTTGTTGAGATAGGTAATTTTAAGTAGCCTTAAAATTTTTTAAAATGTATTTTTATGTGTGCGCTTAATATGCATTATGTATAAATTTTGGTGACTGCGGCTGCACCATTCCTGCAAAATCCATGTTTTAGGTGTGCCCCCAAGTCTATTTTGTCTTTACTATGTAAGTTTGGAATCCAAAACTTTGTGGCTAAACTTTTTTTTAAATGTGTAATGCACTATTGGGCATTAGTGACTTGTTCTTCCTTAATTAAAATAATAAAATAAAATAAAAAACAGCTTACCTAGAATCCAGCGACGGGTGAAGCTCACTCTCTGGTCTCCACACTCTGTCTGACGTCACTCCTTTCCTCTCCGTTTGCCAATCAAATGCTTCTCACAGATGTAGTTTCTGTGCAGAGTTATCAATAGGCAACTCAGAACAGAGTTTCAGGTTGTCAAAGTCAAGAGTGCTGGGTGGAGTTGTGGGGGTAACTAGCCCCACACAAAATGGCATATTACGATGTATATGCATCATTTCAAGCAAAAAGTGTCCTGAAAATAACAGCTACCCTCTTCTTCCAAACAGTAAATAAAGTTTTAATGAGTTATTCCATTCCTACAGTCAAGTAGGGCATAGAGGCAAATGAGCTTTTTAACTTCACTGTTAGCATTACATTAGGATTCCAGAAATTGACAAAGATTGTTATAGCACTTTTTAAAAAATGTTATTTTTAAAATATATGATTTAATTGTAATTACTATATGTCAGCATTATTTTATATTCTGATCCATTGTCAGCAATCTCTACTGCTAGTAATGCTTTCGAATTCCCATATACCTATAAGAAGACCAATTTGATAATTTTTACACCTACTAAAAATATTTTTGATTTAGACCACAATTTCAGATCCTGTGTGAAACATTACAAGATAAAATACTCTGTATACTGCCAAAGGCTTTTCATTTCCCCAGAATTTCTATAAAGGATAAATGAATAACAGAAAACTATACATTGTGTAGACATGTGCAATTAGTTTCATTTCGAATGTCAATTTGGATGAATTTCGGGCATTTCGGACATTTGGATACTTCTGAATGTCCGAATAGCTGAATTGCCGAAGTTCCGAATTGCCGAAGTTCCGAAATTGGTGAATTTCCGAAGTGTTGAAGTTCCGAAGTGCCGAAGTTCTGAAGTTACCAAAGTTCCGAAGTGTTGAAGTGCTGAAGTGCCGAAGTTCCGAAACACAGTATTACCGAAGTACTAATATACCTACCCAGTGGAGGAATGAAGAATGTGACACTGTATACACGTTTAAATAAAAAGTATACAAACATAGCCAGGATTCAGCTGTAAGCACTTGCAACACTTACAACAATCAAGTAACACACATTCATATAAATTGTAAGTTACTTAGCCAGTCAATGGAATGACAGGAATGAATAAGTAGATAACTCCCTAATTCCCACGGTATTACGGAGCTATCTACCAAATTGGTCTTTCAGCCAAACGTACTAATACTAAGTAAAGATTACTTAGTATTAGTAAATAATGCCCCTACTCGCTATACCCCAAGTAGGGGCATGTCTAGTAAACAGTGAGCAGCCTGTGGCTGCTCACTGTTAACCCCCCCCCAAAAGTGTCGCCTCTCCCAAGCTCCCACCCATGTCACGCGAGTGGGAGCTTCTAACCTGAAGGGGGGACCTATTGCCCCCTCCCCACCCCCACCCCTGAACAGCGGGTGGGGTCCCTAACGTAAAATAAGGGGGGGTGAACCTATAGTCCTCCCCCCTGGCCCCACCCCTGAGCGGTGGATGGTGACCCTAAATTAGAATAAGGGGGTCCTATTGTCCTTCCCCTGGCCTCCACCCCTGAGCGGTGGGTAGGGGCCCTAAATTAGAATAAAGGGGGGAACCTATTGTCCTGACCCCACCCCTGAGCGGTGGGTGGAGGCCCTAAATAAAAATGTAAACCCCCCCAGGTGACTAGGGGTCCTTAAACCCCTAGTCACCCCCCTCCCAACAAAATTAATTAACCCCTACCTACCTCCCTCATCCTAAAAATAGTGAGGGGGGACCAATAAATAGGTACCTGTAAAAATATAAATAAAACTTATTTGATGTCTTCTTTTTTCTAAAATCTTCTTTTTTCAGCCACAAAAAAGGCAAAATAAAAATCCATAATAACCGTCGTACTTTGAAGACAAAAATAAATAAAAACTAGAGCGCAAAAAAAAGGTAATGAAGGAGGTAGGTAGGGGTTAATTAAAAAGTGCTTGGTACTGAAGAGGTTAAACGCAGTATGTGACCATACTGTGTGACTAAATCCCTGTATTTATTATCTCAGATAAATAATCATTTCATGTAGCCTTATATAATTTGAACCTTGTTTTTTGAGGGGGGTGGGGGGGTGGGCTCTGCTCTCTTAATCTTACCTGTTCTATGTAATCTCCAATTTGCTTTTTAATTCATTACAGTTTAGTTAATAAACCCTTTAGTGGAGATGGTTACTTATAAATTCACAGTCTTCTTTATTCTTATTAAAACTTGAAGGCTAAAATCCATTTTTTAATCAAAAAGTATATCACGGAAAAGATTATAGATGCTCTAAGATTACTTTTATGTTAATTATCACAGCACTTGACCTTGTATATTAATTCTGCCATTTGGCAGCTTTGGTTTATTAAAAAAGTTAATATTGTTGATTACCTTGTGTACTGAATCTTTCTATGATACTATTTTTGCCTTCCACCTAACATGAACTTGCTTACCTGATGCTCTACCTCATGAGTCAAAACTTTAAAACAGTGCTTTTTATTTTTTAGTACTACCCAACAAACAAAATATCCCCATTGCTCCCAGAACCAGCAATGCATTACAGAGCAATATGTTGCAAATTCTTCCCGTGGAGTATCATTTCATTATATATTCTTAATTACTCATATGTTAGGAGACTTTCATGAAAAATATTAATGAAAATAGAATTCATTCTCAGCATTCTTTAGAGAGGAAATCATTTGAGCATCAAAACAGTAAATAATAACAGTAATGTTTCATACAGCTGCAAAACGCTGAACTAAGTTGCGTGAAAAATAACATAATTACACATATTGTTCTTTATTTCAATTGTGGATATTTCTAAAATTTACAGTTGCAAAAAAAGTATGTGAACCCTTTGGAATGATATGGATTTCTGCACAAATTGGTCATAAAATGTGATCTGATCATCATCTAAGTCACAACAATAGACAATAACAGTCTGCTTAAACTAATAACACACAAAGAATGAAATGTTGCCATGTTTTTATTGAACACACCATGTAAACATTCACAGTGCAGGTGGAAAAAGGTATGTGAACCCTTGGATTTAATAACTGGTTGAACCTCCTTTGGCAGCAATAACTTCAACCAAACGTTTCCTGTAGTTGCAGATCAGACGTGCACAACGGTCAGGAGTAATTCTTGACCATTCCTCTTCACAGAACTGTTTCAGTTCAGCAATATTCTTGGGATGTCTGGTGTGAATCGCTTTCTTGAGGTCATGTCACAGCATCTCAATCGGGTTGAGGTCAGGACTCTGACTGGGCTACTTCAGAAGGCGTATTTTCTTCTGTTTAAGCCATTCTGTTGTTGATTTACTTCTATGCTTTGGGTCATTGTCCTGTTGCAACACCCATCTTCTGTTGAGCTTCATTCCAAAGGGTTCACATACTTTTTCTTGCAACTGTATATTGCTAACATAAATGCAATGGATTATAGATTTAAAGAAATTGAAATTTCAAATATATTACAATGAAAATTTAAATTCAAGTACATTATATAAAATGTTCATGCTTAGGACATAATCTTTTCTTCCTGATATGATGTACAAAAGAGACACTCTTCCCATAAAATTAATAATCATTGAAATGGATACATGTTTGAATAAAGTTGACTACTAGTTATACTAGACTGGATTTGAACTCCCTCACTGAGGTCCAGTGAGGAGCTGCATAGACCAGTCTCTGTACTACTGATCTTTATTCATTTTATTTGTTTTTAGCTGTGAGGTCCACCCAGCCTCCCTTTACTTACCTCCATAGGCACCCCAGACTGCAGCCACACTGACAGAGTGGGCATCCTCAAGAAGCATGCCAATAGATAGGCACTTGTTCTGGTTGGAGAGGGAGCTCTGTGAAACACGGTGCTGTCTGTCATCTGTAGCGGACCTCTTTGTATCCCGGTTGGGTACCTCCACCAAGGATCGCTTCCTAGCTGTAACCAGGGGAAAACCTCAGTGCTTCAGCCCCAGTCTCCATGGCTTGACTGTGGTCCTCCTGGAGCCTCTCCGTCCTGGAACAGGATAGGGGACGAGCTCTATTCCCTCCCAGGCATTGGACGACACACAGTCCTGGGAGCTGTAGTCCTTACAAGGACTTTCCCAGCTGAATCCTCCACAAGCTGGAACAAGGTGCTGAGCAGTGATTAGCCCTTTTCCCTTCCAGTAATTAGACGACACATAGCTTTGGGAGTACAACTGATTTTAATGAGCCATGCTTTGTTTCGACTGCATGTTCATAACATTCATAACAAATTTACTACATTTAGTCAACAAGTAGAAAACTTCAATGCACTTATATGTATAACTTGGCTAATTTGGTCTAAAAGTTTAAAATGGAAATTAATTTATATACTCCCTACCAAATCTGTGGTTAGCAAGCAAACGTCCAAAGAAATTCATATTAATGCCTTTATTAATTGTAGTTCCACAAATGTCATTTATCTCATCACTTGCATTTGTGGCCTACAATATATTGGCAAGACGTACCAACAATTACGCCGTAGGATTCTACAACATGTGAATTCGGTCACAAATCCTAATACTGACACTTCAGTGGCTAGACACGTTAGACTTTTACATGCAGCCAATCCAGAAGTACTAAAATTCCAAGCAATACAGAAGCTGTCACTCAATCATCGTAAAGGTGACTTCAATATGACCCTGCTGAGAGCAGAGTCACGCAGGATCTATAACTTCAAGACCCTCTTTCCAAAAGGATTAAATGAAGCGTTTAATTATACCCCGTTTATTCACTCATTAATTTCTGCTGGTCCATTCCCTCCTTTCTCTCTTATGGTTTACATATTAATATCCAATTGATTGGTTAGTACAGTTATTTGATTATAAACATCGAGAAGAGATGGTGACACAAGTGACGAATATTCTATTAATTATCAATTGTTTTCCACTGAATCTATTATTTACTTCACCCTACTTGTGAACTGATTGACTAGTCTATGAGAACAATAATAATTCTAATATTCTACAGCTCTTGTCACTGTCATTCATTAATTATAAATATTTAACAGGAGGAGTTACTGTTATAATGCCAACCCTAACTTTATTTATCTATGAATTAACTGTTTAGTCCATGAGGGACTCTACCTGGGAACCGATTGACCAGTTTATAACAACAACAATAATTCTAGCATTCTACAGTTTTTGTCATATATTAATTATGAACATTTAATGGGGGGCTTTATGGTTATAATGCCAAGCTTAACTTTACTTAGGAATTAATTATTTGGTTCTTAAGGAACTGATTTTAGTTGGTTTTATACTCCCAGAAAAATTTGGAGTGAATATATGTTACCATTTTACATTCATTTCTATTATCACCTGCCAATTCACCTAGATACTGCGTGATATATTTAACCACTATCAGACAATTCTGAGGAGTATTTGTTATTGGCATCATTCATCCTTTTCCCTGAACCTTTTAATTCAATATATCTACTAAACTGTTAAGTGTATGAGAAAATAACAAATATAATAATAATTTTCTGCACATTACATGTTCTGGTATTTTCTAAATACACATTAGTGTCTCTTTCTCTCATTTTAACATCTTAAACTTTACAGATGGATCAACTGTTCATTTCATTGGTCATCGGTTATTACTAGATTTGTGCTATGGTTCGATATTCTCTTATTGCCACTTGTTACACCAACTGACTGTTTTAACATCATGCTTTCATCAGCAGGATATCACCTAATAATCTTCACGAGTAATGGCTACCGGCGATATTCATTATCTTTTTTCTAGACTCATATTGACTTGGAATGTCAATGATTTTGCCAACGTACCCCGTCCATCACATTCTACCACTAAGGGTTAACTAAAGAACGAAAGAGTTAACTCCTATTTGTTGTTTTTTATAACTCCTCCCCGATGAGGATCTATCCAACGATATGAGTTTTCATTTTGACCAATCATAGCCGGAGGCGCCAAATTTAAACCTCCGTCTCTTAATACTCTGTTCCCCTTGAAGAGCCAGTTAGTGGTGAAATGCGCATCGGGATAGTTGCATATGAGGGTGGCTTAGATTTGGGGAAGACACTGCAGCACTTCTATTGATACGTTTGATTGCCACCTCATATTTTATTTTATATTTTCACTCCTTTTTTTCGTTCCACCATTTCTTTTTAACGTGTTATCCAGTTACAGTTAGAGAAGGTGGTGAGCCTTTTTTAAGGGGTTCTCTCGAAGGCACTTTAGCTGCTTTACTTGGCTACCTTAGGGGTACCTACGAAGGCACTATAGGGATATTTCGTTTCACTTATACTTTACCACTATTCTGTTACTGTATTTACAAGTTCCATACTTTTTTTTACCCTTGATATCGTCCTCTTTCTGTACTGGATGCGAGCCTGGTAGTTACATTGTATTGTTTGGTAGCTACATGATTCTCGGCTGTTACATTGCATTTACAATAGCTACTAATGGTGTTATTCATATTAATACTGTATCTAAACCCTAAATGCTTTATTAAAGACCCTTTTTGGTGCTAATTACCACTTGCCCCGTTTGGACTACCTTATTAATAATGTTAATAAATGTTAAGTTTTATTGTCCGTACTTTTGTTGATTATTCTTTTAGTTTGGGTTGCCTTCTATTATGAAACTTAGAGTTAGAGTATACTACCTCCACTCACCTTTCATATACATTAGTTCAGTTTATTTTGAAATTTAATTTACTGAACAACTCACATAAGGGTTTCTGCGCTAAACAGTAAATTCTGGTGATCAGAAAACTACATTCCAAAAGTCAGGTTAAAGTAGCTAAACTGTAACTAGAACCAAGTCGGACAATCTTTTGTTTAATGAATAAACTCCATACCTTTTCCATAGGAGAGCGTACATTTTTAAAATGCGTTAACATGTTTAATTGTAATCCACCATGTAGATATTTATGATAAATATGGTATTTATGATAAATATGGTAACACATGTACCCTCCAGCTTATGAAACAATCCTCTGATCTCTGAAGTGTGCCATTCTTTAATTTCATCATTCAACAGTCTGACATGAAAAAGCTTTGTTCCGACAGTTCAATTTAATCACTGCTATTGGTTCAACAAGATGATAAAATCCCTAGTACCACATCCAGCTGTTATCTGATACTGTTTGAAACGTCTCTCATGAATGCATGCTGATATCTCAAGAACTCCAAACATACCATACACAATATATTAAAACCCAAGTATGAATTCCATTAGTGCAAGCAATGAGCGGTGCTTAGCCTTTATATGCAAGCCAATGTAATAAAATGTAATTTGGACTAATCTGCTCAAAGGAGTCTCTCTGTTTGAAGATGACAGTCTCCTGTCACTTGGAAAACTAATTGCTTGTTGGATATTTTGCAGACCCTGCCGAATCAACAGGTCTGCCCTCGATGCTCTTTTCCAGGTGTGTCTCACAATTCACCCTTTTGTTTGAACACAAAGATGCCAGAAGAACAAATATTAAAACACAAAGTGGGCATTTTAATGAACATTGCTGATCCTAAGTGGAATTTAAGTTAACCTAATACATTTGGGAGGTGGAGAACATGGAGTAGACATGAGGGCACATTAGCTGGAATAAGGATTTTGCCTTGTAATCACATTTCGGAGATAAAGCCAATATGCAAGAGATACAGTAAATGCCATATATACTGACATATTCTAAACATTCTTGTACAGACATAAAGATAAGTATCTACAGGTCAATAAAAAACAACAACTAAATAATATTACTATAAAGGATTATCTCAGTTCTTTGTTGCATGTGTTATTTAATAATTTCTAAAAACATAAATTTGGGGGTAGTTACCTTTACTATCATACAGAACAAGGCAGTACATTCATTCTGCTTATGCTGTTTAAAATATATTAGATTTATAGATGTACATTAAATTGGAACTATCACCTTTGAATAAAACACTGAAAATCACCCATAGCTTGTCTTAACCATTTTCTCATGAGATGCTCCATTTTCCGTTGAATGCATATTAAAGAATTAGCAAATGTCATCTTAAACCAGTTCAAAAAAGGCAAAACCAGTGCAAACATTGCAATTGAGGGAGAACAATACAACAATGTTTCATGTATCTGCTTCTCTGTATGCTTTCTCTATGTGGACAGCCAGATGCAAAGAACAGAGTTTATAGCTATTACTGATAGAGAACTAAGAAGCACAGGAGTTGATGAAAAAGTCACAGTTTTCCTGACATCTATAGGCCCATTAAGGGACCTTTTCTCACCAGACAAACCTAAAGGACAACCTTTTGGCTGACCTAATCTCTGTTATCTGGCCACTACCACCCTAAACCACTAGATATAACTGAAAGGCACGCAAACTGCAGAATGAGAACATCATAGCTTATGTCATAATTTAAAAAAAACTAGCAAGTAACTGGAAATTTGGAGGTTATTTATACACTGCCTTGTTTGTGACTAACAGGGGATTATTTGAAGACGTTACTCCAACCGTTTTAAAAGCATTTTTTATCTTAATACCCTATCAGGCATTATTCCTTTGCTTCCCCTCCCCCTTCCTGATTGTTACAAAATAGATTAAAATTAAGTTTTTTATGTTTTTTTTTCCCTCTGGATTTGGGTAGATTGGCAATGGGAAGGATTAAGAAGGTACAAGACATCTGGGATTGACCTCAGGGAAACCCTCCTACAGATGAGACAAGGTTATGTGATTGAGCCACTCCTTTATAAGCAGAGCACACCTGTCAGTCTTTGTTGCCTGCCACAGAACTCCTTGTATTTGTTTCCCTGTGTTTCCTGCCCTTGTTGGTTTCCTGACTTTGTCTGCTCTCTGAATTTTGCCTGCCCTAACCTCTGGAGTGACTGACTCTTATTTCTTTCTGACCCTTCTTCGGATACCTTTGCCTTGGATTGTTTCTGTTATTTTTATTAAAGCCCCCATGCCATCATTGACCCGACAGAATCCTGTTCACAACTTCAGGATCTTCGTGGATTGTGGTTGTAAGGGAGAGCTGCTACTGCACCTGAGTTCCAGGACTGAACAGATCTTAGTGGGTTGCTACACTTGAAAAGACAATTCCAGAACTACAAGCAAAGGTTCATATATATGGCAAATCTTTCCTCAAATCCTGGACTGTTAGGTGTGCCTTGAGGAGAGGGTTGAGGAACACTGCTATACACCCTGTTCCAAATTATTATGCAAATGATTTTTTTCTCATTTGCCTAAATAATTGATGTAAATAACAGTCAGCATAATTCTCATGTTATCAACTATTAAGAGTGTAGCGGAGAGCTGGTCTTTCACAGGTTAACTCCACGAAAGATCCCAGTGAGGCTCAGGAACAAGTAATAAAATCCCATATAATAATAAGTACAGCAAGCAAGGTAATCCACAAATATCCCCATACAGATCCCAATGACTGGACGACACACAGCATCAAGAGCAGAACTGACCTTTTAATCACTCAACCTTCTTTTAAAGCTTTCTCCCATGCAAGGGAGGGATTCACAGTAATTATTACAGTAGCCAATAGTATAACAGTTACCTCCCACACATCTCCTCCCCTCAGTGTGACACATAATCCAATTAAACATACTGTAGTTTTCCCAGAGTTCTGGATGTACCCCAAAACAAGCAGCTAGAATAATATTTTGGGTACTCCTTGTAGCCCAGATCTGGGTGACTAACATATTCAAAATTCACCCAGATCGGACCAGGGGTTCGGGAGTTAGGTGGAAGGTGAAATTTGACTGACCGCACACGAGGTGGTATCCGAAAAAGGCTCTATGTGTTTTGGCCCTGAGGTCGGTCTCCGTTCGGTAGTTAAAACATACAATAATCCTTGCCATCCACAGACAATCTGCCATTCGTCTGTATTCCCTTGTTCGGTACATTTATTTTACCGAACGAGGGGTTGACTGGCACCTCTGTTCGGGAGCTATGGAGCTCTGGAGGTCTCAGCGGTGTTCGGGTGTTTGAGTGTCCGATTTGAGTTCCAGACACTTGACGACCAAACACCACTGAGATTTTCTTGCGTAAGATGGCTGCCCCACGCGGTTCGTATGCCGAACGGCCACCACACAGGTACATACAATATATCAATTTCACGGTCCATTAAGCTGCGGTTGCAGAGTGTGAAAGCTTAACAAGGTGCACACTTCTCACTGAGGTGATCTGATGGTTCGGTAGTTTCATTCGTATGAAAACTACCGAACAATCATACGAAAGCTACATACACTTAAAGCTATACAGGGAAACAATTACACGAATACATTTTTAATACGAATTCTTGAGCACAGCCTTAATGCAATCCGCTACAAAGAGTACAATTCAAATTTTATTGAACAAACCTCCTAATGATAACAGTATTTTTTTTAAACATAAAAAACTTACAATGCGCTGTTCCAAATTATTACGCAAAGTAAGTTTCAAAACACTTTATAGGTTGTAAAGAACTGAAAATTGTCATTTGTTGTGTTTGCAGCATATTTACTGAAATCAAAAGCTATTTCAATCAAACTTATAACAACATTTTAACTTTTAAACATTTTAACAGGTCACGTTACATTTTAACATAGGACCCCTTATTTGATAGCAGCTTCACAAGTCTTGCAGCCATTGAACTTGTGGGTTTTTGGACGGTTTCTGCTTGAATTTGTTTGCAAGATGTCAGAATAGCCTCCCAGAGCTGCTGTTTGGATGTAAACTGCCTCCCACCCTCATAGATCTTTTGCTTGAGAATGCTCCAAAGGTTATCAATAGGATTGAGGTCAGAGGAGGATGGAGGCTACACCATGACTTTCTCTCCTTTTATCCCGTAGCAGCCATTGATGCAGAGGTATTCTTTGCAGCATGAGATGGTGCATTGTTATGCATGAAGATGATTTTACTATGGAAAGCATAGTTCCTTCTGTACCAGGGAAGAAAGTGGTTAGTCAGAAACTCCACATACTTTGCAGAGGTCATCTTTACACCTTCAGGGACCCTAAAGGGGCCGACCAGATCTCTTCCCATAATTCCGGCCCAAAACATTACTCCACCACCGCCTTGCTGACGTCGAAGTCTTGTTGGAACAGGGTGGCCGTCCAGCAACCATCCACTACTCCATCCATCTGGACCATCCAGGGTTGCACGGTACTCATCAGTGAACAGGATTGTTTGAAAATTAGTCTTCATGTATTTTTCTGCTCAGTGCAGCCGTTTCTGCTTGTGATCATTGGTTAGTGGTGGCCGAATAGAAGGTTTATGCACAGTTGCAAGACACAGTTGCAAGCTTCAAATATCTGTTTGCTGCTATGTAATGGTAATTTAGCAGCTGCTTTCTTGATCTGATGCATGGATCTGGCAGAAATTTTCCTCAATGTGCCTTTATCTGCACGAACCCGTCTGTGCTCTGAATCAGTCACAAATCTCTTAATAGTGTGATGATCACGCTTAAGTTTTTGTGAAATATCTAATGTTTTCATACCTCGTCCAAGGCATTGAACTATTTCACTCTTTTTGGCAGCAGGGAGATCCTTTTTCCTCCCCATATTGCATGAAAATGGTGCTCTGCTTAATAATGTGGAACACCCTCCTTTAGTAGTTTTTCCTTAAATTGGGCTCACCTGGCAATCTAATTATCACAGATGTCCGAGATTGTTTTCAGTGATCTAAAGAGCCCTGAGACACAATGCCATCCATGAGTTAAACTGAAAAACAAAATATTTAATCTTTGTGACACTTAAATAGAATTTGCATAATAATTTGGAACAGGGTGTAGAGCATAGAGAGGACCGACAAATGTTACCCGCAACAATAAGTCCTTCAACACACCCAGACCAGGAAAAAGTGACCATTACCAATGTTCTATCCTCATTAATCCCACATTTCTTCCCATCTGACCTCCACATTTCTTTCCATGTTAGGCTAAAATGCTTTTCTCTCCCCTATGTTTTTTCCAGCTTATCCTCACATTTTTTCATTATCTCACCATACCACATTTGTTTCCATCATGCTAGCTTTTGTCTCTCTTTATCCTCCTGATGCTGCATACCTGACAATGAAACAATTATTCTGCTCATAGCTTTAATCGAATTTATCTCTAATTCTAACATACCTCCTTATTCTAACTTTTCAAGCTATCCCTAGCCCTAACTCTCAGCTTAATAGATCCATAACATAAAATAAGCTAACACCAACCTTAACTGTGTCATTGCTATTTGAACTTACAACATTAATTTTCTGTACCGAAGCTAACCCTAACACCATTACTAAAGTTATCTAACTCTAACCCTAACACTGTCTTTTTTATTGTCGAACATAGTACCTATTGTAGCGGACTGAGTTTTGCTACTATCCACCTTTCCTATTTTTGTGGCTGTCCATAACCTTATTTGTTGCATTATCTTATATTATTTGCCACTGTTCGTTACTTATAGGAAACAAGTAACAAGCTGTCTTTTATATCATTCGTCTGGTTGTTCGGTAAGAATCCTATTGCAACTATATTAAGCCATATTGTTCGACAAATGAACAAACTACCGAACAACCAGGCCACCCCGGAGAGGAGCGTGGCACTTATTGGCTCCCCCTATCGTTATTCACACTACCTTCATTTCTAACCACACAAACTAACTGGGTATCCCCTAGGTGGCCGCCATTCGGCATACGAACACGTGGTGGCGGCCATCTTTACTAATGCACCAGCGGTGTTTGGTCGTTGAGTGTCTGGAACCCAAATCGGATACTCGACAGCACGAACACCACAGAGACTTCCATACTCACACCAGTTCGAGGGAAATCAAGAGAACAGAGCGGCGTTCGGTGAAAAGAGTCATACGAATGAGGGGACTCATACACACAAAGACACAACCCATTATGTTAGACATTTTCGTGCTTTTCAACCTCACGAATGGAGACCGACCGCAAGGCCAAAACACATGGAACTATCTTCAGCTTACACCTCGTGTGAGGTTGGTAAAACTAAGACCTCCATAAAGCTTTCAAACCCCTGGACCGATCTGGGTGATTTTTCAGTATGTTGCTCCTCCAGATCGGGGCTATCAGGGGATATGTAAATTATGGGTGTATGTTATTGTTTTGGGGTTCTTCCAAGAATTGAGGAAATTTTTTTTTATAACTTATAGGTAATTAAGTTATCTCTCAGGCTGAGGGGAGGGAATATGTGTACTGTTTCACTGGCTGATGCCTAATTCTCTGTGGGTGTCTCCCTTGCATGGAAGAATTGTATAAAAGCTGAGTGTGTGGATTAAAAGACCAGTTCTGCTCCTAATACTGAGTGTCGTCCAGTTATTGGGAAGAGTGATAGTATATTCGTATAACCTCTTGTATTTTCTGCCTGCTCTCCTGAAGTAACCTGCATGTTCCTGAGTAGCTGTTGGAGTGACCAGCGGAGAATAAGCCCTGCTACCATTGCTCTCCGCTACACCTATCATTAGTTAACCTTAGCAATAACATCAACTTTATGGTTACCTAGCTCTAACACTAGGCATAACTAACTATGGTTATAGCTAGCAAGAGTATGGTGGAGGGGTGGGAGGGATGTCACAATCAGAGCACCAGCATCGTTCTTCCCTCTTCAGTGTGTGCACTCACATAGCTATGGGGCCGTCCACTATCTGAATACTCTCCCAATTCTGCTAACAGACACAGCAAGAAAAATTACTGTGGGTTAAAGGTAGAGTGATGTTGGTGATCCATGGGCAATCAGAACATTGACACACGTTATTGGCAGCTCAAGGATGGCACATAGTGGATGGTGGTGAGATGACCATCATCTGTTTTCTTGTGTCCCTGGCACTGCCATAAGTGGCAGGTGAGAATGGGTCTTACTGACCATTCTTTACAAAACAAAAAGAGATGAAAAGATGTCCTCGGCCTTACCTGATACAAAAACCCAGGGATTTCCACATTTTCAAACATGCATTATAGCGAAGCACAAAGATTTAACAAAGCAAATTGCACATTATGAAAGCATTTATAATTTTGTAAAAACAGAGTGGCAAGCAGCAAGCAGCCTGTTAGGGACACAAACAAATGTGTATCAATACCGTTAATTTGAACTAATTACAATATCTTCGCATATACTAATGGAAATATAAATTCTCAATAGCTGGCATTTTTCAGTCAACAAGAGAATATCACTTGAAGCTGATTATAAAGTTTATGTAAGACAGATTGTATGCAACATAACTGTGACATTCCCAAGTGAAAACTAAACTGCCACTTTGCTCGGTGCAAAATAATTAGAAAAAAAGTCCAATGTAACAGCTGGGGAACACAACAGCAAATGATAACCTTCACTAAAATGTCAGTCATGTTTATTTAACAAAAAAATGAAAAGAATTCCGACTTCTTGTATAATTTGAAAATATGTTTTGCCACGGATTCTAGTATGTTTAAAAGACAATACCAACAGGAGCGTTCACAGAATATGGGAACAAACTATGGGAACAAACAATGTGGTAAGTAAAAGGAATGGAGTGTTTCTTTAACAAGGGGACTGTCACTTCCAATAGGTCTGAGCTGGGGGGGAGGATGTGTGACCAAAAGCAAGGAATTGTGCTAGAGGGAATCTATATATCTCCCCAGATTTTGCAAGGTTCCTGCTTTGTGTAATTAGCCCCAGGGAAATGTGTTATGTTAAAATGAATATTGCACTTTAAATATGTGTATATTTGGGCCCTGGGGTGGAGCATTTGGAGAGTAGGGTGGGCCAGTGCTCCACTCCACATTTTGGAAGTTGCTTGGAACCTACAGGTGAGAAGTCCAGTTCCAGAGTTTCAATCCTAATTTAACTCACCTGAAAAGAATTGTCAATTACAGGTGCTATTAACCCCTTAAGACCGGAGGGCGTACAATTACGCCCTATTTTAGGCGGCTCTAAATGCCGCCGGGCGTAATTGTACGCCCTCCGGTCTTTCTTTACTTACCCGGTCGCCGGCGGTCCCACGCCAGCGATCGCGGTGGGGGGGGACTCCCAGGGAGCCCCCCCGCTGTAGATCCTCCGGTACCCCCGGCAATGTGAGAGTGAGTTCCTTACGAGGACCCCACAATCACATGGCTGGAGGTAGCTGCCTCCTGCATTGCCAGCAGGGGGGCTGCCTGTAATGACAGGTGGTCCCCTTGCTGGCTGAAAATAAAATTAAAATAAATGAATTAAAAAGTAAAGTGTAAAAAAATTATATATACTTAGATCATATATATATATATATATATATATATATATATATATATATATATAGATCATATATATATATATATATATCATACATATGATCTAAGTATATATATATACACATATACATACACACATACACTGTCTAGGTGTATTTTACTATTAATATATATATAATTATATATATATATATTAATATCAAATTACACGTAGACTGATACTGATTAAATATATATATATAATTATTGTTATATATATATTTATATATAATATAAAAAATTTTCATATGTAAATACGTTAAAAAATAAAATTAAAGGTCGCAAACAGCTAGCAATAAATTTCTAAAGTGGGCACCCATAGGGGCGCTACACTCTATATCTCCATGGCTATCGCTCGCAAAATGGTCAGAGAAGGGAATCACCCATATCGACACTCTGTGTTCACAAGGGGAAGTGATACCGTTCCCAGAATTACAAGTAGCACACGACCTCCCACCATCCTTCATCTTTCCATACATGCAACTTAAGAGCATAATCAAAGAGAGAGTCCTGCTCACACCACAACTGGCAGATTACTCTAGTAAAGAGAGATTGGCGCTGTATGATAGGTGCCGTATGGCCCCAGTCAGGGCCCGCTCACTTTCTCTCAGTTATGCAGCCCTAAGACACAATACCACGATGCCTGACTTCTCCTTTATAGCACAGTGGAATAGGGAACAAACCACACGCTTTACTAAAGATCAGTGGTTGAGATCAATATTAGCGCTAAAAGGTATTACATCCTGCTATTCACATGTAGAAGCACACAAAAAACTGATTTACAGATATTATCTCACACCGGACAAACTTAATAAAATCTATCCACTATCCTCAGCGAAATGTTGGAGGTGCGAACAGAGCAGAGGTACAATGAGTCACATATGGTGGCACTGCCCGAACATCCACCCGTTATGGACGGAGGTCCAGACGATTTGTAATTCCTTAGGGATTCTTAGGGGTAAGATCACACCTGAGATAGGTCTGTTTCTTCTGCTACCTACGACCACCCCATTCCAGGACAAACAACTAATAATTCTGGTAGTCATGGCAGCGCGTAACCTCCTAGCATATTATTGGAAGCGGAAATAAAGCCCACCCTCACAGATACTACATAGTAAAATCCGACAATACCTTAGGCATGAGCAATTATCCACAGCTACGACTAAACATGGGAAGGCCACGCAAAATAACTGGCAAAAGTGGATAACCTATTACCCAACGCTAGCACCATAACTAAAATCTTAACCTAGAGTCTGCATCTCGCACATACACTGGTAATCCACACAGAAAGAGGAAGCGATATAGAAAGCCCCACAATACTAAGGGGCAGCACAAGTAGGTAAGACGAAATGCCCAAACTTAGGCGGAAGCAGCCCCACGAGCTAATAATCAGTATTACTCCCTAACCGGAGCCTTTCCTCGATAGTATACTCGCCTGTGCCCCTGTACCGTCAGGATCGGAAGGTACTATATTGTATTTGTCTTGTAATGTATTATATTTGATGGGTATTATATTATGTTTGATATGTAAATAACCTAACATTAACTACAAGATCAAGCCATGCCAGTTAGGAATTATGTTGTCACTGTAAATTGAAATGCGCCAATGTATGGGTATGTTTACGGTGTGTACCTGTCCCTTACCTTTTCCCCAACTACCCTTCTTCCTTTCTGTACCCCAACTTGTCTGAAAAATTCAATAAAAGTACAAATTGAAAAAAATAAAAAAAAATAAAAAAAATAAAAAAATAATTAAAAAATATATAGATGTGTGTTATTTCGTTCTAACTGTATTGTGACATTAATATATATATATTTATATCAAAATACACGTAGAATGAAATAATATATATATCTACATACATAAATATATACGTATATACCACTATATATAAACCTATATATAAATAAAAATATTTTTTAAAAATTATATATATATATACACATATAGATTCACATACGTATATATATACATATATTAATTCTACATATATATTTATGTAATATTTTTACATAATTAGGTATCTTAATTAATTACAATTAGCGGGACCTGCCTGACCACCCATGCCAAAAGTAAAGGGAATTTAATTTGCTAGCTATATTTAACCCTATAACTTTCCAAGACACCATAAAACCTGTACATGGGGGGTACTGTTCTACTCGGGAGACTTCGCTGAACACAAATATTAGTGTTTCAAAACAGTAAAATGTATTACAACGATGATATCGCCAGTAAAAGTGATGTTTTTTGCATTTTTCACGCACAAACAGCATTACACGGACGATATTATTGCTATGATACTTTTTACTGTTTTGAAACACAAATATTTGTGTTCAGCGAAGTCTCCCGAGTACAACAGTACCCCTCATGTACAGGTTTTATGGTGTTTTCAAAAGTTACAGCGTCAAATATAAGGCTTGCGTTTCATTTTTTTCACATTAAAATTCGCCAGATTGGTTACGGTGCCTTTGAGACCCTATGGTAGCCCAAGAATGAAAATTACCCCTATGATGGCATACCATTTGCAATAGTAGACAACCCAAGGTATTGCAAACGGGGTATGTCCAGTCTTTTTTAGTAGCCACTTAGTCACAAACACTGGCCAAAATTGGCGTTTTTTGCATTTTTCACACAAACAAATACTAACGCTAACTTTGGCCAGTGTTTGTGACCAAATGGCAACTAAAAAAGACTGGACATACCCCATTTGCAATACCTTGAGTTGTCTACTATTGCAAATGGTATGCCATTATGGGTGTAAATTTAATTCCTGGGCTTCTATAAAGTCCCAAAGGCAACATAACCAATCTGGCGAATTTCAATTTCAAATGTAACATGCTATATTTGACCCTGTAACTTCCCCAAATGCTATAAAATCTGTACATAGGGGGTACTGTCTTACATGTGAGACTTTGCTGAATACAAATATGTGTATTTTATTGCAGTAAAAGCAAACAGTATTATGACATTGACAGTTAAAATGTCAGGTAGAACAAAATTTTTTTTTAAAAATCTTATTTTCTCCCATTTTTTTTCATATTAAATTATGTTTATTAAATGAAAGCCCTGTTTCCCCTGAATAAAAGGATATATAATAAGGGTGGGTGCATTTAATATGAAAGAGTTGAATTACGGTTGGACAGACATGTAGCGCAAATGCCAGGTTTTGTTTACATTTTGTTTCGTTTACAACGTGTACATTTGGCTCCGTCCTTAAGGGGTTAAGTACTCCCCTGCCAAAGGAGGAGGGAGATTGTGTTTGAGTTCTGTGAGTGGAAACAGAGAGCTGAAAACCCTGAAACAGTAAGGTTGTTGTTTATGTTGGGAAATGGACAAGCCATACAAGCCAGTTAGCTAAATATTTTGTTTAGTTAGTGCTCAGAAGAGCAAGGATTTTGTTTTATATATTTTGTTACAACCTTTTATACCTTACTGTGCATTTATTTTGGAACCACAATGAAAAGAGCAAGTCCTTTTACCTCATCCAGCGTGTGAAGTGTCTCTAAAGCCTGAAAAGACTGTGTGTAACACCCCAATCCCAGGACAAGGTACCAAGGGAAAGGAGTACTTTTGTCACACTATCTACTACAAAAAATATACACAGTGGAGAGCTATATTAGTGCAATTAATCAAAATACCAAAATGTGATAGTGATATCACCTCTAGCAAAAAGCACTTATCTTATACTTTTATTTCTTTACAATCCTGTATATGTTTATTTATTTCGCTGATGTGGCTTCTTCAGCCTGGCAAAATAAAGTAGTTTGACATCTTTCCTATATTTGTGCACCTTTCATCATTGGAAAAACACTTTCGCCTGTGTTTGCAAGCATTTCTCCCATGATTACCAGAAGAATGCTACGTTCCACGCCTCTTTCTCGGTTTACTTCCTTTGGCAACGTCAGATCTGGTCTTATATGAGTTGCGTCACTTCCAGTATACTCGACCTTCATCACAAAGTTCCCTCCGCCTTCTGCATGCATTCCAACATCTGTCTTTGCGTTGCAGTTATAGCAGAAGTAGTGTTTTTTTTTTTTTGTTTCACTTTAGTGTTATTAATATAAATCGTTCTTATCAGTTTCTTAAAGTTCATATATATAACAGGCGGAAAACAAATGTAAGGAAAGTATATTTTTCCCATATTTATAAGGGCTAAAAAGTAACTTAAGTTAAAGTAAAATGTGAATGTATAAAATTTTATCCCAATAATAAAACTTATTCCAAATAAAAATAAAAATAGATAAGATTAATAAACAAAGCTAATAAACAGTGTAGAAGATCTATATACAATTTATTTTTACATAATAACTAGGAGAAAACTATATACTTAATATTCTGCACTTATTTTAATTCTCCTTAGTTATAAAAGAAAAGTTGACAAAAGGAAAAATACCTATATGGATGTAGAGACAGAATTTGCCAACTGGATGGAAAAACAGAATAGACAATTACAGAAAGTACAAACAAATGTGTAAAAATTTAGAAAAATGTTTAAATAAAGAACTAAAGATAAATGGGAAATAGCCACTTTAGAAAAATATTTAAAAGAAAAAAATAATGCTGAAAGGTTTATGCTATGTTAAAGGCCTACTTTTGATGAGGAAACAACAGATTTTATGGAGGAATGGCAAATGATGTAAAAAGGATTCTCTTTCACTACCATGACCCTCAGCATCGAAAACCTTAGAGAATTAGACATTGAATTTACCAAATGTCAAGAAGAAATGTTGAACAATTTAAATCAAGAGGAATTTGATGATGCTACTCATGGAATCAAAAAGAATTGTGATACATTTGAAATGAGATAGAGAACAAACAAAATCAAGATTTAAGTCCAAGATCTTCAGTAAGGGAAGTACGAGAAAAGAACAATATATACAACAAAAAAAAAAAAAAAGGAAAGACATTCACTCAATATCACTCTAAATGGATATTTAATTTAAGTGGAAAATTTTTGAAGGCCTTTAACTTTGCACCAAGTAAACATTTAACCCATTTTCAAATGTATGTAGATCTATATAAATTTAAAAGAACCTTAAAAGAGAAATGTGCTCTAAAAGAAGAAAATAAGATGTCAATTTAATTATAAAACCAGTTGATAGGGACCAAAAAATTCAGTTTGGTTCGGCACTTCTGAAATTCGGGACTTTGGCAATTTGGGACTTTGGTTTGGCTCGGCACTTCCGAAATTCGAGACTTCGGCAATTTGGCACTTCGTTTTGGTTCGGCACTTCCGAAATTCAGGACATCATCAATTTGGGACTTCGGCCCTTCGGCAATTCGGGACTTCAACAATTCCCTAACCCTACCCCTACTGCTAACCCTACCCAACTCCTCTAACCATAACCCTTACCCTACCCCTAACCCTAACCTACAACCACTTAAACATCTAGGGTTAGGGTTAGTGGTAGAGTTAGGGGTAGGGTTAATGGTAGGGTAGGGTTAGATTCCTGTCATCATTCATGTAATTTTTTTCTCCCTCTCTTGTTTTGCCAATTCGGCACTTCCGAAATTCGGCACTTCGGCAATTCGGTTCGGTTCGGCACTTCAGAAATTTGGCAAATCGGCACTCCGGCAATTCGGCTCGATACCTCCAAAATTTGGCACTTTGGCACTTCAGAATTTAGGCAATTTGGACATTCTGAATGTCCGAATTGCTGAAATTCGTCCAAATTTACAGTCGGAACGAAATGAATTGCACATGTCTACCAGTGGCTAAAGGAGGAGGAATAGTTTTAATGTCCAAAGAAAACTATGATAAAGAAGTGGATAGAATTTTAAATGATAGTAAGAAATGCAAAAATCTTTTTTAGAATTTTAAAATAAAGCCTTATTAAAAGAAATTAAAAAAAATTTATCTGAATGTAAAAAAAGTACATGATAATCTGAATGTAAAAATAAATCCCCAAATTCCAGTATTTTATTTTCTCCCAAAATACACAAATATATCAATAATCCACCAGGGAGACCGATTATAGCAGGGACAGATGCAATATCTAGTAGAGTATCAGAATATCTTGATATCCATCTACAACCTCAAGTTCAGAAAACTACTTCTTATATTAGAGATACTACTGCTAGTTTACAAATTTTAGATGACTGTAAATGCATGAAGATTATAATTTAGTAATTTGTGACATGAAAGCACTATATAGCAATATACCTCACATGAGAGGTTGTGAAGCCATCAATAGATTTTTATAAGATTAATCTGAATTTTTAACTCCCCAGATTTACTTTTTTAATGGAAGATATAGAAATTATATTAAATAATTACTTTTTTTGTTTAACAGCAATTATTTTATACAAATTATAGGAATTGCCATGGGGACTAAGTTTGCATACACCTATGCCAATTTATTTATCACCCATTAGGAATCATCCATCATGTATGGTCAACCTACCTGAGTGCAAAACCTTGTTACCTATGGCCGTTACGCAGATTATATTTTTTTATATGGAGAGATGAGGAAGAAGATCTTAATTGTTTCCTTTCCTTTCTAGATTATAATACATGGGGGATTGAACTAAATAGTGTTTGGAACCAAAAATAAGTAGTGTTTTTTAGATCTTACTATTTTTATAGATGAAAACTAAAAACTATTTTAAACCAGCGGATGCAATAGTTTTATAGAAAGAGAGAAATAACCCTTGCACCTAAGGGTTATTTCTTAAGAATCAGGAGGACTTGGACATATAGGGAAACTTTTTAGGAACACATTTTAAAAATAAACCAGGCGAATTTTGAGAGGCTATGGTGACAGTATGATCATCTAGAACCGACATCAAGAAGAAACCATAGAAAATAATTACTCAAATATAAACCTATAAAGACGAATATAAGATGGAAGCAGTTCCTTTTATTTGTAGTTATAGCACTCATAATAACGTTAGGAATATAATTCGAATTTGACTCCATTACTATTAAGGAATTTTTTACATGCTATTATAAATAAACATGATTTATTTAATGCAATGTTCATGTGAGTAGCATTACATAGGAAGAACAATAAGGGCCCTACATATCCTCATCTGGGATATGATATGATATGATAGGTTTTGAAAACCATAGTGTATCCTCACAATATAAATATGATCACAATAAGGATCCAAAAGGTTTAAAATGTATTAACCTTGTTTATTAATCTATACATTATCATTTTTATCTGTAATAAATTCTGTTTTATTATTGGGATTATTTGATAAATTTACATTTTATTTTAGCTTAATTTACTATCTATGCCCTTAGAATTATGATATAGGTATGTATATAATAATATACCTTACTCACATTATTTTACATCTGCTTTATATATATGGACTCTAAGAAATTAATGTAAAAGATGATTTATATTACTAACACTAAAGTATAATGAAAAACCTCCCTTCCGCTATAAGTGGAATGCAGAGACATGCTTGAATGCACATGAAAGGCAGAGACGACTTTGAGATGTAGATCGAGTATACTGGATGTGATGCGATGCATGTAAAACCAGATGCAATGTTATGAAAATAATTTAAGAAAGAGGCTTGGAACACAGCAGTCTCCCTGTAATGTGACCCTGGTTTAGGTATGAGATCAGCCTATGCCTTGCAGTGACTGAATGTAGACCCACCACAGGAGTCCCAGATGGAAACCTGATAGCTCACTCAAGTGGTAGTTTGTGGCAATCAGGTAAGTTCTGTGAGATTAGCAGGTGTTCCCTTAGTGGTCCCAAGTTCCAGCGTGCGATGCCGGCTTCACCATGGGTCTCGATCTACTTTTGTGTGCCATTCAGGCCCCGGTATGATACTGACTGCTCTCCTTTCGCCCAGTGACAGTCTGCAGATTCGTAGCAGTTATCAGATCCCTTGGTAAAGTGGGTCATAGGTGTGCTTTCAGCCTTGCCGAAAGGACTCAAATAGCCCATCCTGATGGTGCAGGGCATCTGAGATACCTCTGTATTGGCCGTGGGTGCACATGGCACCCACCATCTTAAATACGTTTGAGTGCCTGTTGCTTGTATCGTGGGTATGCTGCGTGCCTCAGAGTAACAAGGAAGCCTACTGAAAGAAGACCAGGATCAACCCCACCGGTTCAACAGGGGGAGGGGAACGGGGCATTAATCGGCAGTGCAGGTCCAGTGCGGAGATTGGAAGCTTCTCCACTCTCCTGGGTCCACTAGGCCGCCAAGACATCTCACAGCTCTCCGGTAGCGTGGACAACCAAAGACATCAGAACACGCTTCGGAATCTCCCCTATTGGTTTAGGGCCCCGGCAGGGCAGCTGACAGACTAATCTTTTCTAGAGGTGATATCACAATCACACTTTGGTATTTTGATTAATTGGACTAATATATCTCTCCACTGTGTATTTTATTTGTATTAATATTCATATTGTTAACTATCTGGGCCTGGATTTTTACAATCTGGGTCTGAATTTCAGCTTTCTGGCAGCTTTCTTGCTGAAATCTGGATTACAATATGGACATTGTTAGAGTGAACAAAGTCCAGATTTTGCAGTCTTAATGGCCCCATTCTATACACTGCCAGTCGAACTTTATAAATAACCCTAATATAGAGAGGACGAGAAATGACACCATATTTCTCCTCTTTATTTGCTATATTTTCCCTGTCATTTAATTTGTTACCAATTTGGCTGATTTGACCCAAATGTTAGCACTGTAAATGTTGCGGCTCCTGGCCCGCCGCATGGTGCAGCCGTGCCTGACCGACACGACCTCGCCGATATTGCGACCTTACCTGCTCGTCGGAAAGCCGGGAACCGCTCCTCCGCATCTTCTGGGCATTGCGCCCAAATCAAAGATGGTGCTGACCACGTGGTCGCAGACACCACAAGCTTCATCCCTCAAAATTATATGAAAGTGCATGTAACATCACGTTATCAACGCACGCGCACATTCTGGGGTCAGAGGTCACCCTCTGACCAATCAGAGCCCAGAGAGGGATAATTCACTCTAGTTCCTTGCCCTGTCGTGGTTTCCTGTTCCTGGTTCCCGAGAGTGCATTTATCTTTGTGAATCTGACTTCCTGGTATCCTGATCTTGGCTTTTCCCTGGTTATTCCGAATTCTGGTTCCCCTGACTTGGCTTGTTTAAACGTTATCTGAGTATTTCTGGCTTCCTTGACTTCGGCTTTCCCTTTGACCATTCTCTATCACTAGCGTATTAGTCCGGCCATTCTAAGGTCCGGTTTACTCTCTGTCCTTTTATTTCCTTTCCTTTTTTATGTATATGTTTATATAGTTTCTGCGTGTTGGACCACACTAGCAGCCGTGACAGTAAACCAGCTTACAAAACCTTTGTCCCTTGGTACATAAGGGGTAAATGGTTTAGCACTCTACTTCAATATTTCAGTACATCTTTTACTTCTCCTATTTTTTTTTCACAGGAATCAAGGTTATAAAACTTATGCAGTCTGTGCATCCTGAACATCTTTGATGTCACAGTTCATTTGACCAACCATAACTGGAATCAGAAATTAAAAAACCTTTATATAAAAACCAAGGTAACATTAAACCTTTAGGACTCATGTTTCATGTCATAAAAATATATGAAAAGATTTTATATTCTGCAGGCTGGGTTAGCACTTTCGTTCTTATTTTTTTTTCTTTCTTCCAATATAACTTTAGAGAACAGTTTTATAGCCTATAAATGAAAATCGAAACTATATCACATTCTAAAAAATAGTTTACGGTTCACAAGTAATAATGTGGCTTTCGTACTATAATGAGCAAATGACAGCACTTTAATTGATACCAATATGGATGAATGGTCTTAGTCATTTCACATCCTACTGTAATGGTTATTTCATGATACCATAATAAACTAGGCAGGAAATAAAAATACATCCTTTTATAGCACCACCTCTACCCTTTCACTTCATGCCCCTTGCAACTATATTTGCCTCTGGAGCACTTGCCATATTTGCTGGTGACCATTTTCGTGTGAGTTTGTATACTGCATTACCTAATGACTTGGTTCCTTCCAACTTACCAATAGCTTTTCATCCAATACACCAGGGGTTGGCAACCTGCAGCTCTGTAGATGTTGTGGACTACATCTACCCTGGTGCTTTGTCAGCTTTGTGGCTGTAAGAGCATTATGGTAGATGTAGTTCCACATCTGGAATGCTGAAGGTAATCTTTCCCTGCACTGCACTGTAGACATATGGTCACCCTGCTATCATGGGTTACTATGTCTGCAAGTTCCCAAATTACTCTAAGGATCCATTGCACTTGTCAAATGCTGTGGTTCCTGATGCCACGCTGAAGCTTCCCTCTAAAGGAAATTGGCCTTAGACATTTGCACATGAGAGACCCCTTTTGAGACTTTGATTGATCACAGCCTATTGTATACAATAGGTCATGAAGGCAACAATTGGGCTAATACAAATTTGTCAACCAGGAGCTCAGTTGCTTTCTTTGACTTTTGTATTGTTGTTTTTACAGTCTTAGCATCTTGTAGCTAATGATCTTGAATGTATTGGAAATCCCTCTGTATGTTTGTAGAACACAATTTATTTATTGTATAGAAATTATTCACAAATGTTTTACTCTTCTCTCCTCGTCAAAATTATCCATGTCCTTATTGGTAGTCAATCTGTATGCTGTGTATGTAATTGGTTTCAAGTTTCACTGTGATTGCATGGGTCTGTCCCTATCCCTCGGTATTTTGGGGGCAACTCAGCTCAGTGCAAAGAATTTGTAAATCAGGTTAGAGGATACCTTGAAATGCTTCCCCAGGCATTTCCTACAGACAGAAGCAAAGTCCGGTTCATGATTTCTTTGCTGTCTGAAAAAGCCCTAGCTTGGGCAAAACCTCTCTGGGAGGCAGAGAGGCCCATTATGTACAATTACCCTGAATTCGTTGCGTCCTTTAAAAGAGGTTTTGATATTCCAGCTCGCTCCACCTCTGCTGCCAAACAACTCATGTCTAATGCACAGGGCACGAGAACAATTGTCGAGTATACCAGTGAATTCCGAACCATGGCAGCAGAGGGTGGCAGGAACAATGAGACTCTCGTGGCTGCCTTTTCCCATGGGCTCTCCGATGTTATTAAGGATGAGATTGCAGCCAGAGAATTGCCTAAAGATCTCGAGGAACTAATATCCTTTGTCATCCTCATTGATATCAGACTCAGAGAGACATCCTCATTCAGGAAGCGGCCTCCTGTATATGGGTGGTCTTTCTGCAGACCCAGAGATATATTAGGACAAACCCTTGGTGCCTATTATCCTCTCCTGGCCTGATTCATCCATTAAAACCCGGGCATTGCTTGATTCTGGGGCCGCAACTTGTTTAGACTGTGCATTTGCATCAGAGCACTCTATACCCTTACAGCCTCGCAACTCTCCACTAGCTTTCGAAGCCATCGATGGCAGACCAATACAGCCAACCCACGTGACCCAGGAGACTGTGCCCATAGCTTTGGCTGTAGTGACTCTACATCGTGACATGATCCAATTCCAGGTAATTTCCTCTCCATATTACCTGGTTGTTTTGGGATACCCTTGGCTACAGAAGCATAACCCCACAGTTGATTGGCGCAAATCTGAGATATTATATTGGTCCCAGCAATGCACATCATCTTGACTCTGGAAACCGGTCAAAGTTTTGAGCACATTTTCTGCCTCTTCCTTACCCGCTGAGTACCAAGAATTCCAAGATGTATTTGACAAGGGTCAGGCAAGCGTTCTGCTGCCACACCGTCCTTATGACTGTGGTATCGAACTCCAACCTGATGCCATTCCTCCTCGTGGCCGGATTTACCCGCTGTCTGTAGCAGAGAATCGAGCCATGGAGGAGTATGTTACCGATGCATTGTCAAGGGGATTCATTCGGAAGTCATCTTCTCCTGCCGGGGCCGGCCTTTTCTTTGTGAAAAAGAAGAGTGGCGAGTTCAGACCCTGTATCGACTATAGGGGTCTCAATCGCATTACTATTAAGAATGCTTACCTCATTCCTTTGATCAAGGAGTTATTCGACCGCCTCAAGGGAGCAACGGTCTTCACTAAACTTGATCTGAGAGGGGCATATAATCTCATCAGGATAAAAGAGGGCCATGAATGGAAAATCGCATTTAACACCAGGAGCGGGCATTATGAATACCTAGTAATGCCCTTTGGTCTTTGCAATGCTCCTGTGGTTTTCCAGGAATTTATAAATTATGTCCTGCGAGATATGCTGCAGCAATGTGTGGTGGTTTTTCTTGATGATATTCTTATCCATTCCACATCTCTTGAGAACCATCACGCAGACGTTTCTCATGTTCTACAGAGACTCAGAGAAAATAATCTGTTCTGTAAATTGGAGAAATGTGAGTTCAACTGCAAACAGGTCACATTCTTGGGCTATGTTATTTCAGATGCTGGATTCTCTATGGCCCCAGAGAAACTTTCTGCTGTACTACAATGACCTCGACCTACGGGTCTTCGCTCTATACAGCGTTTTCTTGGCTTCGCCAATTATTATCGGAAGTTTATACGCAATTTTTCTTCCTTGGTTAAACCTCTCACGGATATGATCAGGAGAGATGCTGATCCACAACATTGGTCACAGGAAGCCATTACTGCCTTTGAGTCTCTCAAAGTCGCCTTCGCTGCAGCTCCAATACTGGCACACCCTAACCCTGCCTTACCATTCATTCTTGAAGCCGATGCATCTGAGACAGGAATAGGCACCCTCTTGTCTCAACGTCCTAACCCAGAGAGCTTCATGCATCCATGAGGGTATTTCTCAAAGAAATTGAACCCGGCGGAATGCAATTACCAGATTGGTGATAGAGAACTTCTAGCTATAATTTTAGCTCTCAAAGAATGGAGGCACCTTCTTGAGGGCACTTCAGTGCCAATTCTCATCCTCACAGACCACAAGAATCTTACATATCTTTCCGAAGCTAAGCGGCTTTCCCCCCGGCAAGCAAGATGGGCTCTCTTCCTATCAAGATTCAATTATGTGGTTTCTTATTTGCACGGTACTAAAAACATTCAGGCTGATGCCTTGTCTCGACAGTTCTCTCCTCCATCTAGAGAGGAAATAACCCCTACTCCTGTGATTCCTCCGGACCGTGTACTGGCCACCATCCGTACTAACCTCACCTCACACCAAGGCGAGGAGATTCTGGCTGCACAAATTAGAGAAACCTAATGGCCGTTGTTTTGTACCTATTCATCTCCGTACTAAATTATTAAGTACATATCACAACCCCAAAGCAGCTGGAAATCCAGGCAAAAACTAGTTAATCTGGTTCCCTCTCTCTGCAATTTTGGTGACCTAGTCTCCGTTCGGATGTCACTGCTTTTGTAGCTGCCTGTCCTGAATGAGCTCAAAATAATACCCCATGACACCCTCCAGTGGGTCTCCTGCAAACCATACCTAATGGTGAATGACCTGGACTCACTTGTTCATGGATTTTATAGTAGATCTTCCGGTCTCCCATGGTAATACAGTCGTTCTCATGGTTGTTTACCGATTCTCTAAGATGTCGCATTGCATTCCCATGAAAAAACTACCAACTTCTCAAGAACTTGCAACAATTTTTGCTCGGGAGGTCTTTCATTTGCATGGGTTACCCAAAGTAATAATCTCAGATAGGGGTAGCCAGTTTGTGTCCAGATTTTGGAGAGCTTTTTGTACACAAATGGGAATTCAGCTTTCCTTCTCCTCGGCCTACCACCCGCAATCCAATGGTGCCACGGAATGAGCTAACCAAGCCTTGGAACAGTTTCTGCGTTGCTACATTTCTGACCACCAGGATAACTGGTCTGATCTGCTACCCTGGGCGGAGTTTGCCCACAATAGTGTGATTAATGCCTCTTCCCGGCTATCCCCGTTCTTGGCGAACTATGGGTTTCAACTGTCCATGTTGCCTGATACGTTCATGCCACAAGGGATACAAGCATTGGAGGAACATCTCAGGGAACTCCGTTCCACTTTGGTGCAGGTTCAGAACTCTTTGCAACGCGATATGCAGAACTACAAACTCCAGGCCGACCGCAGGCGCCTACCTATCAGGTCGAAGAGAGGGTCTGGCTGTCTTCCCGCAACCTACGTCTCCGTGTTCCCTCACAAAAACTGGCACCCCACTACGTTGGGCCATTTCATATACTTCGAAGGGTTAACCCTGTAGCTTATGCACTTGAGCTTCCTGCTAACATGCACATCTCGAATGTATTCCATGTTTCCCTCTTGAAACCCTTGGTATGTAATCATTACACCACCTCAGTGCCAAGTCCACATCCTGTTCTGGTTGATAATCATGATGAATATGAAATAGGCAGCATCATTGACTCACGAGTGTTCAGAGGACAGATCCAATACTTGGTGCACTGGAAAGGGTACGGTCCAGAGGAACGCTCCTGGGTTCCAGCCTCTGATGTCCATACACCATCCCTCCTTCATTCCTATCACGCCAGCTTCCCCATGAAGCCTGGACCCTCCAGCAGATATGGGGAGAGTCGTTGAGGGGGAGGTACTGTCAGGGTTTCTTTGCTGTTTTAAACAGCAACCCCTACTTTTTTTTTTGTCTGAGTTTTCAGCTGATATTAATGATCAGCTCCTTCAGTATGTTGCCACGGTTACTCACCTGATAGTAGTAACCAGCCCTTCTGCTAATCAGGCAGCCTATTTAAGCAGCAAATCCCAGTACCTCCTTGCCCTTGCGTGGTTTCCTGTTCCCCAGAAGTCTCCTTGTTCCTGTGTGTTCCTGGTTCCTGAGTCTGGCTTTGTTGCCGTCTTCGCTGCTCTCCGTTCTCATGATCCTGGCTCGTCTGACTACCCGATTTGGTGCCTGACCCCTGCTTGCCCCCTGGACTTTGCTTTTGGTTATTACTTTGTTTTCTATTTATTAATAAAGGTGTTATTGCATCTAGTTCTGTCTCTGTTCCTGGTCTCTAACAGGTACATGTTATGTGATCCTTAGCAATTATCCTAATAGTAAAGAAGTCCATCTGTGTTGAAAGAGTATCATAAGAGTTTGATTTTACGACAAATTGAGAACTGTGTGTTGGCAACCATTGATTAACAGGACATGTGAACATTTGCTTAATCTTGCAGCTTTATATAAAAAAATTTAAATAAAAAAAAGACTCATTGAATCCAAATACACTGCACACTTTATGAATAGGGATCCTATGAATTATCTTAATTTTTTTGCATAATCCCAGATATAAAATTGCATCTGGTAGCTAGCTTTTGAAGAAAGCCTAATTGAAACGGGGCAGTTCTCAAAGAACTTACTTGTTCAAAATTTATGCTTGGGATTACCATTTGAGCAATGAATTTATAGAGTTTATCAAAGCTTTTTGACATTCAAAAGTTTGCTTTCATATTTATTATTCCTTTGACACAAGTCTGAATTCTGGAATCTAATTAACAAGACGTTAGCACTTTATAGTTCATTAATTCATTAATTAATATTTCATAGAACAATGTATTTCATTCTTAAAAGATTGATTAACAAAAGGACATCTTGCTCTTATTTTGCAGCATGCAAACTTTTTATTGGCATTTATGTCAACTGTAAATATATACTGAGGATGTTTAGATAGGGGTTTCATGACTTCAACCTCCATGACCTTGTCTTTTTGCGATTTACATGTTCGAGCAATAAGAAAAAGTATGTGATATGCATTTACCAGATATACTACATATACTAGTAAACAAAAAAAAATATTGGATATAATAGAATATACCACAAAGTAATTCAATTTCACACACTTGCCTCGACTAGATGCCATCTACAAAACACAGTCAAAAATTATCCGACTGATATTTTTTTAATCAAATTTTGATAAAAATGCTAAATTCTAGCAGTCAAATCCTGACAATCCGGACAGCTCACTGAGAAAAGTTGCCTGATAGATGTTATTCGTAAGCACATTTATTGATTTCTATTAATGACTAAGGCTATTAGATTGAAGGGACTTCATCAATCTATTGTTCCTGTAACAATATGTAATTGTGTCCTTTATTGCTAAATTTCCCCCTTTATAATATTGTAAAGCACTGCAGAATAAGTTCAAATTATTATAAATATAAATGCTAATAGAAATAATAATAATAATGTCATTTAAAAATATATATAAAAAAAAACCTTGAGTGGAGCATGTCTGCTAAACAACAGGTGGCTAGTGGCTGCTCACAGTGTCTACCAAGTAGCTAGTAGTTGCTTACAGTAATAATACATAGCGGGTGGGCAGCTATTTCTGCCCAGTGGCTTTTAACATACAGGAGGAACATAGGTCCCCTACCCAGGTTATTACATTTGAAAAAGTGAAGGAGGGACATCCTAGTGGCCACCCCGGTCCCACAGTGGGGGCACTTAATTAAATACAAACAGGGGGACTCATTGTACCTCCTGCTCCCACCTGCTGACCAACAGGTGTCAGCTCTAATTTTAATAACTCAAGGAGACCTGTCTCCTCAACCAGCGCCAAGACACAGGCCATAGGTTCTTAAATTCATAAGAAATAGAGGGGACCTCTACACTTACACACACTGCTATGTATATACAACAATATGATCATATTGTCCCACCACCTCTCTCAGAGAAACAACCTGCTGTCTTCTCCAGCCCTCACCCATGGGAGTCCAATTAATCTAATGAAAACAAATTAAATTTATACTTACAATTAGATTAATTCTTAACCCCTTGAGGACTGATGATGGTTCAGGACCGTCATCGGAAACATCCCCTTGAGGACTGATGACGGTCCTGAACCGTCATAACGATCTTGGGGTACTTACCTGATCGCAGTCGTTCCCCCGGCGGCGATCAGCATTTCTTCTGGTCTGGGGGGACTGCCTGTCTCCCTGCAAGTGAAAAATCACAAATAAAGTAAAATAAAATTCAATGTAAAAAAATAATAATATATGTGTATATATATATGTGTAGATATATATATACATGTATTATATCTATATATAATATGTATATATATCATATATATGTCATACTAAGTGTATTTTTATATTTATATATTAATATAAAAATAAACTTATAATTAAATTATACACGTATATATAATATATACAATAACTACTTATTATAAAATATAAATAATACGTATATAATACGTATATAAAAATAAATTAATAATTAATCAATAAAAATAATTTAAAAAAAATTATATCTATATATGTAATTTTATTCTAACGGTATTTTGATATTAATATATATATATATATTTATATCAAAATACCCTTAGAATGAAATGATATATATATATATATATGTATATAAATAAATAAATAAATAAATACAAATAATATGAAATATACATATGTCCATATACATAATTACATAAATAATTTCATAAATATACATGTAGACTTCAAATATATAAATATGTATATATATTTAAATTCCACGTGCATATTTATGTAATATTTTTACATAATTAAGTAATTTTATTGATTGCAATTTGAGGGACATGCCTGACAACCCAGGCCGAAAGTCCAGAGAATTTAATTTGCTAGCACTGTGTTTAACCCTGTAACTTTCTATGACACCCTAAAACCTGTATATGGGGGGTACTGTTTTACTCGGGAGACTTCGCTGAACACAAATATTAGTCTTTCAAAACAGTAAAACATATCACAGCGATGATATTGTCAGTGAAAGTGAATTTTACTGTTCTGAAACACTAATATCTGTCTTCAACGAAGTCTCCCGAGTATAACAGTACCCCACATGTAGAGGTTTTATAGTGTTTTTGAAAGTTACAGGGTCAAATATAAGGCTTGATTTTACTTTTTTTTTATTGAAATTTGTCAGATTGGTTATGTTGCCTTTGAGAGCGTATAGTAGCTCAGGAATGAGAATTACCCCTATGATGGCATACCATTTGCAAAAGAAGACAACCCAAGGTATTGCAAATGGGGTATGTTCCGCCTTTTTTAGTAGCCACTTAGTCACAAACACTGGCCACAAGTGGCTACTAAAAAAGACTGGACATACCCCATTTAGAATACCCTGGGTTGTCTACTTTAAAAAAAAATATTTACATGTGGGGTGTGATTCGGGGATTTATGACGGATAACAGTGTTACAATGTCACTATTGATAAATTTAAAAAATATATATATTGCAACAGCAATTTCCTACTTGTACTTAAAGCCCTATAACTTGCAAAAAAGCATGTAAACACTGGGTGTTTTTAAACTCAGGACAAAATGTTGAATCTATTTAGCAGTTTTTTCCATTAGCTTTTGTAGATAAGTAAAAGATTTTTCAAGTAAAAGTCCAAACACATTAAAATTTTTCACCATATTTTATTATTTTTTTTAAAGTAAAATATATGACATGATACAAATAATGGTATGTAAAGAAAGCCCTTCTTGTCCTGAAAAAAAACAATATATAATTTGTATGGGACTGTATGGAACTGTGTTCCACTCTTTTCCCACGTGCGGCCAGAGGGGGTACTGTGCTAGGAGGACACCCTCCTGTGTCATAGAGAGCAGCAGAGGGGAGAGACAGGAAGGGGAAGCTCAGCTCTGCACAGAGGCATCCAGGCAGCTGCTGGTAAGTGTGAGTCAGTGTGTGGTTCAGTCTGTGTGTGGGAGTAGGGGTTCAGTTTGTGTGTGGGGGGGTTCAGTCTGTGTGTGGGGGGATCAGTCTGTGTGGGGAGGGCAGTCTGTGTGTGTGTGTGGTGGTCTCAGTTTGTGTGTGTATGGGTGTGAGAGGTGGGTTCAGTCTGTGTATGTGGGGATCAGTCTGTGTGTAGAGGTGGGGAGGCTCAGTCTGTGTGTATGGGTGTGGGGGGTGGGTTCAGTCTGTGTGTGTGGGGATCAGTCTGTGTGTGTGGGTTTCAGTTTGTGTGTATGGGGGGCTTAATCTGTGTGTTTATGGGTCAGTCTGTGTGTGTGTATGTGTGTGTGTGTATGGTTTAGTCTGTGTGTAGGGGGGTCAGTCTGTGTGTCTGTTTATGGGTTAGTCTGTGTGGGGTGGATCACTCTGTGTGTGGGTGTGTGTATGGGTCAGTCTGTGTATGTATGGGTCAGTCTGTGTGTGCGTGTATATGTCAGTCTGTGTATGTGGGGGAGAAGTATGTTTGTGTGTATGGGTCTGTGTATGGGGCAGTCTATGTATATGTTTGGATCAGTCTGTGGGTTTGTATGGGTCAGTCTGTGTAAGTGCTAGAGCTCCAAGAGAGAAACCCTTTTAATTTCGTGACTTCCACTGTACCCGATGGATAGGCAGCCTTCTCAACCACCACAGATCTAATTGTTCCACCCCTTCCCTGCAAGGTAAAAATCAGGGAAAGGGGAATATTATTATTATTATTTTTTTAAAACAATAAAGGAAAATTTTTAAAATTCTTCCCTATCCCACTCTCTGCACCCCCATGAACACAGTACATCCTCATAGACAGTGAACTCCCACATACAGTACACTTCCATCAACACAGAGAACACATGCACACAGTGCACCCCTCACACACATCATCTCTTCACCCACATACACACTTATTCCCCACACACCTTCACCCCTACACACACATGCATACATACATACTTCACCCTATTACACATTCACACACACATATATATATATAGATATATATAGATATATATATATAAAATGAAAAAAATACCGGCACTCCAAGGATTTTCAAAATATGCAATCTTCTTTATTCTGAGAAATACATCTTCATCAACGTTTCAGCTACCCTAAGGAGCTTTCAGGAGTGTCCTGATGAAAGCTCCTTAGGGGAGCTGAAACGTTGATGAAGATGTATTTCTCAGAATAAAGAAGATTGCATATTTTGAAAATCCTTGGAGTGACGGTATTTTTTTCATTTTATATTATGGAGCTACAAGAGCACCGGGTCATTTTTTGATTATTGTTAGGTTGGAGTGCAGGAGCTTATTACATTTAGATATATATATATATATATAGGAAAGTCTGGCCCAAACTTCTCAATGTCAACGTCTTCTGCCTCCCCTGTTAACGCCCAGACGCCACCTCCTTGTGGTGTAGGACAGGTCCCCACCCCCCTGTGTCCCGTGCTCGGAGCTGACAGAGCCTTCTACTATCCTGTACCACTGCATTCCTGTTCTCACACTCCTATACCCCAACCGCCCTTACAGCTCCCTACTGCCCCCGACCAGGTCCCGCCATCACCCTCTCCGATGCCCCTTCGCCTCCTCCAATTCCTTGTCCCCCGCCCCTTCCACTGTCTCCACCTATTCCTATTGTTCTCCCATCAGACCCTTCTTCCCCCCGTCCCCGATCCCATCCCATTGACTCCTGTCCCACCTCCTGACATTTCTACTACCAAGGTTTCGCCACTTCTCCTTGCTACTCCTACCACCCCGGACTGTTCCCCTCCGACTACTCCTGCTAGTCTGTTGTCATCTCTCCTCTCTGCTATTTCCGCCACTCTTGGCCATCCCTATCACCCCACCCTGCCTTCTACATTCCCTGATGTCCCTTCCGCCCCCGACCCTCCTCCTACTTCTTCTTCTAACCCTCCTCCCACTGACCTGTCATCTCTTCTCTCTGCCCTCTCAGCCTTAGCCCATCTCACTACTCCTGTTCCTCCCACTACATCTTCCGACCCTCCTCCTACTTCTTCTAACCTGTTATGGCACCCTCAGCATAAAAGGGTTAAACCGCCGTTTAGTAGATCTTCCCTTCCAGAGACACAGGTACAGCTACTGCAGAACACCAATCCGCCGAACAGGAAACCATATGAATGCTGTAAACAGCCGAATAGGAAAAACCATACGAATAGGTTTACACTCCTAGCAGTCAAACTGGAACAGCATACAATAAATCTCCCCAAGAACGAGACAAAGCTCCGTGTTGAGGGTCAAGCAGTGAACAGTCAGAGCTGTGGTTTTATTGTGCTTATGTACACATTCTTACACATTAGTACCACCCACAGGGTTTTGGAACACAACCAATAAACACATACAATACACTCAGACACTCCCACACAAAATCCTCCCCTCTGCCTGTGATACAATTACCTTACACAATGGGTAATATAATTATAACAAGCAGATAAATTTTTTTTTTCCACATTATTCATAACTTGAAAAGTATGCATCACATTCACATTTTCAGAATCAGCATACTCCAAATACAAACATATGTCAAATTCATACAAATTGGTCCAATGGTTCAAAAGATAGATCGTAGTCCTTTGTGACCAAAGGAAGCATGGCTTTTTCTGCCCAAAACCAGTTCCACAGAGTCTTCTATCCTGGAGATAATTGGGAAGTAATCCAATTATCTCCAAAGACAGAGGCAAAACTCCATTGAACACATGGCAGCAAAAGACAATAAAACACATAAAACATATAACTGTGCAGCCATTGCACAAAACAGGTACATTCAACATATCCCCAGATAGCTCAGATCTGAGCGCACATTATTACTGAATGGCGCTCAGAGCACACATACAGTTCAATTGCCATGGAGCCAAAGTCTTTCCCATAGTCTTTCATTATACGAATGGGCTCCATGGCATAGCTATCTGGGGTATCACGCTCAAACAGGGTAAGCACCAAATGACCCGGCTTTCATGTCTTTGCAGGGGAAAATCAAGCCTTTTAACATGGGGCCATAATCCAAAGGCAACAGGCGAGCAACCAGGCTTCTCCAATGCAATGTGGCGAGATTGGTCTCGTCACATCACCCTCCTCCCACTGACCTGTCATCTCTTCCCTCTGCCCTCTCAGCCTTAGCCCATCCCACTACTCCTGTTCCTCCCACTACATCTTCCAACCCTCCTCCTACTTCTTCTAATCCTCCTCCCACTAACCTGTCGTCTCTTCTCTCTGCCCTCTTAGCCCATCCCACCACTCCTGTTCCTTCTACTACATCTCCCGACCCTCCTCCTACGTCTTCTAACCCCTTCTCCCACTGACCTGTCGTCACTTCTCTCTGCCCTCCTAGCCTTAGCTCGCCCCACTACCCCTGCTCCTCCTACTACACCTCCTCCTACAACAGAACCTGTTGTAATTGCCACCAGGTTGGCCACTGCCGTAGAGAGTGTCCTCATCCTAGGCTGAATAGGCCACTACTCCCCAGGTATTCTCATCCCTCTGTTGCTGCCTATGGGCATTTCCCTCCAGGGTACTTTCAGCCACCACCACCTCCTCCAGTTCCATACTTCCCACCTCCTGAGTATTCCCAAGCCCCCCTGCCTCCTTCTGACGCCCGTACTTATCCCCCAGCTCCTGCTGGCGCATATGATGCTGATGGTCTTCAGGAAGAACGCCCAGTACCTAGACAGAGCCGCACTGCTCGCCCTGCCCCCCTGGCAAGTCTCCCTACTACCTCTGCATGTCACTACACTGGTCCTGACCAGGCTCATTTAGATTTGTTGCAATAGGTAACTGGCAAGCCTATGTCTGATACCCCTGTCATGGCAGCATCTACAAGGGATGGGGGGGCCTCTCGCTACAGTTGTCCTGCCCGTTGAGGGACATCCTACTACCTTTTTAGTTGACACAGGTGCAGCCCGCAGTGTTCTTAGAGAACAAGACCTGCCAGACCCGTCCTACCTGTCAGACACAGATGTATCTTGTGTAGGTGTTGACAGCACTCCCTGCAGCAATCCACTAACTAAGCTCCAACGTGGGGGTTCTGATATCCTCTCACGGTTTGTTGTTTCCTCTACCTGTCCCATTAACATTTTGGGTGCTGATGTTTTGTCCCACCTTCAGGCCTCAATTACTTTCACTGCAGATGGTCAGGTTCAATTACTCACACCCCTATCACGCAAAGACACTTCTGTCCACTGTTCCCTACCCTTACCACTACATTTTACGTCTCCCTCAGGGGAAGCAAGGGTCACGGATGCCCCCAGTGCTCTGGACAGAATCCCTACTAAACTCTGGTCCACGGGCCCAGATGACATAGGTCGCCTACATGTTCCTCCCGTTGTGGTTACCCTTCTGCCAGGAGCTGCTCCACCTCAGAGACCTCAATACCCATTGAAACCTGCACAGGCCCTTGCCATCTCTAAGCAAGTTGACAGCCTCCTAGCAAAAGGAGCTCTTATCAAGTGTGTGTCGCAATGTAACACTCCCTTATTCCCTGTCAAGAAGAAAACCGAAAAGGGACAACCAGACCAGTACCGCATGGTCCAGGACTTGCGTGCCGTTAATGATGTCACTGTCAGGGACACCACTGTTGTCCCCAATCCACACACCTTGTTGTCACAGGTCCCACCCACTGCCAAGTTCTTCACGGTGGTCGATCTTGCCAATGCCTTTTTCAGTGTACCTCTGGATCCGTCCTGTCAACATCTCTTTGCCTTTATTCATGACTGCCAACAGTACACATGTACTGTCATGCCACAAGGGGCACAGAACTCTCCAACTCAGTTCGCAAAAGCCATGTCTACTGTCTTGGAACCCTGGAACCCTGCTCCAGTATGTTGATGACCTACTCCTCTGTGCTGCTGACCTCTCAACTGCTGAGCGTGATTCCGAAGATCTTCTATGCTTTCTAGCTGAAGAAGGTTGTAAAGTTTCTAAATCCAAACTACAGTGGTGCCGGCCCTCTGTGGTCTTCTTGGGGCATTGCCTCTCCCATGGCACCCGTCATCTTACCAGAAACAGAATTCTTGCTATCTTGAATTTGCCGCCTCCATCTACCCATCAGACTCTACATGCCTTTTTAGGCCTCATTACCTATTGCAGATCGTGGATTCCTGAAGCTTCTCAGCTTATGCAACCACTTTATGATGCTTTAAAGAGCGAACCGTTCTCCCTATCACCTCAAGCTCTAGCTTGCTTCTCAGCCCTGCAAAAAGCAATTTCCTCCACAACCGCTCTGGGCCTACCTGACTACCAATTGCCCTTCAAGCTGTTTGTTTCAGAAAAGATGGGCCATGCTTCAGGGGTCCTCACACAATCTCATGGCTCATGACAGAGACCAATTGGCTATTTTACCTGCATGCTTGACCCCGTAGCCAGGGGTAGTCTTCCTGCCTGCGGGCGGTGTTTGCTGCTAGTGCATTATTGGATAAGACCAATGACTTTGTCCTTGGACATTCTCTAACTGTCCTCGCTCCACATGACATTTCCGCCATTTTACAACAAGTCCAACCTAAGCACCTTTCCTCACAACGCCATCTTCGTTTACAGACTTCTTTACTGTTGCCAGACAATGTGACTATTCAAAGATGTTACACCTTGAATCCGGCCACTCTTCTGCCACTTCCCAAGGGGGGAGTAGCCCACTACTGGTACAGCTTGGACATCAATCCTGATGTCCGGATGGACTTTCAATTACCGACTCCCACAGCTCCATATGATGTGCAACCGGAGAACTTGCTGCATTGCACTCTGTGGTTTAAAGATACTCCAGGCCCTGACTCATCCTATGAAGAAGAATTGTTCCACTTGGTGGAAATTCGCATCACACTAACAGATTTATTATGTGATTCCAAAGGCAACATGGTCTCGCTGGTTTACCTTCCAAAGGAAGTATCACACCTCTATCACCACTGGGAAGTGGCTGTTCCACATGTTTCATTCACCAAGTCTCCTGACCTCTCGTGGGGAGATCTGGGCCCAATGGCCAAATCCTGGAGCACGGCAACCCAAGAACAACTTGAACTGGCGGGAGTTACTAAAAAGATCATTAACTGCAATACAGTCAGTTACCCTCGGTACCATACAGAGATATGCGAGGATCTCCCTCCCATAGGGCAAGATCCAGAAGCCCCCCATGATTGTTTTGAACAGATGAAGATGGAAACCACCCACTTACCAACCGTGCATGACACTGCCCTGCCTAATCCAGACTGCACACTGTTTGTGGATGGCTCCAGATTTGCTGATGAACAAGGGCAATGCCACACTGGGTATGCAGTCACTACAGAAAGTCAAGTACTGCAGGCTGCCGCACTTCCACCGCCAAAATCAGCTCAAGAGGCCGAACTAACAGCCCTTACCGTGGCCTGTAAGTTGTCCGAAGGTACACGTGTCAATATTTATACAGATTCAAGATATGCCCTAGGGGTGGCACATGACTTTGGTCTGATTTGGAAAACCAGGGGTTTCCTCACAGCTACCGGCACTCCTGTGAAACATGGGGCAGCTATTGAAGAACTGATGGACGCCCTGCTACTGCCTGAAGAGGTGGCTGTACTGAAGGTAAAAGCCCACAGTAGGTTGAACTCAAAAGAAGCCCAAGGCAATCACCTGGCTGACCAGGCCGCTAAGGAAGCAGCACGCCAAGGATGGAAAGTGGACAGAAGAGTGGCCACCGAAAACACCCCTATCTATACTATGCAAACTTTACCTACAGATTTCAAACTCTTGAAAGAACAACAAGCTGCAGCAACCCCTCAAGAAAAACAGAGCTGGAAGGACAGAGGGGAAATCCTTCAAAATGATGTCTACACCCTCAACCTCAAGTTTTGCCTACCCAGAAATATGTACCCGGCTGTTGTCCAGTGGGCCCACGGACCAGCCCATTTGTCCAAACATCTGATGAACTCTCTAATTGATAAATACTTTGAAGCACCTGGTATCACCACTTTGACCCAGAACTATTGCAGATCCTGTACTATTTGCACCAAATGTAACCCCGGGAAGATTATCAAAGCCGCTCCTAATCACCTGGCCAAACAACATTATCCCTTCCAGAGAATTCAGATTTATCATATCCAGATGCCAAAAAGTGGGCGATATGAGTATGCATTAGTCATAGTGGATATGTTCTCAGGATGGCCAGAAGCCTTTCCAGTCGCTAACCTTACAGCAAAAACCACAGCGAAGCATCTCCTTACAGAAATCGTTTGCCGGTATGGAGTTCCAGAAGTGATTGAAAGTGACCAAGGAACCTCCTTCACCACTCTGTTAACAAGGGAAGTCTGGGCAGCACTGGGGGTGACCCTTGCCTTTCACACACCTTATCACCCACAGAGTAGCAGTAAGGTAGAACGCATGAATGGCACGTTAAAAGCCAGAATGATCAAAATGTCCCAGGAGACTAACATGCCCTGGCCCGAGAGTCTTCCCTTAGCACTGTTTAGCGTACGGTACACCAGAAGGGGGAAGTTCAGTCTATCCCCTTATGAGATTTTGTTCGGTACAGCACCTAGGTTAGGTTGTTATTTCCTTCAACAGCTTCAGACTCAGTCAGATGCTATGGTAGACTATGTAACTGCTCTCTCAAATACCTTTACCAAAATCCATGCCCAAGTGTTCTCTTCTATTCCAGATCCAGAGTTGAATACAGGAATACACAAGTTACTTCCTGGTGACTGGTTTATGGTCAAGAAATTCCTCAGGAAACACACTCTCGAACCAAGATTCGATGGTCCTTACCAAGTACTACTGACTGTGGCTACTTCGGTAAAGTTGGCCGGAAAGAGTTCCTGGATACACGCTTCACATTGTAAGAAAGTACCTGCTCCAGAGGAAGCCACCCCAGATGAACCATGAGCTTCCTGTGTCTCCTTTTGCTGCTAGGCCTGATAGAGGCCCAACAAGTTGCTATTACTAAAGACAATCATGTTTACACGTTCTGGTACAATTCCTCAAACACACATGTGGCTACATTTACCTTTGATTATTGTGATATTGTTTCTTGTACTTTTCCACAAACACAACACTCTGCCATATACAAAGACATACCTAACAAGAAGGACCCATATATCTGTGTAACGGGAGGGCACTGGGGACATCATTGTAGTTCCTGGAAAGCAGCTGGTTGGAATACTGGTAGACCTTGGGCTATAAGCCCCAATGTGCTTTAGACAGGGTTGACAGAAATGAGAAGCCCTTGTTGTATAGAATGACCCTGTGCAAACCTGCAGGGTCAACCCTGATGAAACTCACCTTAAATGTAGAACATCCCAGCCCAGGGGATGCCGGGGAATACGTAATGGGTATGTATTGGAAGGGAGGTGGTTCACACAATCAGTTAGGAACCTTCTACTTACAAGACATGCTTACATCATCTGACTGGGTAGGTACTACTCACATGACTGTCAGTCCACTTAAACCTCACATTAAGACTTTACATGACATGGTTGCCATTGCTAACCCCACTTTTGAAGACACAATGGCAGTAGAAACTGGGTTATCTGACACTAACCTGTGGCTGGAATGGATGACGTACAATGCCAATTCACACAATAAGACTAACTGCTATGTATGTGGCGGGGTTAGACCCCATTTGGGTACAGTGCACCTTAATTTACCTTCTGATGTTGAACTGTGTTTTCTGAGCCATTATGTGCAATCAACCACTAACTCGTCAATATGTGAATCATGGAAAAAGGTGTATCCCATTACCCAGGGAAGTGTTAGACCACCTGATGGAGTCACAGTATACCCAGGTAATTACACCTGTTACTCAGTGCCTAAAAACACTGGTAAGTTCATGGGCAGGTTTCCATCCGGCTATTGTTCTGCCTATCACGACCCACCCATGACGTTATTAGTAAATCATGCCAAAACTGTCGGGGACATTTATTGGCTACGTGGTGATATACAACTAAGATCCCAATTAACTGGCCTGTGGTGGGGGGAATGCACCTTAACTAAAGCCATAATGCCCATCCATATTATCTAAGATGATCATCAAGGTCCATTTGATCCCACACGCACACATTTCAGAGCTAAAAGGGAAATCCCCATCCGTGGAAGCTTTGACCCACATGTTTATATTGATGCCATTGGGGTGCCAAGGGGGGTACCTAATGAATTTAAGGCCAGAGATGAAGTAGCAGCAGGGTTTGAATCCCTGATTCCATTAATCACCGCTAACAAGAATGTCAATTGGATTAACTATATTTACTATAACCAGCAGCGATTTGTTAATTATACTAAAGATGCCCTATAGGGCTTGGCAGAACAGCTGCAAGCTACCTCCCAAATGACATTCCAGAATAGGATGGCTCTGGCTATGATTCTAGCAGAAAAAGGGGGAGTATGTAAAATACTCCCCGATACGATGACATGTTGTACTTTTATCCCAGATAATATTGGACCCAATGGGAAAGTAACCATGGCAATAGAGAAATTGGATAATCTATCTGACTAGTTACAAAAGAATTCTGGGGTCTCCAATACATGGGATAGATGGTTTGGATGGATGAATGGATGGCAGAAAACCCTATTCCAGGTTGGAACAGCAGTCCTTACTATGATAATCCTCTTCCTCTTCCTGACTTGTTGTGTACTACTTGCATACAGAAATACTCGCAGAAGACAGTAGGACAAACCATTGATAATGTAACTCCTACGTTCCTCCACCAAGACGTCAATGACACAGAATGTGACACACCACACACACCCCTCCAGTCACACCAATTCAGACAACTGCATTCCTTTAGGGATAGTGTAGGGATAGCGTCTGTCTCTACGGGCAAAAGTCTCACGTGGGAGATGTAGTGAGTTAGCCACTGTGGGATACCCACGGAGTGAAGCGTTCGAGGCTCGTTAAGACAGATAAGCTGCAGGTAATTAGGGACAGGTAAGGGACAGTAGTAGTTGTCTTTTTAGTAAATAGCCATTTTAAGGGGGGACTGTTGTGGAAATGGATATTAACATAATTTTTAGCTAGTAAAATGTCTATTTACTCATTTAACTATAATCATCATTATTCAACTCTTATGTGATTAACCAAAATGGCCGCTAGGGAGCTTCCCCTCTAACATCGACTAACTACCTCGTGTAACAAGATGGCGCCGGAATCTGGGGGAAACCCTCATGATACTAGTGACATCACCCCCTGTAGGCAGAGCATTAAAAAAAACACTTAACACCTAACCAATTAATGATGTATTATTTCATGTTATCTCTGACAATGCATATTATGAAATTCTGCTTTAAAAGGGGTTTGCCGTCCCCTCTGAATAAACATTCCTCAAGTTTTTCATTAACCTGAAACTTGTGTCTGGTGTGAATTACTTCAGGGAGTGTGCACGCATTGTTTCTTTAATTTGGCCAGGGGCAGATATGCAAAATAATCAATTTATTGATTGTTTTCCACTTCAGTATATATATATATATATATATATATATATATATATATACATATACAGTACCTTGTTAAGCACACAATGCAACCCCAATACACATACACTCATAATGCACATGCACACACTTTGCAGGCCATCTCAGCACACACATAATCTCAAAAGCTCCTTTACATGAGCACGTGCTCAAACTACAGCCCCTAGTTACACATAGTACACCATAAACAGACTCCTCTATACACACACTTCACCACAGCCCCTTTTAAACACCACGGAAAATTATCTTGCATCTCCTGAAAAGGTTTTCCAGTTTCTTGCCTGTAATGTAGAAGGCACAGCAGTGAAACTACAGAGAGTGCTAGTGCTGTGGTTACACCAGGGCCCATCGAGTGATGATTGCAATTAAGGCCACCCGATGGGCATGTGTCTTCAGGGCCCAAAACTGTTTTTGCACCAGGGCCCACTCTACATTAGTTCTCCAACTGTGCAACAGTTTCCCCAGCACACAAGCTCTGCCCCTGCATGGAAGATCCCCTACCTGTACTCAAGCTCTGTCCCCAATCTCTGACTGAGACACACACTGACAGACATATACACATTCTGACAGACATACAGTGACAGGCACCCACTCTCTGACTGAGACACATACACACACATTTTCTCACAAATTACTATTTTTATTTTTATTTAAATCCACCCAGCCTCCCTACCTTTGGGAGAGCTGAGTGGATCTTTCCCTGGCATCGTGGATCTTTCTCGGGCACCTAGTGTGTCTCCTCTCTAATCAACCTGCAGTTTCTCTCTGTTCCTCTGCATGCTCTCTGTAATAATGCCGGGGCCGGAGTGATGTCATGTAACTAAACAGTGCAAGACGGAGCAGAGAGGCACTGCAGGAAGGTTACTGCCCCATCGCGGGCCTCCTCCATGCTCCCCGCGGCGGCCAGCTTTAATATTTACTGGGCGGCCTAGCAAAGGGCCGACAAATGCCAGGGCAAAATATCTAGTCGTCATGGCGACCTGGCACCTGGAATTTGTTGAGCCCTGTGTATGTATGTGTGTGTGCGTGTATATATATATATATATATATATATATACACACACACACATGCATACACCTTATTTAATTGCCCCCCTACTTTTGTCCCTGGCCCCTTATGTGCCCCCCAAAGTATGAATCCTGGAGACGCCACTGTTTCCTAGCCCTTGACATGAGATTTGATTTGAAGCCCATTTGCAGCCATTTCCAGTAATATTTGCAATGTTTTTCTCCTGGTTTTGGATGCTGTGATTTGTGGTGTCTTGGTGGTGTGGTATACTTGAGTCTTAGCAAAACACCATCTAATAGGCCTCAATGACGCCCTTGTAAAATATTCTCCCTTTCATTTCCATTGCAGACCCATTTATAGATCCCTTAACTTTCCATTGCAGAACTCCCATCATTACAGATTATCTGCTCTTCCACAACAGGCCTCACTCAGCTACAGTGCAGAGACCTCCCCTCCCTCTGTATTTCAGATCTCCTTCATCCATTACAACCATCAAACGCTGCAAATATAGAGGAATGTAGGTGCTATCAACATCTCCATGACACGTTGTGTGTCTCTGCCTTCCTGAGTCAGTCATCCACTGATTTTTTTATGGGAAACGGTTTATACCCTGAAGACTCAGTGGTTTTTCACTTATCACCAAACTGAACTAAAAACAGTATAGCAAAATGTAGGCAACAATAGTTGCAATACCTCATAACCATTCCATATTCGAAGGGCAGTCCCACATTGTGTCCTTGGACTGTTGTTCTGGGGATGACAGAAACCATGTTCCCACAAAGTACTGTACATTATGAGCGCATCTGATGGCGCCCCAATGCTGTACTACGCTGAGTCAGTGCATTTTCACATGCAAGAGCACATCAGTAGCAAATTTAGCCTGAATTTCACTTCATTTTTCTAATCACTACAATTTGGTGTTTAGTGAATAAATCCCACACAGTATTAATATTCCATTGAAATACTAGAATTATTTTTATCTCTCTGAGTGTCACGGAGGTGACTGAAGCACTGGCACCCACTCATACAAAAATAAAAGGCGCATTCTCTGCCAGTAAAAACATTCATTTTATGGATAATCTTGTCTTATTACCGTACAATACTAATCATTCTCAACAAAAACAAACAAAAATATTAATAATATATTTTTTAATTTTTTTAAAATAATTAACACTATGTGCCCCGAGGGTTTAATAAACCGGCTGCGCCTTCTCTAATGCAAAGGGTTAATTAAAATAAATATGCTATTGGTGAGACTAGTGTGATGTTATATTTATCTTATAAACATGTGCCTTTCAGCAGCCCATGAAAACAGCATGTTTCTTTTTCAGCAGAGGGTGCTGTCCTCTAGTTAAAGCGCCAGTTAGATTACAAGGTCATGCAGCCCTATTGATAAATCACACAGCAGTGATTTCTAACTGACAGCTCAAACTAACATCAAGCTGGATGAGAGAGAGAACAAAAGGCCATCAAGCAGCCATTTTCTTGACACTTTTATTCAATCACCAGCAGATTGCTTACGACAGCAATAGCAGCTGTTTTGTCTTCATCTTTCCACATTTGATAAAAGGTGTCAACTCAAATTTTTGTAAATAATTCACTTACCCCTACTGCAGACTCCAGCACTACTGCTCAGCATATGTATTTTCTTACCAGAAGATCATTCAGACAGGTCAGGGCTCAGTGATATCAAATGAAGGTCATCTCTGATCTCTCAGGAAACACTGATAAAGCGTCAGTCTTTGAAGGTCATAGATAAGCATTACATTGAGATATGTTTTCTTTTTTTTTGATGTGAGAGCAAAAAGCAAAACAAAAGAATGTAAATAAAGCACCATCCATGCTGGCATATTCACATTTCTCTCAAGGGAATAATAAAAGGGAGGGGGGTTAATAATCGCTTTGACTATGAAAAACATGTTTCCTACATTTTACAGTAGGATAAAATATTCTGGGATATTTAGTGTAACTAATATTCTGTAGTATAGCGTTCAGCAGAGATTGTCAGACAGGTACATTTTATCCCAGGATTACACTTGCTAGTGGTAACTTTTTTTACAGATGTCATGTGAGGACTAATTAACTAAAATGATAATTGCTTGACGGTTCACCATAATTCCCAGTTTAGTGAATAAACCATTTTAGCTGGGAATAAGCAGATGTACAATGTGATTTTTAACACACTATTTTTTTAAACTTTTTTTTGTAGTTTAGCTAATCCAGGGTATAGATCTTTTTGTGATGTTATAGTATATGAATAGTGTATTGGATTACATTCATGGGCCAGAATATAGGTGTTAAGATTTTACAAACAAGTTACAGATGGGTTTAAGAGAAACTGGATTGTACTGAATTGAAATCTTAATGGCAAAATTTAGGTGACAATAGAAACATTGTCAATACAACAATAAAATACAACTTGGCTATTTTTACCTTAACTTTGTCATTCATATTTTTTATGTCTATTGCATGGACAAAAAAAGACAACGCTAAATATAAAAAAATCAAAACAGCAAATCAAAGAAAAAAATAAAGACATAAATATAAAAGAAACACACATGAAACTATAATTAGAATTAAAAGGCAGTAACTTTTATAAAAAGAGGTTAAGAGGTATAACATAATTATTTATAAATGAGCCACAGGTAATAATTTCCTTTGATACAATCAAATGCAATCCGAACTGAGAGCAAGAATGTTATCAAAGTGCCTATAATCCACCCACAAATGGAGGGAGACAGTAACTCTTAATGGAAGATCCTTTCATCTCCCCTGCCAGCCCATAGAGTGGCGGCCCTGCTGTGTGCATGAGGAGTGGTGGGGAGATCTATGATCTCCCTCACCGGCCCACTAGCACTTTCATGCATGAGCTGGGAGATGAGGGAGAGGTGAGAGAACCCGGCTGAGCGAGAGATTGGTGCACTGCCACGGTTACCAGGCTGAATCTTGCTAGAGTTTACTCACTACCGGACCACAATGCCCCCCCTGCCTCTTCCTGATCAAAGGTAAAAAGAAGGAGAGAGATCAAGGAGCTAATGCGGAGGGGGGCTGGGCTTTTAACCTACCTCCCCACCACTCTGGACACCAGGGAAGGCACCCGTCAAGGTTGGAAACGGGAGGTAGGTTAAAAGTGTAAATTGTGCATGTGTGATTGTATGTGAATGTGTGTCAGTATGTCTATCAGTTTCTATGTGTGTCAGCATGTCTGTCAGTATGTATGTGTGTGTCATGTCAGCATGTCTGTCAGTGTGTGTCTGTGTAGTATGTCTCTCAGTATATGTGTGTGTGTTCGTATGTCTGTCTGTGTGTGTCAGTATGTTTGTGTGTGTCAATATATCTGTCAGTGGATATATATATGTCAGTATGTTTGTGTGTATGTATCAGTATGTCTGTCAGTGTATATGTTTGTGTAAGTATGTCTTGCACCTCTCTACTTTAGTTCCCCCACTGTGTCATGGTGAAATATGTGATTGTCCGACGGGGAGGGGGGGGCACGGTACAGGGGGACCAAGAAAATGCAGAGCATGGAGACGCTGAATGGCACTGCTGCCTACTGTGCAGCACTGAGCCGGGAAGCACGGGAGGAGTGGCCACTAGGAGGTGTCCCTACGGGCAATGTAAACACTGTTTGTATGAAAATGTCTGAATGGGGTGATTATACTCACCAGAAGAACTACATTAAGCTGTAGTTGTTCTGGTGATTATAGTGAAGCAGTTTTCATATATAGATCATGTCTCAGAAGCCTCGCTGCTACAATTAAAGGGACACTGTAGGCACTCAGACCACTTCAGCTCATTGTCCCATCACCCTTAACCCTGTAACACTGAGCATGTAATTATTGCAGTTTTTAATATACTGCAATAATTACCTGCTAGGGTTAACTCCTCTTCTAGTGGCTGTCTACCAGACTTCCAGGCTTGAAGGAACTTTTGGTCACCTAAATGACGCTGGATGCTATGCATGAGGACTTTCAGCGTCACCAGAATCCCCATAGGAAGGCACTGAATAATGCTTTACTATAGAGAAATCCTAATGCAAGGGCGGGCACTTGGGTATATAATCATCTCTAAATGGTTTAGAGTCCGAGCTGACATGACTAGATGCTATCCATCTTGTCCACTAAATATTGGCTATGTTTAAATGAGGAAGGTAGTTTATATCACATATGGTAGACATGTCCTGCCATCCAATTATTTTGCACTCAGGTGGATGGTATCTTTAAAAAAGTAAGTAGCTCTCAGATCGACTTGTCACCTGAACTTATTTTGTTGTTTCATATTGATCAAGAGTTATCTTGAGATAAGATTAATTAGCGCTGCAAAAGAAATGATCCCAGCTTAATGGAAAATAAAGATAACTCCACCACTGAAAGAATGGCTTCATAGAGTTTATAATATCAGACGGATTGAACAATTAGCATATAGGGGAAATAGAGTAGGAGACCATATTAAGAGAGTTGAACCTTGGGAGAGATTCCTTATTGGCTCCAATTTTGGTTCTGATGCCTTCAATCAAGAGGGTTAGAATGCAGATTTGGGCAGATGGCAAGTGGCAAGTCCAGGGAGAGGAGCATACTACCCCCTCTGCCAAACCTGAGCACCAACCAGGCTACTCCAGCTGAAGCGCTGGCACCAGGGCAGGGTACCGCTGGTCTCTGCCCACCCAGCAACCTACAGATCCAGAGTGCCAGTACCCCACACAGCCTTGGGGGAGCCTCTGGACAAAGGCAAGCTACACATTCCCCCAGGTGCAGTAACTATTTATTGTGGGTGGGCTGTACTACTGATTATGTTTTGTGGGTGGGTTGCTGGACTAACCAAGGCACTGACCGACAGGAGGTCAGATCCCTTGTTAGTCTTGTTGGGAAAGAGGAGAAGTGTGGCGGAACCAACCTCGCCACTGGGCATTGGAAAAGCCTGTTTGCCCGCCTCCTGCCTTCTGACTATGGCCCCTGGGAGACTTTGCCCTGTGTAAGCATTATTTGGGCTTATTGGATTTAGAAACACTTTTTCTGCCCCTTTGAATACATGAGAAGGTGTGCCCCTCCCCATTTCCTGTCTATTGTTCTCCAGCAGGGCATTGTCCCAGGGACACTACCAGACCAGTTGGAACTTGTTGCTAAACTTTAACTCCATGACGATTTGACTGTGTTTGTGGTATCTGAGCGCTGTTCAGATATAGTGAGCGCTTAGATCCAAGCTATCTGGGGATAGGTTGAATATGGGGGTTCTGTTCAGTATAGGAATTATGTATTTTTGTGTGTTTTTGCTGTTGTTGTAAATGGAGATATTTTCTTTATGCTGGAGATAGTTGGTTTACCACACCCAAGCCATGCTTGCAGTCGGTCAAATAGGTCTTCCATCTATCTTTTGAACCACTGGACCAATTTGTATGATTTTGACACATGTTTGTATTTGGAGTATGCTGATTCTGAAAATGTAATATGTGAATGTGATGTATACTGTGGCGAAATCAACCTCGCCACTGGGCATTGGAGAAGCCTGTTTGCCCTCCTCCTGCCTGCTGACCTGGGAGATTTGGCCCTTTAAATACAGTATTTGGGCATATTGTATTTTATTATGCTGCTGCTGGCCCTTTAAGAACCATCTGGGAACATACTGTGGAGTTACTGGGTGGCCACCATTTCATGTATCAGAGGCACATGGTGAGAACAATGGATGAAAAACATCGTGAGAACAATGGATGGCGGCCATTTTAACTCACAGACACTGTTTGGACCTTTCTACACGGTGCCATCTCGCCAGTATTTGGTGCACGAAGACATCGTTCAGTAGTTTTAAACTATACAACAGGGGACACATTATACAGTAATTATTTTTCATGTAGCCTGTATATGTTCTGCGGAATCTGGGTGAATTTTGGATATGTGGTTCACCCAGATCCCCCGTTTCTGAGGATATTCTTTTAATGGGGTTAATGCATGTTTTGGGGTCCCTGTGATGTGTTTTATGATACTGTATTTCTCTGCCTGTGATAATTAGATTAACCATTGTGTTCAGTAATTATATCACAGGCAGAGGGGAGGATTTTGTGTGGGAGTGTCTGTGTGTATTGTATGGATTGATTGGTTGTATTTCAAAACCCTGTGGGCAGTACTATGTTTGTGGATTGTGAATAAAATAGGCTGTATGTGCCAGTAGTCAGTTCTGCTTGACCTCAAAACGAAGTGTCGTCTCGTTACTGGGGGAATTGGATTGTATGCTGATTGCCAGGAGTGTAAACTGATTGTATGCTTTTCCTGTTCAGCTGCTTACAGCATTCATATGCTTGAGAGCATTCGGATGCTTCTCCGGTTCGGAGGTTGTGGTGTCTGCTGCAGTGCATGGAGTCCTCAGGAAGTGCTAGGAGCATCCTTCAACGGAGCTACCCAGTCGGGGTGCCAGGTGATCCGTTACATATACTTTTAAAGTTAAGAATATTGTGTAAAACTGTGTATTTTCCTGCCTGTGATAATTACATTAGCCCACTGTGTTCAGTAATTGTATCACAGGCAGAGGGGAGGATTTCTGCTGGCATGGATGGGAGTGTTTAGCTGTGTTGTAATGTATTGATTGGTTTGTTCTTCTAAACCCTGTGGGCGGTACTATGTTTGTAAAATGGGCATAAAAGCAGAGTGTTTGATTGAAAGCTTCAGTTCTACTTCACCCTCAATTTGGAGTGCCGTCTCTTACTGGGGAAATCTGCTACAAAGGATTGCTATGCTTGTCATACTCTCTTGCTAAATCACTACTAAGCTCTTGTAAGAGCTTGTTCCTGCCTTGCTCTCTGGAGGAGTCTACGTTGGTTATTGTAATGGAACTCCCCGTACTCCGACCGAGTACCTTCCGTTGATGGATGCTTCCTAGCCTGCACCGAGGACCACAAGCACCGCACTAGACACCACAACACTGCAGACTCCACAACCACCATAGCTTAACTGGTGTCTCGCCGTCTTCTGTCCACCCTGGATCAGCTTCTATCCTCCAGGACTGTGTGGGGAAGACCTCTCCTCCAGGAGAGAGTATCAGGGACAAGCTCTTAAAAGAGCTAAGTGATTAAAGCTCAGGGGAGTATGCAGAGCAGAGCAATCCCCAGTGTGAGTATCGTTGTCCCCTCCAATCACTAGGCAAGACTACGTGTTGAGGGTCAAGAAGAACTGTGTTTAATTAGCACCAAGGGGCCTTCTTTTATGGAGGTCTTACACATACAGGACCAACCCCATTCATCCCAGCAGAAATCCCCCCCTCTGTCTGTGATACAATTATCTCAACACAATAGACTAATTTAATTATCACAGGCAGAAAATATACAGTTTTTACACAATTCTTATAACTTTGTATACATGCAATATTAATAAAAGTTACATATTTGAAATCAGCGTCCTTTAAATATAAACACTCAAAAATCAAAAAAATATGTCCAGTAGTTTAAAAGTTAGTCGGACATCCTTTTTATTCACTGAAAAAATGACTTAGTCCCATTCGAACGAGCGTTCGAATCTTCGAACGAGCGTTCGAATCTTCGAACGGGACTTAGTCTCCAGCCGCAGTGTCGAAGTGGAGAAGAAGGTACGGGTCAGCGGTGTTCTTGCAATTGGGTAGCCGAAAACAGTTCCATAGATTTGACTGCACACACCGCTGACCGCGTTCGAAGTGCCAATTTAAAGTACAAATCATTTCTCTGGGAGTTAAAGGGCCAGCAGCAGCACAATAAAAGTTATTATGCACAAATACAGTTCTTAAAGGGTCAGAAATAGTACAATAGTACAATATACGTCCATAAGCCCCAACTCAGTTCCTTAAAGGGCAATACATCCCAGGGGCCATAGTCGCAGTGCAGGAGGCTGGTAAGCAGGTCCACAAGTCCTTGGATGCAAGGAAAGCCAAAGGAGGTAGGTGGGCAGAGAGCTCTACCCTCAGCTCTCGAGACCGGACTGTCAGGGAAGCTACCAATGCCAAAAGCTCCCATATTACTCGTGGAAAAAGACACACCAATCTGGACAGCAATGGTATATCACGGTACTGAGCCGCGGCAAAAAAGGCTGCGGCACACTTAAATCGACAGTTCCTGTTGACAGCGAAGGACCAAAGTGTCTAAGCATTTCGTCCCATAGAGGGACTTTGTCAAGACTCAGGTGCACCTATAACAGAACCCATATATATACCCATGTAGAGGATGTGTAGAATGGGTCCAAAATCCGAAATGGACTCTGTATAGGAAATTATTACATATATGCACAACAATAAATAAACAATAAATAAACAGAATGTGAACTTTTTCCCCAAAAGATAATTAAAACTAAATACAGGGATAGTAGCCCCATAAACAGAGACTTATAATTTCCATAAAGTGAATTCATATTTCAATTAATCCACCTATGAATACACATGAATGTATATAATATGTACTATAACCACAATTAAAATTACAAATTTATTGGAAAATCTTATAAGATCGAAAATAAAATAATATATAAAATGCGCAAAATAAAACCTGACCTGAATGATATGGAGTAAAAAAGTCAAAGGAAAATATCAATGGAAAATATCAGGGGACCTGGTCGAGTTCCTTATTCAAACCATACGGACTAAGAGTGTTACGTTTAAAAATCCATTTGGTTTCAGGTAAGGTGAGGACTCTTCCTTTTTGCCAGCTCCCCCTTATTAGGAATAAATTATATCCTCAATAGTGAAATATGTGAGGGGTCACTATTATGGTCTGAATGAAAATGTTGTGCCACCAGGGACGGGTGAAGAATAGCTAGTCTATGTTCCCTGAATCTTGTCTTTAACGATCTCATGGTCTGTCTAACATAGTGGAGACCACATGTACAGGTAAGGAGATATACCAAAAAGGAAGAATTGCAATTGATCCTTTGACCAATCATAAACTCGGTACCCCCAGGTGTGGATCCAAAATGAGTGGCTCCATGACAAAGATATTGACAAGTGAGGCAACGAGTGCCCTAACATCTAAAGTTGCCCCTATGAATATTCTTGCTCACGTTATCCACCCCTACTGAGGTATATTTGGAAGGGGCCAGAATGTTTTTTAGATTTTAGTTTTATCTAAAAGTAACTCTCGGATAGTCGGAGATGCTAAATTTTAGCCAAATACCCAACTTGAGTATAGGCCAGTGTTTGCGAAGGATGCCTATGATCTCATCATATGAATTATTAAAGGCAGTAAAAAAATAGGACATTGATTCTGAAGTATGTCCTTAATACTGATGTTATAAATATTAGTCTCTTTCTTAGGCTTATAATCATTATTACTTAATTTACATATAATCGCATTATGCCTATCTGAATCCGGGATCGGTGTGATGGTTGTAGAACCTACTTCTGATCTTAAGAAAGAGTTATACAAGGACCTCCTATGCATATTTCTGGCTTTGTTGTATGCTTTAAGAATAGTATTAGGGGGATAATCTTTCTCTAAAAACATGAGCATAGATTGGAGCTTAAAAACTCTCTTTATTTGCATTATAAAATAACACTTTTGATGTTGATTGAATATACTTTCAGGCAGGGCCGGCCCATCCATTGGCCCCAGTGGGACCTGTACCTTTAAGAAATCTGGAGCAGGGCCCAGGTCGCCTATTTGCACATATGTATAGCAGGTAGTAGTAAATGTAGCTGTTCCTGGCCCTGCTGGTGTGTATAGTGAAGAGGGTGCCCTGAGAGTAATCTTACAATCCCCAGCAGCAGCAGGTATTCTTCTCTCGCGAGAGTGTTACCATGTGTTGCAATGGCAATGTTCCGGCATGCATTGCACACACACACACATTGCATCCACTACACACAATGCATCCACTATCCACACGCTGCATCCACTTCCATACACACACTCTGCATCCACTATACACAAAAACACTGGACATCCGCATGCAGTGCAAAACACACACAATGCATCCACTGCTTCCACTACACAAATACACACACTGCACACAATACACACACTGCATCCACTACACACACTGCATAACATAATGGACGTCGGCGTGTTTTGGTTGGTGTGGTTTTGTTGGTGGGGGGACAACATTTCCTGCTTGGACCCAGGCAGCACAATGCCTTGAGCCGGCCCTGCTTTCAGGCAACAAAGTTGCTACAGCTATAAGTTCCTTGTAAGGGTTCTTTAAAAGGACACTATTTGCATCAATTCTTTTTTAGCTTAATGGAGCAGTTTTGGTATATAGATGCCCTTGCAGTCTCACTGCTTAAGTGGACACTATAGGCACCTCAGATCATTGAGGTGGTCTAACGTTAACCCTGCAATTATAATTATTGCAGTTATTGTTAACTCCACTTCTAGTGGCTGTCTACCAGACCTTTGGTCGCCCAACTGACACTCGACACCCTTACACATGAGGACATCCAGCATCAGCTAAAACCCAATAAGGGTTTTCCGAATGTGATCGTAGCGCATTATGTCCCCGACATCTGCTGATATTGGAGGCGGAGGCGGAGTGTCATTGGTGCTTGTTTTCGATAAGTGAATTAAGGGTTTTTAAAGGACCACTCTAGGCACCCAGACCACTTCAGCTTAATGAAGTGGTCTGGGTGCCAGCTCCCTCTAGGATTAACCCCTTTTTTTATAAACATAGCAGTTTCAGAGAAACTGCTCTGTTTATAAATGGGTTAATCCAGCCTCCAAGTCCTCTAGTGGCTGTCTCATTGACGCTAGAGGCACTTGCGTGCTTCTCACTGTAGTTGATGTCAAATTGTTCTTCCTTAGCTTTTTCAGATATGTAAAAAGAGGTTCCCCACTTATGTAAGCTTTTTCAGATATGTAAAAAGAGGTTCCTTAGCTTTTTCAGATATGTAAAAAGAGGTTCCCCACTTGCCCAAGTGGGGAACCTCTTTTTACATATCTGAAAAAGCTAAGGAAGAAGAATTTGACATCAACTACAGGGATTTCACCATCAAATTAAGAGACACGGAGAACTGGACTACTGGATATATAACATTATAACATTATAGTGTGTACACACTGGGACTGTATATACTTACTTTTTCCATTTTTTCTTTTTTTTCTTTTTTTTATATATTTTTTCATTTTTTACCTTTGTGGTTTTTTCTTCTTTTTTTCTTTTTTGCTTACCCTACTTCCCTGGATGATGCATCTGTATGGACTTCCAGACACAGCAACTTAGCAACCAACTTCTTGATGTGGTCAGGGACTCTCTTTAATTAACATGGAACTATAATAGTAGATTTACAATGCACTGTTTCTACCAAACTATATTGATTTATACCATCTTGTATATATTATCAATTTAAGTGTGTATATATCATTAACTTTTCCAATTTTTCTAACTTTGTAGTATTTCACAACTAATGAATTATGCCTAATTAATTAATGATTATTAAATTCAGTAATGAACTTTATTCTAAATTTTTGAGTGCAGTATCATTATTTTTTGTATAGTGTGGTACTTATTGACCCATCCTCTGGGATATGCAAACTTGTATACAGAAAGTGACGTGCCTCCTATCTCATACTTGAAAGAATCTTTAGCTCATATTCATTCAACACTGACTAGTCTAAATAATTAAAATATTGTCTATGTATCTTTTCCAAAGATACACATATTTAACCTCTTAAGGACCCATGACATGTGTGACATGTCACGATTCCCTTTTATTTCAGAAGTTTGGTCCTTAAGGGGTTAAAGTAAGGAGAAATCTGGGTAGATTGGATGACTAATTCTTCCCACCACCACATTTGGAGGTGGCATATAAGGGTACACGTTGTATCACACAGATAAGATGGCAGCCCAACGAGTAGTTGTAAAGTAGGGTCGAGCGGGAAGTTGGTGAGGTGAGAAAAAAAACAAAGAGCAAACTTTATCCATGGTGGTTGAGGGGAAGAAGTAGAGAATCACAGTGGGGTGACTTAGAGTGGAGATGAAAATTGCAAGCTTGTATCGGGATGGTTTTTGGATAGTATGTGTGTTTTAAGAAGTTGTCTAGAAGGTCTTGAGTTCTAAAATTAGACGGTGCTGGTGGGTAAAGGAGAGAGTTGAAAGTATAGAAATGTAACTTAGTGTTGGAGGAAAGAATAGTTATAAGAAAAGAGAAGTATGATTGCTCAGCTAAGCGAATAAATGGAGAATGCATTTATATAAATTAATGGAGAATACATTTAGAGTCTAAGTGAGATTTCCTCCTGACACGCTCAGCAGTGCAAGAGCATTTATGCAAGATCACCAAGGCTAAAACTAATGGTGTGGGAATTTGCCATGGAGAAGATTTTTTTTCAGGTACAAGGGTGAGAAACAGAAGAAATGGGTTTAACCAATATAGTGGGATTTTAAGTGATGGTCTGCAGTGAGAAAAGGTCAGCAGGTGAATTCAGATATACAGGTAGGTCTGAAAAAATATTTGAAAGCTGACACAATTTTCATAATTTTGGCACTGTACGCCGCTATAATTGAAATGAAACAACCAAGATGCAATTGTGCAAACGATTAGCTTTAATTCAAGGGATTGAACAAAAATATCATATGAAACATTTAGATTCATATCATATTCCTATTCATAGCAGAGATTCGTCTACAAGGTATTCATATTTACCACTACCTGGACAACATTCTTCTGGTAGGGAAAAGTCAATCTTCGTTGTTGATCAATTGAGACAGGACAAGGTACATCCCAGAGCATGGATGGCTCTTGAATGTCGAGAAAAGTCACCTGACCCACTCTCAGCAAAATGGTATACTTGGGGACACATTTTGACACTAGCAGCAAGAGCTGAAGAGCAGTAAGGCTGAAGAGCAGCAAGGCTGAAGAAGATAGAGCAATAAGGCTGAAGAAGAAAATTTCTTTACTACATCTATGTTACATTCAACCCTATTGGGATGAACCTATTGGAATCTTACCTGAACTTCAAATGGGGATACTTCTTTCCTCCTATCCCTCTGATCTTTAGGCTGCTCAAGAGAATACTAAGGAGCAGTGATTCCATTTTGGCCGCTTCTGTGGAGTCTATTGATAAACGATCCAATGCCTCTTCCAGCCAAGCCAGCCCTTCTGTTTCAGGGGCCCCTGCTGCATCCAGCTCACAGGACACTCCTTGAGATGGAGATGAGACAACTGAGGGAGAAAGGAATATTTGATATGTCATTTCTACCCTGTTACAGGACAGGATGAATAATACCTCAGATACCAGATCTGGGACATATTCACAAACTGGGCAGCCAGAAACAGTGTGTATTTCTCTGCAGCAGATTTATTGAACTTTCTTTAAGAAGGATTAGACAAAGAGTTTAGCCTTAATACCCTTATGATACAAGTCTGTGCCCTATCAGCTCTCTTTGACCTCAGATAGGCATTGCATCCAGATGTTGCTAGATTTTTGAGAGTAGTTCACCAGATCAATATCCCCTCTTTAGGATCTTCCTTTTTTGTCCTATCGGCTTTTATGTCTGCCCCTTTTGAACCACTGGAGTGTTATTGACACTCAAAATGGTTCTTCTAGTAGCCCTTACCTCTGGGTGAAGATTATCAGAATTGGGAGCCCTTTCCTCGGACATTAGGTACACATTTTGTTTCTAGGACAGGGTTGCTCCGAGGTAAATACCGGAATATAGACCAAAAGTTATATAATCTTTTCGTCTGAACCATGAAATAGTCTTACCGCTGTTCTTCCCTTCCCCTTCTTCTGAAAAGGAAAGAAATCTTAATCACTTGGATGTGGTTAGATGCCTGTCAGTCTCTCTCAACCGAACTTGTGATTGAATTGGAT